GATTCGTTTTCTGTCTCTGATTTTGGTTTGATTTTTTGATTTGTTTTCATTATGTTCGTTGATTATTTTCTGGTTTTCCTTTTGATTTTTTTTCTCATTTGTGAAATATAATTGAAATTTTGGGTGATGTTTCTAATTGTTGATTTACTCTTTGATTTTGGTATTAGATTATCAAAATATTTTGGTCGATAAACGTGGAGAGAAAAAAAATGTTGGCTTCATTCAGTTGAATCGTCCAAAAGCACTTAATGCCCTTTGTGATGGTTAGTTGAATTGTTCAAATTATTCCATCAAAAGTATTGACCATTTCGGATTTTAATCTTTTTTTAGCTTTAATAAGTGAATTGACTGTAGCTCTGAAAGACATGGAAAAAGATAAAGATATCGGTGCTGTTGTTATAACAGGATCTGAGAAAGCTTTCGCTGGTAAGTAAAGTTGATTAGTTTTCTTCATTGGAAACTCTTATTCTAAATTGTTACTATTAAATTTGATTCTTTTAGCCGGTGCTGATATAAAGGAAATGGCTGATGTTAAATTTGCTCAAGCATTTGCAACCAACTTCTTGTCTCATTGGGATAGCGTGGCTAAATTTAAGAAACCATTGATTGCTGCGGTCAACGGATACGCGGTATGCTAATTAATAGAGGAAGAAAACAATATTATACTAATAATTTATAATTTAATAATTTAGCTTGGTGGTGGTTGTGAATTAGCCATGATGTGTGATATCATCTATTGTGGTGATAAAGCTAAATTTGGTCAACCTGAGATCGCAATCGGAGTAATTCCTGGAGCTGGTGGTACTCAAAGGTTACCAGCAGCCATTGGAAAGTCAAGAGCAATGGAAATGGGTAAGATATAGACAGAGGATACCAAAAGAATTGAATTAATTTCTAACAAAATTTTATCTTTAGTTTTGACAGGAACACCAATTACTGCGCAAGAAGCTGAACATTGGGGTAATTAGACTAATTGTATCTAGAACTTTGGTGATCTTATCAATCTTTATTTTTCGATCAGGTTTGGTTAGTCGCATCTTCCCAGCGGACAAAGTTGTTGACGAAGCAATCAAACTCGGAGAAAAGATCAGTTCACATTCTAAATTAGTTGCTATGATGGCAAAAGAATCTGTTAATTATTGTAAGTTAATCGAGAGGTTTATTTGTAACAATCAATTTCCATCAATCTAATCTAATCTTTCTGATTATACCTTTTCACAGCTTATGATACTACCTTATCTCAAGGACTTAAATCAGAATTAAGATTTTTCCATGCTGCCTTTGGAACAGTAAGTTAATCTCATCTCTTCATCAAAACAATATCTTAATCTAAATCATTTCGATATCTAATCATTTCTATTCTATCTTTTAACAGCACGACAAAATGGAAGGTATGAAAGCCTTTGTTGAGAAGCGTCCACCATCATTCAAAGATGAATAAATCAATTTCTTCCTAATCAAAAGTTGGTTAACTGAATGTTCCTCTAAACTAATGAAATGTTTTACAATTAGTAGACAAAAAAGATTAACACAGCGAAAATTTTGTATTCGTAAGATCATTTGTTTGTTATCGATACTTGTTTCTACGTTAAATTAAATATTTAATTTACAATGAAGGTAATGCTATGAAGAATATCATTTAATTATATTTAACTCTCCATTTCTTTGTTTAAAAATCAGGACAATTAAGATGCTTTTCCAGCCTTTTACAATTACTGAATTTCTTGTCAGAAGTGAAAGTTTTTCGTAGATATCAATCTACAGCTCATTCGCTGATTCATATTGTTAATTAAAGACAACAGATCTTAATTATTTCGTTGGATCGAGTCATTTTTATCAACTTTTCACGGTAGAAACTTTTTCGAACTGGACAAATTAGTAGAGATTTCGATTTCTGATTACAATTAAATATCTCAAAAGATGGTTGAATGTTAGAACTCCCGTTCATGTATAAAATTTTTTCTCTGGCCATTTAAATGACCAATAGATCCATTTCTTTATTCATTTAGTGAACATCGTATTAGGGGTTACTTTAAGTCTTTAGCCTAAGATAGTTAGAAAAGCGATAGCTAGAAAAAAACAGTGAAAAAATAATTTTCAACTAATTAGAAGAAGACAGTCCTGTAAATTTGAGCGCTATAGAACTTGAGACCTTTTTGCGACACTAATTCAAAGTCAAAACGGCAAACGATGAACAAGAGAAATGATCGAGTTTTCGAAGCTCGTTTTTTTATAAATGACCTCAAAAATAGCTGTAAACGAATCGAATTTTCTCTCTCGTCTAGATAAGTTCCCTAGCAACTATTGAGCGCTATTGAATCAGAAAAAAATCATTCGAGAATAAAATTTGCCTCAATTGAGCAGTTATGAGCCGAATTAGGCGGCTTTTTAAAGACCAGCCGAAAAATTGACCTAAAGTTAAAGTACCAAATTTTTCTCAAAGATGCAGCCGAGTAATAGTCCAAGGTATTATCAACTCGAATTAGAAGTCTCTAGCTCATCTAAAACAATATTAGGCTAAAGACTTAAAGTAACGCCTAATAGATAGATGATTACAATTATCTTGCTGTTTGATAGAATAAGTTGATCAATGACAATTTAGTTTCTCAAATAACCAAACAGAAACATCAAAAACAAATCTACATGGCTAATTGAATCCTGATTATTCCTTAATCATCTCCTTGAACCCATTTACCACGAATCGATCCGCTTTTGAAGCTTAATCTCCAATGGACATGAAGGATTTAGCATAAGCTTCATTAGCAAAGCGACATCTTCGAGTTTCCTGGCTGAGAAAATTTCATATTTTCTTATCAAATGTATAAGAAAAATTTTCATTTCGATTAACGCAAAACGAAAGCCGATACAATTTCTTGGCGTTACTCCAAAAGGTATATAAGCTCCTTTGGGAATGTTTGGTAAATTTGATGGATCAAAACGCTCTGGATCATATTCGGTCGGGTTGGGATAAATTCGAGGATCTCGTTGAATGCTGAAAATGTTGACTGCGATAGTGGTTCCTTTTGGCAAATAGTAACTGTTAATCTCCATTGGTTCATCTAATTCTCTTGCAATCACTGGTACTGGTGGATAAAGTCTCATTGACTCTTTGATACACTTATCCAGATACTCGCACTTATTTACCTTTTCAATATCATTGACAGAATCATTGTCATCAAACACCGATGAAATTTCTTGATATAACTTTTCTTGGATCTCGAGACGATTTCCTGGAAAAGAAAAAAAAGAGAATAAATTAAAAGCTTTCGACAACAAATAATTTTACCTAAGATGAACAATGTCCAGTCAAGAACAATGGCCGTGGTCTCATAACCCGCTGCAATCATGGTGAGCAATTCTGCACTGATGCCTTCGGCATCGATCATACCTTTGTTTGAGCTACGCAGCATGTTGACAAAATTATAATGTGATTTTGTAGAATGAGGCTGATCAATATCAGTAGATTGATGTTTCAAATTCTGATCAACACACAAATCGACAAATTTGTACACTCGGTTCGTCATATTGGTACATTTTTTACCCAATTCTGTAGCATTGAAAATATTATCACTCCATATGAGTGGATTACATAATCTTGTTAGCAGAGTCATTTCCATGAGTTTGATAGTCTCGGTCACATGAAGTTTTTCCTCTTTTTCTGAGCCTAACGGCAGGTCGGTGGTCACTTTCATGATCATATCACTTGTTGCTGCCACAACTTTTTTAGAAAGAGTTAAATATTTTCCCTGGTTACAAAAATCATCTTCGTTTACCAATGAATCAAATACTTCGTCAATGGTCAGTGCGAATCTTTTCTGTTGTTTACTAACGAAAAAAGGTTCAATCATTTTTCGTCTCATTTTCCACTTTTCACCTCTCGAAGTTATCAAACCCTCTTTCAGTCCAGTAAATGCATAAAAACTGGGCTTACTTATGTTACTTTTACTAATCAAAGCCTAAAAATAGAAAGAAAAAGATTTACGAACCAGAAATTAATCCAATTGTTTAACTTACCTCAATAGATCTGTGGTCATTAATCGCAACCATAGGCCACCATCCAAACCAGCATGCATGTAAACCCGATTTGATTTGGTGATTTGAAGCATTCGAAATCATAAAATTAGTTAAAGCAACTGTTGAATGGAAATCATCATTTATAAAACTCAAATTAACGGTCCGCTGTGATTAGAAGCTCATATCAAGTGAAACGCTCAACTTACTTGGCGTCCATTTTGGGTTCCAAAAACCAGGTAAGAATGGAAGTAAATCACCAAAGAGAAATGAACAGTTTGGATCCTTAGGAAGTTTAAGAAAATGATTGAAATACTTGAAAAATTGGAAAACTTTTTTCACCACAAAAAAATTCAATACAATTAAAATCAAATGAATGAAATTTATTTCGCTGGAAAACATGACGATGTTTGCTATTAAAGTGATGACTTTTCATCAACGAACAAAATTCATTTGACTGAGCGAAGCGAAAAATAACAAAAGCTTATTACCCGAGAACCTCAATACAACTGAAATATTAATCGATCTAAGCTCAAGTTTAATTACATTGGTAGAAAGAGGATAATAACCAGAAATCAGGTTGACCATGAAAATGTTTTCTTCTTCTAATATCGGGTGACCGAAAATGAGTGAGCATCTCACGAACCTTAAGTTTTGGACCCACGTTTCTATACATTTTAAGAGAGTAAATTTGACGCTGAGTCCAAAAATGTTCGACTTTTTTTTCTAGGACGCACGGTTCTCGAGAAATCGAGTGGCCTGACAAAGCGAACCGTTAACTTTGGACTCAAAATTTTTGGTCAAAAGTTATTCTTTTTGACCTATTATCTTATATACCTAAGCTCATCATTATCTGAAGTAAGGTTATTGAGATCCAACATGGCCGAAATCAACGAAAATTGCTCTTTAACTTTCCCATTATAAATTTCTCATAGAGAAAATCGCGATTTTGGCCTTTAAATAAGAACCACAGTTGCACTTGAACTTCGAAAATTCTGAAAAAATTCATCATTTATATTTGATCGATGGCGCTTTCAATGACGTTTGAAATTTTATTCTAGGACCTACCATTCTTGAGATGCTCACTCATTTTCGGTCACCCGATATTAATATAATCAGTTCGATCCACTTTAATCAAACCAGTTTATCTTTTAGATTCATTTTGATGGAAAGATCAACATGATATTCGAGCATATTCGAGCACGAGATTATGATATGAATGATAAGACACTGACATAATTATGTCGTGAATCATTTAGATAAGTAACATAAATAACTATTTATAGTGTTTCCTGATTCTTCAACCAAACTTTCAATTGAGAAAAAGAAAACCTCAAGTTTCCTCAAACTCAAATTTCAAAAATAGTTTGGCTAAATTTAAGAAACCATTGATTGCTATGGTCAACGGATACGCAGTATGCTAATTTATAGAGGAAGAAAACAATATAGTACTAATGATTTATAATTTAATAATTTAGCTTGGTGGTGGTTGTGAATTAGCCATGATGTGTGATATCATCTATTGTGGTGATAAAGCTAAATTTGGTCAACCTGAGATCGCAATCGGAGTAATTCCTGGAGCTGGTACTCAAGGTTACCAGCCATTGGAAAGTCAAGAGCAATGGAAATGGGTAAGATATAGACAGAGGATACCAAAAGAATTGAATTAATTTCTAATACAATTTCATCTTCAGTTTTGACAAGAACACCAATTACTGCACAAGAAGCTAAACATTGGGGTAATTAAACTAATTGTATCCAGAACTTTGTTGATCTTATCAATCTTTATTTTTCTCTCAGGTTTGGTTAGTCGCATCTTCCCAGCGGACAAAGTTGTTGACGAAGCAATCAAACTCGGAGAAAAGATCAGTTCACATTCTAAGTTAGTTGCTATGATGGCAAAAGATTTTGTATTCGTAAGATCGCTTGTTTATCAATACTTGTTTTTACGTTAAATTAAATGATATTTACAATGAAGGTAATATTATTTATGAATAATATCATTGAGTTACATTTAACTTTCCATTTTTTTGTTTAAAGTCAGGACAATTAAGATAATTATAGATAATAGCCTCTTGTGCAATTACCAAAGAGTAAAAGAGTACCTCTCTCTACTCTTTGGCAATTACTGAATTTCTCGTCAGAACTGTAAGTTTTTCTTAGGGATCAATCAATCTTCAGCTTCATATTGTTGCTTCATGTTGTTAATTAAGGGCAAAGACTTTAATTATTTCTTTGGATCGAGTCATTTTTATCAACTTTTCACGATAGAAACTACTTCAAACTAAACAAATTAGCAGAATTGTCGATTTGTGATAACAATTAAATATCTCAAAAGATGGTTGGATCTTTCGTTCATTCATGAAATTTTTTCTCTGGCTATTTGATTGACCAACCAATCCATTTTTTTATTCATTAATTGAACATCATTGGTAAACGATTACAATTATCTTGCTGTTTGGTTGCATAAAGTTATATAAGATCTAGAAAAATGTAAACAATTGAATTAAATCGTCATCTCCTTATCACAATTTAAGGTAAGATAATTTACCATGTTTAACTGCAACACCCTTTAGTTGATAAATAACAGTTTAGCTTAATATCAGATAACCAAACTCGTTAAACAGAAACATCAAAAATTGATCCAAACAATCTGCTAATTGAATCCTGATTATTCCTTAATCATTACCGTGAACCCATTTACCATGAATCGATCCGCTTTCGAAGGCTAATCTTCAATGGACATGATGGACTCAACGTGGTTCTCATTTCACTATTCATAGACTCGTTTTCGAAGCATAATTTCCAAAGGGCATGAAGGCTTTAGAATGGTCTTCATTGTCAAAGAAACGTCTTCAAGTTTCTTGGCTGAGAAAATTTCATATCTTCTTATCAAATGAATGAGAAAAATTTTCATTTCGATTAGCGCAAAACGAAAACCGATACAATTTCTTGGCATTACTCCAAAAGGTATATAAGCTCCTTTGGGAATGTTTTGTGCATTTGATGGGTCAAAACGCTCTGGGTCATATTCAGTTGGATCGGGATAAATTCTTGGATCTCGGTGAATGCTTAAAATGTTGACCCCGACTGTGGTTCCTTTTGGCAAATAGTAACTGTTAATCTCCATTGGTTCATCTAATTCTCTTGCTATCAATGATACTGGCGGGTAAAGTCTCATTGACTCTTTGATACACTTATCCAGATAATCACAATTATTAACCTTTTCGGTGTCATTCACAGATTCTTTTTCATCAAATATCGATGAAATTTCTTGATATAACTTTTTTTGGATCTCCAGACGATTTCCTGAAAAAGTAAAACAACTCAGTGTAGATAAGTTCAAAAGCTTTCGGCAACAAAGTATTCTTACCTAAGATGAACAATGTCCAGTCAAGAGCAGTGGCCGTGGTCTCATAACCCGCTGCAATCATGGTGAGCAATTCTGCACTGATCCCTTCGGAATCGATCATACCTTTGTTAGAGCTACTTAGCATGTTGACGAAATTACAAGGTGATTTAAGAAAATAAGGCTGATCAATATCAGTAGATTGATGTTTCAAATTCTGGTCAACACAAAAATCGACAAATTTATAAACCCTGTTCGTCATATTGGTACACTTTTTACCCAATTCTGTAACATGGAAAATATTATCACTCCACGTGAGGGGATTACATAATCTTGTTAGCAAAGCCGATTCCATGAGTTTGATAGTCTTGGTCGTATGAAGTTTTTCCTCTTTCTCTGAGCCTAACGGCAGGTCGGTGGTCACTTTCATGATGATATCACCTGTTGCTGCCATAACTTTGTTAGAAAGAGTTAAATATTTTCCCTGGTTACAAAAATCATCTTCGTTTACCAATGAATCAAATACTTCGTCAATGGTCAGTGCGAATCTTTTCTGTTGTTTACTAACGAAAAAAGGTTCAATCATTTTTCGTCTCATTTTCCACTTTTCACCTTTCGAAGTTATCAAACCCTCTTTAAGTCCAGAAAATTTATAAAAACTGGGCTTGCTTATGTTACTTTTACTAATCAAAGCCTAAAAATAGAAAGAAAAAGATTTACGAACAAGAAATTAATCCAACTGTACAACTCACCTCAATAGATCTGTGGTCATTAATCATAACCAAAGGCCACCATCCAATCCAAAATGCATGTAAACCCGATTTGATTTGGTGATTTGAAGCATTCGAAATCATAAAATTAGTTATAGCAACTGTTGAATGGAAATCATCATTTATTTAAAGCTAAAATTACCGGTCCGCTGTGATTAGAAGCTCATATCAAGTGAAACGCTCAACTTACTTGGCGTCAATTTTGAGTTCCAAAAACCAGGTAAGAATTGAAGTAAATCACCAAAGAGAAATGAACAGTTTGGATCCTTTGGAAGTTTAAGAAAATGATTGAAATACTTGAAAAATTGGAAAACTTTTTTCACCACAAAAAAATTCAATACAATTAAAATCAAATGAATGAAATTTATTTCGCTGGAAAACATGACGATATTTGCTATTAAAGTGATGACTTTTCATCAACGAACAAAATTCATTTGACTGAGCGAAGCGAAAAATAACAAAAGCTTATTACCCGAGAACCTCAATGTACAACTGAAATAATAATCGATCTAAGCTCAAGTTTAATTACATTGGTAGAAAGAGGAGAATAACCAGAAATCAGGTTGACCATGAAAATGTTTTCTTTTTAAATTATCAGTTCAGTCGATTTTTATCAAACCAGTTTATCTTTTAGATTGATGATAACATATTCCGATGGAAAGATCAACATGAAAAGATTCTGACATAATGTCGTGAATCGTTTATTTCGATAAATAACAATTTGTATTTAGTGACTTGCATTAAACCACAACAATCAAGAGTATTTGTGAGAAATTATTACTTTTTAGCTAACTTGTTTTCCGTTTCCGTTTCGCAAATAGTGGATTGAAAGATTGAAGTTATAAGCACTTGAATTTTTTATCAAAAATTGATTAACGAAACGGAGCAAATTTTATTTCATAAACTTTTTGGCCCTCGTCTCTATTACTGTTAAATTATCCGAACTTAAATTATGAGATAACAATTAGATTCATTTGTTCACTTTTTTATCCTAACAATTAAGATTGTATTTTATTAATAATATAAACTTTGTTTACAAAACTATTAACATAACCTGGTGATTATTGGATCTCTATGATTTTAAATTTCTTGTTGCATTAATCACCATCAATGATACGTTTGCGGAGCATAATTTTCAATGGACATGAAGGTTTTAAAGTGAATTCCATCTTAAAAGAAACGTCTTCGAGTTTCTTGGCTGAGAAAATTTCATATCTTCTTATCAAATGAATAAGAAAAATTTTCATTTCGATTAAAGCAAATCGATAACCGATACAATTTCTTGGCATCACTCCGAAAGGTATATAAGCTCCTTTGGGAATGTTTGGTAAATTTGAAGGGTCAAAACGCTCTGGATCATATTCGGTCGGGTTGGGATAAATTCGAGGATCTCGATGGATACTGAACATGTTACATCCGATTGCAGATCCTTTCGGTAGATAATAACCATTAATCTCCATTGGCTCATCCAATTGTCTTGCGACCTTCGGTATTGGCGGGTAAAGTCTCATTGACTCTTTGATACACTTATCAAGATACTCGCACTTATTTACCTTTTCAATATCATTCACAGATTCATTGTCATCAAACACCGATGAAATTTCTTGGTACAACTTTTCTTGGATCTCCAGACGATTTCCTGTAAGAAGAATAAAACAAATGCGAAATTATGTAAACGTGTACTTAGCTACTACGATAGATCAACTCACCCAAGATGAATAGTGTCAAGTTGAGAGCAGTGGCCGTGGTCTCATGTCCCGCTGCAGCCGTTGTAGTCAACTCTTCGCTGATTCCTTCTAAATCGATTTTACCTCTGCTAGAACTAGATAACATATTCACCAAATTGAATGATGAAAACGCGCTCGACTTATCAGACTGATCGATTTCATTGGAGTTTTCATCTAAATTTCTGATAATAGCATTTTCTACGAATTTGTAAGCTCTACTGGTCATTCTTATAACCTTTTTACCCAATTTTGTTAAATAGAAAATTTGATCGCTCCAATAAAGAGGATTACACATTCTCTCTATTGTTATCATTTCCATGAATTCGATGGCTTCTATAACATGAAGTTTTTCCTCTATTTCAACATCTATCGGTAAATCTGCGGTTACTTTAAAAACGATATTGAATGTTGATAGATGAATTTGATCCGCTAGAGTTGAATATTTTCCCTCTTCACAAAAATCGTCCTTATTTATCAACGAATCAAACACTTCGTCCATAGTTACTGCAAATCTTTTCTGTTGTTTACTAACAAAAAAAGGTTCAATCATTTTTCGTCGCATTTTCCACTTTTCACCTTTCGAAGTGACCAACCCTTCCTTTAGTCCAATAAATCTATATAAATAGGGCTTAGTTATGTGACTTTTACTAATCAACGCCTAAGAATAAAAGTAAGAGAATGTATCACAATTAACAAATAATAACTTGATCGCTCTTGTGTACTCACCTCAACAGACTTGTGATCATTAATGAAAACAAAGGGCCACCACCCGAGCCAAAATACATGAACACCGGATTTAATTTGATGATAAGCAGCATTTTCAATTAAATACTTGGTTAAATAAACTGTCGATGAGAAATTTCAATTAATTCATTGTTATCACTCAATTAGACTTTTATTGAATTTCTATGGATTAACTCATTGCAATTATCCAATAGATCACTACATCATTCATTATCTCCATTTACCTGAGGTCAATTTCGTATTCCAAAAAGCAGATTTAAATTTAGGTAGATCACCGAACAAGAATGAACACTCTGGATCCTTTGGAAGTTTCAAAAAAGGCTTTAAATATCTGATGAAATCGAAAAGTTTTTTCACCACAAAAAAACTCAATAAAATCACAATTAAATTGATGAAATTTAAATAATTGTCAAACATGATTATACTTTTTCGTGTATTTTGTACACTTTCATTGACAATTTATCATCAAAGTTGATCAACATTAACTTATTAAGATAAGAAAAACTAATCTTAACTATCTGAGCACTTCGATTGAACTGATAATTATTAATTAACTTCAATATAATTACATCTAAAGGGAAAGAGGCGATGATAATAAAATCAAATAATGACCTTGAAATCAGCTTTTATTTTGTCACAATTTCAGTTCTCAGAAATAAATTGTAACTGGTTTCTCTTTGTAATTAAATAGTTTCAGAATTCCTAGACTCTAATAATAATCATATACATTTAATGTATTCATTATAATCGCGATTGTAAATAACCTTTCACGATAATTGTTAGTCAATATTAATCTGTATCTATTATCGTAATTCTAATTGATTTTAATTCGTTGGAAGTAAAAATTAATCAAATTGTTAATAAATAGCTACTTATAATCATTAAGAAATGATAATCAGAAAATGAACTTACCTTGAGTTGATTTTGATAACATTTCATCACAATCAAATAACAATTACTGCCTGTAGGGTGCATACAAATTAATTGAGCTAATGCTTATTCAAATGTCATTTAATTGTCGAAATCAAATCAAGCGGTGATAATTATTATTAACAATGAATTGATTGATTGAATGATGACGAACGATAAAATACTATTATTGTGAATGTAAACACAATTAGTAAATGATTAGAAAGATTGTAATCAAGTTCGGTGACGGTGATGATTCCTAGTGACTCGATAATCGTCTTGTGATTTAATTGTTTCTCAACACAATTAATGGCCATCCATTGAATACTTATTATCGCCAAAGGGCATTAATTTCTAGATACAATGTGATGAAAGTGATTCAATTTAAACTTTGAATACTCTGTTGCTGCACAAATAAATTCTCGGGTAAGCTTTTACATAGAAAATCCTTTAAATGACCTTCAAAGGTTTTATTTTCTTAATGGCAATTTAACTTCAGTCTTGATATATGAAAATTAATCCATGAAAGTTTGATCAATTCTCGATCCTATTTGCCAAGTAATTAATATAAATAGTGAAAAAGAGAAGTGTCAAAAGTAGATCAATTATATTATATTGAAATCGAATGAAAAACTGTGAAATTAATTCGAACTGTGTTATTTATTTCTAAGTTTTCCATCGATATAAGATTTTAACTCTATTGGAATTTATTTATAGAGGGAACATGATCTTCAGTGGCTTTCTCAATGGGTTGATTCGAGTTTTGGCTCTACTGAGCTGTGCATCAAACGAATGTCGGTGATCCAATATGAAGGATTAATATAATTGCTAATGTTCTTTATGAACAACTGACTCGTTTTCGAAGCATGATTTCCAGTGCACATGAAGGTTTTAAAGTGAATTCCGTTCTAAAAGAAATCTCTTCGAGTTTCTTGGCTGAGAAAATTTCATATCTTCTTATCAAATGAATAAGAAAAATTTTCATTTCGATTAAAGCAAATCGATAACCGATACAATTTCTTGGTGCTACTCCGAAAGGTATATAAGCTCCTTTGGGAATGTTTGGTAAATTTGATGGATCAAAACGCTCTGGATCATATTCGGTCGGGTTGGGATAAATTCGAGGATCTCGTTGAATGCTGAAAATGTTGACCCCGACAGTAGTTCCTTTTGGCAAATAGTAACTGTTAATCTCCATTGGTTCATCTAATTCTCTTGCAATCAATGGTATTGGTGGGTAAAGTCTCATTGACTCTTTGATACACTTATCCAGATACTCGCACTTATTTACCTTTTCAATATCATTCGCAGATTCATTTTTATCAAACATCGATGAAATTTCTTGATATAACTTTTCTTGGATCTCCAGACGATTCCCTAATATGAACAGTATCAAGTTGAGAGCAGTGGCCGTGGTCTCGTGTCCAGCTGCGGCCGTCGTGATCAGCTCTTCACTGATCCCTTCTGAATCGATTTTCCCTCTGCTAGAACCAGCTAACATATTCACGAAATTTAATGATGAAAATGTGCTCGACTCATCATATCCATCATTTTTATTGTGAAAATTTCTGTTAACAACATTTTCGACAAATATGTAAGCTCTGTTGGTCATTCTAGTTGCTTTTCTACCCAATTTAGTCGAAAAGAAAATTTGATCGCTCCAATAAAGAGGATTACACACTCTCTCTATCGTAATCATTTCCATGAATTCGATGGCTTCCATTGCATGAAGTTTTTCCTCTCTTTCAGCGCCTATCGGTAAATCTGCGGTAACTTTAAAGATGATATCGAATGTTGATAGATGAATTTGATCAGCTAACGTTGAGTATTTTCCCTCTTCACAAAAATCGTCCTTATTTATCAACGAATCAAACACTTCGTCCATAGTTACTGCAAATCTTTTCTGTTGTTTACTAACGAAAAAAGGCTCAATCATTTTTCGTCTCATTTTCCACTTTTCTCCGCACGAAACGACCAAACCATCTTTTAGTCCAGTAAATGCATAAAAACTGGGCTTAGTTATGTGACTTTTACTTGTCAAAGCCTAAAAGTAGAAAAAAAAATATTCACTAACAAGAAATTAATCTAATTGTTTAACTCACCTCAATAGATTTGTGGTCATTAATAACAACCAAAGGCCACCATCCCCGCCAAAGTGCATGTAAGCCCGATTTGATTTGGTGATTTGAAGCATTCGAAGTGAGAAAATTGACCAAGTTAACTGTTGATGGTAAATTATTGTCCAAAGTCGTAATTTTATTTAGTTAATTGTCATTTGGGATTATGTTTTAACATCAAGCAAAACTCTCAACTTACTTGATGACAATTTACTATCCCAATAAGCAGATTTAAATTTAGGTAAATCACCAAATAGGAATGAACATTCTGGGTCCTTTGGAAGTTTAAAAAAATAGTTTAAATAATTGAACAAATCGAAAAGTTTTTTCATCGCAAAAAAAAACAATAAAACCACAATTAAATTGATGAGCGATTTATTGATGAAATTCACTTCACTGAAAAACATGATAATATTATCCATTATTTATAATATTTTCACACTCAATAAACAAATTTTGACTATTCAAGAAAAATATACAAGAAATTGACTGATTGAAATAAACAAATTCTGAGCACCTGAATTGAAATTTAATGTTAACCCATCGCAATCAAACACGTAAGTAGTAAGAGGCGATTACGAAGGAATCTGATTCGACCTTGAAATATCCTTTTATTTTCTATTAATTAGAGTTTCATATTAACTGGTTTATCATTAAGTCTCCTCATTATTTGGATTTACCTTGAATTTTTCTTATCGTAAATGAAGTTGATTCAAATGTTTCAGTGGAAATTAAATTTACTAGTCTGATCAATCTAAATTATTACACACTTGAGTCTTGTCATGATCCTTATACGCGCGATCAGAGTAAAACTGATGAAAACGGTTTCAGCGAGACTCGAAATGACCACAATCTGGACTGAAAATTATTCATTTTAATATTAATTAAGAACATAAATCTTACTCTACAAGTCGATCATGTTAAATTAATAACTAATTTGTTTTCGTACTAACCTGAGCACAGAGAGCCATTGACAAGAATCGATCACATTGTTGGACTTGCATATGATGGGAAAAGAGGCCAAAAGTCCATGAATCGCGTGAATGTGCTAATAAATTACATGAATTACATGAATGCCAAAAGTTACATTTTATAGTTAATGAAATTGTTAATCATACAAGAATTGACATTACTCTTATCCGTATGAAAATGGGCTGAAATTGTACTAATTGGATCTACTTGGTGTAAATCGCACATTATTTGCCTCATGTTATATCAGTAATAATAAATAAAGAAACTTGAATAACATTAAAACTCGCGAGTTTATGACATATCTGTTTATACCATCGGACAGCTTGTAAAAAGTTGGCCTGGGTCAGAGCATCATGGTGTCCCAAATAAGTTGCATTCACTTCTGCAATTATAAAAGGGAAAATGACTTGTTAATCGTTAATAGCCTAAGTTAAGTGACGATTATTTTACTTATTTATTATTAATAGTTATCTCTACGAAAAGTATCAAAGGCAACTCTCTCATTTGGACAAAACTCTTGATTAAATGGGAAAGATGCACGATCAATGGTGTTGGCCTGTACTAAAATTGTCTCAAAAATAAGTTTAAGACCATCCTTGGGACTAATCGCGCTCCATTTATTCAAATACAACGGAATTGTTGAAGTTGTCGTTTCAGGAAATTTCAAATTATCATCAGCATAAGCGAGCATGAGATTCTGAAATAAATACAATCAAGAAATTGACAGAATAATATCATAATAAAGAATTTTTTGTTATTCATTGATTTGAATTAATTAACAACTTGTAAGTTGTTAAATTGACCAAACAAATGAAGAATATTTATGAGAAATTATTACTACAGCCGACTAAACACTTATCGCAAGCTCAGTGTGTTATTTAAACTAAGAGCTCAATGTTAACCCTTTACTAATCTCTAATTATCACACCAACTGTAGCAAGAGAGACTAGCCTAATTAATTGAGAAATACTAAAGGGTGAATATCAAAAAATTGCGATAAGTGTGTAATCGACTGTATTTGATTAGAAAAGCTAATACAGTAAATTTTAGAAAATCAGTAGAATTAATATACATATGTAATTGATAATGATCTTTATAATCAACTGACTCGTTTTCGAAGCATGATTTCCAGTGGACATGAGGGTTTTAAAGTGAATTCCGTTCTAAAAGAAACGTCTTCGAGTTTCTTGGCTGAGAAAATTTCATATCTTCTTATCAAATGAATAAGAAAAATTTTCATTTCGATTAAAGCAAATCGATAACCGATACAATTTCTTGGTGCTACTCCGAAAGGTATATAAGCTCCTTTGGGAATGTTTGGTAAATTTGATAGATCAAAACGCTCTGGATCATATTGAGTCGGGTTGGGATAAATTCGAGGATCTCGTTGAATGCTGAAAATGTTGACCCCGACAGTGGTTCCTTTTGGCAAATAGTAACTGTTAATCTCCATTGGTTCATCTAATTCTCTTGCTATCAATGGTATTGGTGGGTAAAGTCTCATTGACTCTTTGATACACTTATCCAGATAATTACACTTATTAACCTTTTCAATATCATTGACTGAGTCATTGTTATCAAACACCGATGAAATTTCTTGATATAACTTTTCTTGGATCTCAGGCCGGTTTCCTAAACAACGACGAAATAGAAAAGAATTTAAAAGATAGCCAAATTACATTGTATTATAGAAACAAAGTATTCTTACCTAAGATGAACAGTATCAAGTTGAGAGCAGTGGCCGTGGTCTCGTGTCCCGCTGCAGCCGTTGTCAACAGCTCTTCGCTTATTCCTTCTGAATCGATTTTACCTCGGCTAGAACCAGCTAACATATTCACCAAATTTAATGATGAAAGTGTACTCGACTCAATTTTATTGGAGTTTTCGTCAAGATTTCTGTTAACAACGCTTTCGAAAAATTTGTAACCTCTGCTGGTCATGCTGGTAACTTTTTTACCCAATTTCGTTAAAAAGAAAATGCGATCTATCCAATAAAGTGGATTACATGCTCTCTCTATCATTATCATTTCCATGAATTCGATGGCATCCATCATATGAAGTTTTTCCTCTCTTTCAGCGCCTATCGGTAAATCTGCGGTTACTTTAAAGATGATATCGAATGTTGATAGATGAATTTGATCAGCTAACGTTGAGTATTTTCCCTCTTCACAAAAATCGTCCTTATTTATCAACGAATCAAACACTTCGTCCATAGTTACTGCAAATCTTTTCTGTTGTTTACTAACGAAAAAAGGCTCAATCATTTTTCGTCGCATTTTCCACTTTTCACCTTTCGAAGTGACCAACCCTTCCTTTAGTCCAATAAATCCATATAAATAGGGCTTAGTTATGTGACTTTTACTAATCAGTGCCTAAGAATGCAAGTAAAAAAAACGTATTAATTAACAAATAATAACTTGATCGCTCTTGTGTACTCACCTCAACAGACTTGTGATCATTAATGAAAACAAAGGGCCACCACCCGAGCCAAAATACATGTACACCGGATTTAATTTGATGATAAGCAGCATTTTCAATTAAATACTTGGTTAAATAAACTGTCGATGAGAAATTTTAATTAATTCATTGTGATTAACAGATTTAGTTTTGAGAGGGAGAGATTTGATAGAGTTTCTATTAATTAACTCATTGCAATCCTCCAATATATTGGTAAATCTTTCAATATCTCAACTTACTTGATGTCAATTTCTTATTCAAAAAAGCAGATTTAAGTGTAAGTAGATCACCAAATAGGAATGAACATTCTGGATCCTTTGGAAGTTTTAAAAAAGGTTTCAAGTATCTGATGAAATCGAAAAGTTTTTTCACCACAAAAAAACTCAACAAAATCACAATTAAATTGATGAAATTTAAATAACCCGAAAACATGATGACACTTTTTCGGTTATTTTTCACACTTTAATTGATAATTTATAATCAACGTTTAACAACATTAACTAATTGAGATAAACTAATCGTAACTATTTTACACTTTATAAATTACTAATAAAAGGGATTTGACAATTTAATTAAAAAAACAAATTCTTAATCAATGTTTATGTTGTTTTAATTGTTAGATAAAAACGCAATTGAAATATCTGAAAAATTTATGAAGCTGAAAAATATGCAAACTTATTTCCTGAACTTTTCAACATGATGATAACTCGTCATGAACATTAAGAATCATTAAATGTTTGTCTAAGCAACACGAGGTAACTGAGTTCTCAATTAACTTTAGTATGATTACATTTGAAGGGAAAACGTTGATTAATGAGAAATAGATTTGACTTTTAAAATATCTCTACGAATTAATTTCAGCTCTTTCTATAAAGTTGTAACTATTAATAATTTGATTCTTTTTTATAATAAACATTTCCTCTAGAAGGAAAATTATTGAGTAAATGACACTGATATATCACTAATGATCAAGAACCAACAAATTCTCAAAAAAATATGCTTGTAACATCTCATAGAAAAATTATATTCTAGTCATTTAGCAACAATATTGTGATTTAATGAGTATCCAAAATAATTAAAAGTCCATTCAATACTTATTAATCAAAATTAAGCCATCATATGGTATATTTCATGATAATTAAGTATTGTAACTTATTAATTGGCTAGAAATTGATCATTAAAGATCAACTAATGACTTGAGTTGATTTTCACTAATCAGCCAAAGTCAAATCATCATTTTTACCTCTAATTGTAGTCACAAACAATTATTACGATTTTTAGCATGAAGATTGAAAATAAACTAGGCTACCTAAAAGTGAAGGTAAAAGACGAAAAAAGCAAAAGAAAGCAAACACAGTCCAGAGACCGGTCATTTTTCGCAATCAGCTGATAATTAACCGAATTTGAAAATTTTGTCTCCATTTACCAATCACAAAATAGCACATACTGTATTAAATACACTGTATTTATCTCTTACCTTACTACTGTAGTATCTCTTTAGTTAATGTGGAGTTTCATACTTTAAAGATGAAAGTTATAGCATGATTCATACAGAGAAGCATTTATTTTTAACTTATCGTAAGAGTTTTACATTGAGTTAAACTATGATAGGAATTATCTCTCTGACAATTAATCTAATGATTAATCTATTACTTTTTTTCATGATTTCTTATCAATTCGATCGTTTTCGGAGCATAATTTCCAATGGAAATGAAGGCTTTAAAGAGGTGTCCATTGTGAAAGAAACGTCTTCGAGTTTCTTGGCTGAGAAAATTTCATATCTTCTTATCAAATGAATAAGAAAAATTTTCATTTCGATTAAAGCAAATCGATAACCGATACAATTTCTTGGCATTACTCCGAAAGGTATATAAGCTCCTTTGGGAATGTTTGGTAAATTTGATGGATCGAAACGCTCTGGATCATATTCGGTCGGGTTGGGATAAATTCGAGGATCTCGATGGATACTAAGAATGTTAATCATGGTTGTAGGTCCTTTCGGTAAATAATAACCATTTATCTCAATTGGCTCATCCAATTCTCTTCCTATAAATGGTACCGGCGGGTAAAGTCTCATCGACTCTTTGAGACATTTATCGAGATATTCACAATCTTTAATCTTTACAATGTCATTTACAGATTCTTTGTCATCAAAAATTGATGAAATCTCTTGATACAATTTTTCTTGTATATCAATACGATTGCCTGAAAGAGGAATAGAGCAAACGAAATTCAGAGTTGAAAAATTAAACAAAGTTCACCTAAATTTCTTACCTAATATGAACAGGGTCCATTTCAGAGCAGTGGCAGTGGTCTCATGTCCCGCTGCAACTGTGGTCAAGATCTCTTCGCTTATCCCTGATGAATCGATTTTACCTTTATGAGAATTGAGTATATTGACTAAATTGAAAGGTGAAAACAATCCTGACTGATCATCAATATCATTCGAATTATGGTCCAGATTATTGTTGATAGCGATTTCGATGAATTCGTACCCTAGGTTAGCCATTTTGGTACACTTTTTACCAAATCTCGTCATATTGAAAATTCGATCGCTCCATAAAAAAGGATTACACAATCTGACTATTGTAGATCTTTCCATTAAATCGATTGCCTCAACTGAATCAAGTTTTCTCTCTTTTTCTGAATCTATTGGTAAATCTGCAGTCACTTTCATGATAATATCAGCTGTTGCTAAATGGACTTTGTGACAAAGGGTTAGATATTTTCCCTGGTTACAAAAATCATCTTCGTTTACCAATAAATCAAACACTTCGTCAATGGTCAGTGCAAATCTTTTCTGTTGTTTACTAACGAAAAAAGGTTCAATCATTTTTCGTCTCATTTTCCATTTTTCACCTGTCGAAGTTATCAAACCATCTTTAAGTCCCATGAATTTATAGAAAGGGGGTTTACTTATTATAGCACTATAACTAATCAATTCCTGGAATAGAAAGAACAATATTTTATATAAGTTCCAGAATATACAATCAGAAAGATTCAATTTTAATACTCACTTCAACACATTTGTGGTCATTAATCACAACCATAGGCCACCATCCAAGCCAAAATGCGTGTAGGCCCGATTTGATTTGGTGATTTGAAGCATTCGAAATCATAAAATTAGTTATAGCGACTGTAGATCAGAAATTTGTTCAACACATTTATATTTTAGTTTTCCATTAGACTATTGCATTCGTTTAATAATATTTTACCTTACCTGAAGAAAGTTTTGTGTTCCAGAGACCAGGTATGAATTGAATTGAATCGCCAAACAGAAATGAACATTTTGGATCCTTTGGAAGTTTAAAAAAGGGCTTCAAATATCCGATGAAATTGAAAAGTTTTTTCACAACAAAAACACTCAAAACAATCACAACTAAATTGATGCCTGATACATCGGGGAAATTTACATGACTGAAAATCACCATAACTTTTTTTCTTGGACTTTTCAATTAGATAACTTGTCATGAACGCTGAAAATCATCAACTGATTGTTAAAGAAATTTGATTAAGCTGAGTTTATAATTAACTTCAGAGTGATTGAATTTAAAGGGAAAATGGTGATCAATGAGAAATTATTCGACTTTTAAAAGCTTTGTTTTAATATTGTTAACCATTAATTTCAGCTCTTTGGGTAAAGTTCTAACTAATTTGATTCTTTTTTATAATAAACTTTTCCTCGAGAAGGAAAATTATGAAATAAATGACTAGGATACTGATCCATCTACATTGAGGACCATGGGCCAGTAAATACTCAGAAAAATGATTGTAACAGTAATAATACATAGGAGAATAATATTGTGATTTAATGAGCATCCAAAACAATTAAAAGTCTATTCAATTACAATTTCTTATCATATCAGTTCCTCATTTTATTAACATTTGATAATTAATTCGTTTTATTTGTATAATATAGCAGGAAAAAGCTCTCAACAAGTTAAATGAAGAATCTCTCTGTTTACTGTTATCATTGGTGCTTTTCTTAATATCTAATCATCATTTTCGTTAAAATAATTTCGTCATTCGCATGAGATTCGAGTATTTGAGCTTTTCAAATAAATCGCAGTATAAAATTGATCTAATCAAAAAACAGTTCTGATAATTTCTCTTACTATTATGATATTGTTAAGTATTTATATTAGATTGTAAGCTTGATTTTTTCGATAATCTCATGTTTTTGTTGTGATGAAAGGCAACTTCTCGATTGAGAGTGGAATTGCCTTGGGATAAATTGACATTTTCTTTATCCAAATTTTATAATCTTCAACCTGCTCAACCGTAGAACTACCGACGGCACTGAGCATCACTGCAAACGGAATCTAATACTCCTTTGCGCCTGCATATGCTAATAGATTTGAATCGAAATTTATGAACGGGCGCTGAAAAATTCATTTGTCATATTTTATATACTATTCAATCAGTTAGTAGGATATAGATGAAATCGAAACTAATTTAATGTTTATTATTTTTGAAGCTTTTTCAAGTTACAAGTGTATTTTAGTTTTGGATCAACTGAGCTGCAAAAGCCAATGAATTTGGGTGATTCAAAGGACAAGGCCGAGAAATTGAAATATTATGCATCCGATCGCTAATGACCTGCTCAATCGACTGACTCGAAACATAATTTACAGCGATCGATTGTATCTCTTTTGTTAATGTGGAGTTTCATACGTGAAAAATGTTTGTATCAAGTTTGAATAGAGAATAATGTATTTATTACTTATCGAAAAAGTTTTACATTGAGTTAAACCATAATAAAGAATATTTTACTCAAACTTTTTCTACATATACGATTATTTTATATTCTATTATTTATTTATTTCTATTGGCTCGTTTTCGGAGCATAACTTCCAATGGACACAAAAGTTTTATTGTAAAGTCCATCGTAAAAGAAACATCTTCGAGTTTCTTGGCAGAGAAAATTTCATATTTTCTTATTAAATGAATTAAGAAAATTTTAATTTCGATTGTCGCAAAACGATAACCGATACAATTTCTTGGCGATACTCCGAAAGGTACATAAGCTCCTTTAGGAATATTTGGTAAATTTGACGAATCAAAACGCTCTGGATCATATTCAGTCGGATTAGGATAAATTCGAGGGTCTCGTTGAGTGTTGAAGATGTCACACATAACTGTTGTTCCTTTTGGTAAATTGTAACCATTTATCTCAATTGGTTCAACCAATTCTCTTGCAACCAATGGTATCGGGGCAAAGAGTCTCATTGACTCTTTGATGCACTTATCGAGATAGTTACACTTATTTATCTTTTCAATATCATCCACTGATTCGTTTTCCTCGAACATCGATGAAATCTCTTGGTATAACTTTTCTTGAACATCTAGATGACTTCCTAAACGCGAAAAGAACAGTTGATGAAATAAGTACCAGTGGTATAAGTGGTTGATATTCTTACCTAAAATGAACACCGTCAAGTTAATAGTAGAAGCGGTGGTCTCATGTCCCGCTATAACCATAGTGAGCAATTCCTCACTGATTCCATCTAAATTGATTCTACCTTTGTTCGAGCCACTTAACAAGCTGATTAAGTTGTAGGTGAAGATTCTCTTTGACCTGACTGGTCAATTTTATTCTGATTGTTGTCAAGATTCTGATCGATAATGTTATCGACAAATTTGTACAGCCGGGACATCATTTTGGTAACTTTTCTACCCAATTTGGTGACCGAGAAAATTTGATCATTCCAATAAAGTGGATTACATACTCGTTCTATCGTAGTAGTTTCCATTAGTTTAATGGCCTTGAGCGCGTGTTGTTTTTCCTCTTTATCTGAACCTATCGGTGAATCTGCAGTAACTTTGAAAATGATATCAAACGATGATGAATGAATTTGGTCAGTAAGTGTTGAGTATTTTTCCTCGTTACAAAAATCGTCCTTATTTATCAATGAATCAAATACTCGATCAGAAATCTGGGCAAATCTTTTCCAGTTTTTACTAACGAAAAAAGGTTCGATCATTTTTCGTCTCATTTTCCATTTTTCGCCGCTCGAAGTTAACAAGCCCTCTTTAAGCGCAAGAAATTTATAAATACTGGGTTTCTGCACAATGTTTCTATTAATCAATATCTAAGAAAAGGAATAATCAAATGGTCAATCAGAAATCAATTCGAATTGGTTATATTCACCTCCATGGATTTATAGTCAGACAAAACAGCCACAGGCCACCAGCCAATCCAACCTCCGTAAAAGCCTGATTTCGTTTGATGATTTGAAGCATTTCGAGTCAAATACTTCGTTAAATTAACTGTTCATAAGAAAATTCAATCAAGCTGTATTCAATTTTGATCTAATTAAACTTATATTAACTTACGTGATACTGAGCTTGAATTCCCGAAACAATAGGGAAGCAATTTAAGTAAATCGCCGAAAAGGAATGAGCATTCAGGATCCTTTGGAAATTTGAGAAAACAATTAAAATATTTGATGAAATGGAAAAATTTTTTCACCACAAAAAAACTCAGCAAAATTGCCACTAAATGGACGAAATTAATATCACTGGAAAACATTATTCTTAATACGATTTCCCTATTAAACAAGCAGATAATAAATTATCATGAACATGGACAAGAGTCTGACTGATTCAATAGATTACAGAGAACGAATTTCATTAAAACTTTTAGTTCCTTGCAATGGTACAAGGTCGAAGCAAAATGAATTCAGTTGAATTTTAATGTAATTAAATTCGAAATCAAATAAAACGATATTTCCTCTATTGTTAGAACATTAACTATGATCATCTCTAATTTATCTCTCAATTTAATGATTCTCTTGGTATCGTACTTTTATTGTTTTCAATAGCAACCTTAATTAGTGAATGATTATTATAATAATTGTAATTTCCAACAATCAAATGAACAAATGATATTTTAATGACTCTATTTACATTTTTTAGCTGACGGATTCAACAAGACAATATAGTCAATTTAATTATCAATTATGGTTTTTCTGGCTGTATCAGTTTCTCATAATTTCAATAATCGAGAGATTTTAACTAAAGATATTAACTTTGAAGGAAATAAGACAAGTAAAAATCTCGAAAAATAATTTGCCAATGAATTCGAGATCGAAAGAGATTAAGAGCAAGTACCATCATCTGAAGATGAGCGATATTATCGATATTTTGGTGTCGATTTTTATCGATACAAGAAAAAGAATATCGATTAATAATTTCTCTGCCTTTCTACTTTTTCTTTTCGCCATATTATTTTTGAAGATTTTTTTGACCGATTTTTCAAAGCTTTTCTTTTTCTCTTACTTTTTTCTCTGTCTTTTTCTCTTTCGCTAAATATCGATAAGATCGATATTTAAAATCTGAGTATCGATATCGTTCGATGATATTTTTTTCAAATAGCGCCCATCATCAAACAGAATTACGTTTCATTTCCGTTTAATCATACAGGATGAAATTAAGATCATCTGAAAAATCGCTTTATCGTCAAATGGATATTCGAAAGCTATTAGAGCTCAATGGTTTATTCGTATGAAATCGTCGATTGAGTAGATAAAACTTTGATTTCAATCAGTTGACAGAATTTCACATTGTTATAATACTATCGCATGTGTCTTTATAATGAGATCAATAGATTAGAAGATTAGAAGTCTAGAAGATTTGAACATTCAACTGATCAGAAAAGATTTTATTTTGCTAATAGAAAGTTTAACCAACTGGGTAAAGTGAGAATCTGAACGATTTGTCAATCGTTGATTTGATTCAATTAGAATAATGTTCAGTCACTTAGTTGAACTGTTCAGAAAGTCAATCTCTTTTCTTTCTTAAAAAACCCCATATGATACGGTAAAAGCTCTCGAACGTCACTACCGTTGAGTTGAGGCTACATTTTCCTGTGAATTGATTCTACCTTTGTTAGAGAGACGAAGTATATCAAAGAAATATTAGATGAAATCGAAACAAGAATTATGGTCAATTACCTTTAATTCATAATCAATTAGATAATCATATTTACTTAGTATACTACAGGGCGTTTACGCTAATTAAACAGATTTGTTTTCGGAATAACTCGTGAACTAAGATTCGCACAAACAAATGGACTACACCGGTGGACTTGTCGTGTCTTAGGGTTTACTTTGACACCAAGTTCGAAATTTAAATTCGGCAGGCCAGAATTCCGTTCCAAAATTCGATTTTAAGACAAACGATAAATTTTTCGGTATGAACAAAGACTGAATATCTAGCAAAAACATTTTTATCAGTTTTGACCTTTTGGTTGTCGGAATTCTGGCCTGCCGAATTTAAATTTCGAACTTGGTGTCAAAGTAAACCCTAAGACACGACAAGTCCACCGGTGTAGTCCATTTGTTTGTGCGAATCTTAGTTCACGAGTTATTCCGAAAACAAATCTGTTTAATTAGCGTAAACGCCCTGTATAGTAAAAGTTTTCTGGTATTAAAAATAAAAAGTAAAAAAGTGTTGGTTCGATGGACAAATGAATTTAATTGAGGAAAATAAATCTAACGTTATTTTATTAACGGTTTTTGACAATTCGCACAGGTAGTGACAAAAATTAACAGATTAAACAATCAAGATTAGAAAAATCAATGAGTAAATCATCTAAGTCTTATCACTGGTGATAAAGATTATCAATTGATTTTCGTAGATAAGTTGTGCGAATGATTAAAAATTCAACTTCGACTCGATTCGAAACTCATTTTTCACGACTGTATAATCAGGATTGAATAGTAAACACAACTAGTTAATGATACTAAAAGTAATTGTAATTTCCAAGAATCGTGATTAAATGATATTTTAATGACTCTACATTTTTTGTTTGATTGTCAATGATGTTTTTTTTCATACTTTGATTTTTCATTTCCAACAATTAATTATTATTATAATAATATTAATATTATGAATTGAAATCTTGAAAAAAGGATAAGACTTCGTAACGATTTTTGTTACCTGGTTTATTTTTTACTAAATAAATTGACCAATAAGTTTTGTATTTAATGAATTGAACGGCAAAAATAAGAGAGAATATATTTTCTTATTAATTACTTAAAAGATGATTATGGATTTAATTAAGATAAATCGATCAGTTGGTTCGTTTACGAAGCATGATTTCCAATGGGCTTGAAGGCTTTAAAGTGAAATCCATTTCGAAAGAAACTTCTTCGAGTTTCTTAGCTGAGAAAATTTTATATTTTCTTATCAAATGAATAAGAAAAATTTTCATTTCGATTAATGCAAATCGAGACCCGGTACAAGCTCTTGGTATTACTCCGAAAGGTATATAAGCTCCTTTGGGAATGTTTGGTAAATTTGATGGATCGAAACGCTCAGGATCATATTGAGTTGGATCAGGATAAATTCGAGGATCTCGATGGACATTAAAAATATTACATATTAATATTGATCCTTTTGGCAAATTGTAACCATTTATCTCAATTGGTTCCTCCAGTTCTCTTGCTATCAAAGGTACAGCAGGATAAAGTCTCATTGATTCTTTGAGACACTTGTCAAGATACTCGCAATGTTTAACCCTTTCAATATCATTAACCGATTCGTTTTCTCCAAACATCGATGAAATCTCTTGGTACACTTTTTCTTGGATATCGGGGTAGTTTCCTTTAAACGAAATGGAGCAAACAAAAGAAACAATTTCAAATCTTATTCGTAGAATGAAATTCGTTTTTCTTACCCAAAATGAACATCAACGTGTTAAGAGTTAAGGCCGAGCTATCATGTCCAGCGGATACTGCGGTCAACAGCTCTTCGTTGATTCCTTCTAAATCGATTTTTCCTTTGTTAGATGTGAGCAACATTTTGACGAAATTGAAAGAAGATGAATCCGATTGACCAGACTTATCGCTCTCATTCAAAATTTCCTCATTCCTTATGATACAATCGTCAAGAAATTTGTACACTCTGGCCATCATTTTGACGGTTTTTCTACCTGCTTTGGTTACATTGAAAATCCAATCGAACCATAAAGGTGGATTGCATATTCTTGCCATCGTGTTCGTTTCCATTAGGTGCATAGTCTTGTTAAGAAAATTTTTCTCTTCTTGTTCTTTTTCTATCGGTACACCTGCGGTGGCATTGAGAATAATGTTACCTGTTGATGAATGAAGTTTTTCGACGAGTGTTAGATATTTTCCCTCTTCGCAGAAATCGTTTCCGTTTATCATTGGAGCAAAAACGCTGTCAGAAATGATAGCAAACTTTTTTGTTTGTTTGCTAACGAAAAAAGGTTCGATCATTTTTCGTCTCATTTTCCATTTTTGTCCAACCGAAGAGATCAAACCCTCTCTGAGTCCGGTGAATTTATAGAAAATGGGTTTATGTATAACATTTTCTCTAACCAGTGCCTGAGAATAAAAAACTAATCCAGTTAGTTTCATTCTAAGCATTGAGCTTTCTTTCCAGTCAAGTTTTTTCGTGGATTATCTACTTAATCTGTGAGGCTAATCTCGTAAATTCAACTAATAATCGTTAGATAATGGATATAATTTTAACCTTCACTCACCTCAATGGCTTTATAATCATGTAGAATCACAATAGGCCACCAACCAAGCCAACCTCCATGTATACCCGATTTGATTTGATGATGAGAAGCATTTTTTGTCATATAAGTGGTCACAGCATCTATTGAATGATTTAACATCAAGAGTAATTGTCGATTTGATTGTCATATTAAATATTATTGTAATAAAACAAATCTATAAGTAAACTTACCTGAAGAAAATTTCTGATCCCATATAGCAGGTATGAAGTGAAGTAAATCGCCCAATAGGAATGTACAATTAGGATCCTTTGGAAGTTTTAAGAAACAGTTATAATATTTAATGAAATTCACAAGTTTTTTTATCACAAGCACAATTAACATAGTTACAATTAAATCGATGAAAAGTTTATAAGTGAAATTCATCTCACCATAAAGCATGATGATATTTTTCTCGTACGTTTCACTCTCAGAGTTCAGAGCGAGGATATGAGTTTGACTGACAAAATGAAGGAAGGCAAACAAATGAACACAACTCGAATGGTAATCATTTCCAATATCGTCATTATTATTACCTCAGGAAAAAGATTCTTTATAGATAGGATTGTTTTTCCACGATGAATTCACCCATCTAGGCAAATGATTTAATGTAAAAATACATCTAAATATGAGATGAATTGAAATATACTTTATCTAATGATCATCGCTAATTCGTTTACCTTAATTGTTCAAGATTGAAGGTCTAAAACAATATTGAATATTTACGATTGTTTTAATGATACAGTCCTTTCAACATGATTTTCTTTACAATCGAATGGAACTTTTTACAAAAAAGTTAGTTGAAACGATTAAGAATTAGATAAGATCAACTCGAATCGATCAACTCGATCAGTTGAAGGTTTAAAAACAAGCGGCTTTTTGGGTCTATTTTTTTAGAAAAGGGTCCATTTGATTCTTTCGATAGTCCCATAAAGGTTGCAGGTCATTCATTAGGTGTCTACTACTTTTTTCATTTTGAGACATTTCTAAAGCCGAAAAACGAAATATTAAATAGGAAATCGAACCTTTAGTTCGTATTTATCCATAACGACCTCAAAGTGAAATTTGCCTGATTGACATAAAGAACAAATTAGATAATAGTTAGTCATTTTTGTCTATTAGAAATACATTGAATAAGCATTCGAACAATTCCAAGTTTTCAATAAGTTTCGATAGTTATTAAACTCGAAAAATGACCGCAATGGCCATAATCAATTCGGTAGCATTACAATAAGATGAAAAATTAATATTACCAGCTGGTCAAAGCTAGCGGTTCCTGTAATTCAATTTGTGAGTAACTGTAAATTATTCAATTGAAAAAAACAAGGAGAATTAAGCTGATCGCCGAAGTTGATTTGGACCTGTTGTAATTATTTTAATTTAATCATTTATTATTATTCAACCACTAGAATTGTGGTCAACTACCTTTAAATCATAATTAAACAATGGTCAAAGTTTTTATACGTTATGGAAAAAGTAAATAATATTGATTCAATGTCATTGAATCACAAGTAATTTACTTATGCTCATAGCATAAGTTTAAATCAATAGAAAACATAATTTAATCATCTTTTTTGAATAGGAGAACAATTAGTGAATTATTACTATATACTAGGGAAGTAATTTTCCACTGAACAATCACAATTAATGCTCATAAGATGGACACAAAATGCTAATATACATAAATGCTTTCATATCATCATTTAAAATAGTAAACACAATAACCTTATTATTGTAGTTGATGATTATAAAAGTAAATGTGATTTCCAAGATTAACGATCAAATGATATTTCAATGAATAATTACATCTACATCATGTAAATCTTTTACTTGGCGATTCGATAATGTTTTTCATATTTAGACAGCTCATTTTAAGCAATTAATTAATAAATCGAAATCTTGATAAATGGATGAGATAATATAGCGATTTTTGTTACTTGGTTTATTTAGCTTTTTTGAATTCGTGTTTGATGATTGTTAGGATAATCTACATGTTTATTATGTTGTTAATTAAGATAAATCGATCAGTTGGTTCGTTTACGAAGCATGATTTCCAATGAGCTTGAAGGCTTTAAAGTGAAATCCATTTCGAAAGAAACTTCTTCGAGTTTCTTAGCTGAGACAATTTTCTGTTTTCTTATCAAATGCAAAAGAAAAATTTTCATTTCGATACAAGCTCTTGGTGCTATACCGAAAGGTATATAAGCTTCTTTAGGAATATTTGGTAAATTTGATGGATCGAAACGCTCAGGACCATATTGAGTTGGATTTGGATAAATTCGAGGATCTCGATGGACATTAAAAATATTGATTTAATAAAGAAAACAAAATAATCTACCGATTGATGTAGTCAATTTATTCTGGCCAAACTAAATAAAGTTTACTTTAGTTTGCCATGAAACTTTGGTCGAAAAACTCGTTTAACTAGAAAAATATAAGATCTGGAGAGAATAAAAATCAAACCGAACTGCATCTCATTTATCGTTCTATTATCGTGCAAATTTAATAGAAAATCGGAGTTGGGGTCAGAAATGGAACAAATTTTTCTATTCCTAACTTTTTATCCATAAAACCCTTCATCAAAATAATTATTATTAACAGGCTATTTAATCATCACTAATAAGTTCGAGCGTCAACCAAAGGTTCGCCGTTCGAATTCATAGTTCTAAATCAATGTTTTGATAACTGAGTCTGTTCAAGTTGATTGGAAAAGTTTTTTTTGGTAATAGTTGAATTCAGAATATCAGAATTGAAATTTATTTAGTTGTATCATGTTCGGTAACGTATTTGGATACACGAAAACTTAATATTTTAGGATAATTCATTAGCACAAATTATTCAACTAACCACTGACTCTATTTCGTCTTTTCTTGCCCAGGCCATATGAGAGTTAATATTAAGCAATGTTGACAATTTAGTAGCCGTTGACATGAAAGTTTCTTCAAACTCATTTAATGATCCACTTGAATTGTTACTCGAATTGGTGTTTCCCTGTTGCTGTAGTTGCTTTTTGTTTAACCAAAACTGTTCCAATGTCATCAGAAGCTCCATGATCATGTCTTTACATTCACCTTGATCTTTATTGTAAAGATAAACAGCATAATTAATCAATGGAATCGGAGAAAAATTAACCATTCGCTCCAAATTCTTTGTAGCGGTTATATGAGCCTGTCGAGCATTTATATCATCGCTTAACGATTCAAGACAAACACCAAGCAACGAGAAGATAACATTTGATGTCGACGATTTAGCAAGAGCACAAGAGGTTTTAAAGAAATGAAAACCACTGGCAAATTGTCGCAATTGTAATGATATTAATCCAAGATTATAATTAATCCGATGATCCAATGGATTAAGGTAGATAGCTCTTTTCAAGCAACTGACCGCCGCTACATATTTCTTTCTCGCAGCAAAGCAAAGAGCAACATTATTCCAGATACTCGGTGATTCATAACATTCGGACAGTTTATACTTGTAAAGAGCACCTTCGATATCTCCACGAGTTTCCTGTAAAATTGAACCAACGGCCAGAGATAGATCGAGATTTCCTCTTAAATTCATCGTCATTTGATTTAATTGAATGAACTTTTCGATTCCTTTTGACCTCATATCACTTTCCATCAATAGTTGTCCCAAACGTATTGCAACCGGAATAGAGTCTGGTGATATTCTGGATACATAAAACAATAGAAGAAGAGAAATTGATTGAAAAATTTAATCAAATTAAGAAAATTACTGGTAAGAGATTGATTGTAAAAAATCAATCGGCAGTCAAATCAGAACAATATAACCAACAGATTAATAGATTAGTGGATTTGAACTTTCAGCTTCAAATATTGTAAATTAATCAATAAACTCTAATCAATCTAATGGATTTGAGATTGAATTTGTTCATTTAAACATTGAAATGATCAGAAAATGAAAAAGTTTTGCAATTTGTACAATTAGATTTGATTTTGCCAATAGAGAGTTTAATCAACTGAGTAAAGTGAGAATCTAAATGATTTGTTAATCGTTGATTTGATTCAATTGTGATAATGTTCAGTCACTTAGTTGAACTGTTCAGAAATTCAACTATCCCTGGATTTCCGGTTCTTTTTTCACTTGAATCTAAATCACGACAATACTTGTGGATACTTGTGGTCATTGTTTTTCTTGGATTAACTACAAATTCACTAATCACAATAGTCCAAGAGTTTTTAACTTTCCCAATCATAGTCAATGTACTTGTTGCCGATAGTCGAGTGTTACCTTTTCCAGCGGTAACGATTTGTAATCTTAATCCGGTTCATCGATCGCGATTTTGTTCATATCAAGATGTGACGATTAACAAACCAGTCGACGTTGAAAGTATTCTATGTGCTAATCTGGATAAAATGTTGGACCTTTGTGAGATCTCAAGTTTTTTAAATGATCTACTCGATCAGGGTCGAGAAATTTGTCTACCTCAGACCATCAAGCGTCGACCAATCGTCCGACCTTTACGTCCAATAAATTTCACTCGTCCCATTGATAGATTTAACTTTGGTCAATCGAATCGTAAGTTGAACAGTTCATCGTCGATCCCAAGGCGACGGATACCTCGAGGTCTTTCACTCAGGGAATTCATTCAAGGTTTTCGTATGTTCATCTCGGGTGATGTTATTGGCCTTTTTAATTCGACTGGACTATTAACTGGACTCGGTGTAAGTCTAATTCTTCATGATAATTACATTACATTAACGGTTATTAATTTAATACAATTCAGCAGGAATCTGGTTCTTTTATCGATACAGCGGTTATTCAATTCGCCAAGATTTATGGGATTAACATCAAGTCGAGTGAGGATCTGATTCCAGCCTTGTTTTTGAAAGGATTTGCGGATATAACGGTAAATTTTAATGTAATACTTTCGGTGAAGAAAAATAACTAATCGTTCGTTAAACTTATCCAATGAAAGGGTTGTCGATTTGGATCAGTTTATAGATCAAATGGTTCGATCGCACTAGAGGCCACTCTTCGTAATATAACTGACCTCATATTGGTGAGTAAATGTATTGTGTTGGTATTACTTTAATAGCCGATCCATTTTGACTCAAAGTTCGTAATGTTTATTATGTCCAGAATTCGGGCTGTATCTGGAAACTTCCGAGGCTTTTTAGCCTTTTCCAAAATTCATCCGAACGTCTACTCAATGGCCTTTCCTCTTGCACAGCTCCTTGGGTCAGATCAGTTCTCAGGGTTAACAGTTCATCTTCCGATGATAAAGATTTTGACCAAACAGAATCTCCTTGGTATATCTTATTGGATCTACTTCAATCTTGGTTGGCCGATTTAAGTCGTAACCATTTATCAGTTGCTCGACACTTAGGCCATCAATCGAATGATCTAATCATGAGTTGTCATTTTGCGGGTAAAAAATGTTATCCAACTGAATTTGATTCAATATTTTCCAGTTCTTATGGAAACTGTTACACTTACAATATGGCTGATTCACTTTCATCGATTATTAAATCAACAAAACAATCAATCAATTCTGATCAAAAGCTATCTGGTTTTACTGGACCCAAGTTTGGTCTTGAATTGGTTTTAAACCTCGAAGTTGACCAGTACATGCCGACATCGAGGGAAACTGGAGCTAAGATTGTGATTCACGATAGATCGCAAAAAGCTGATCCCGATCAAGATGCTGTCCATGTGCCTCCAGGTAACAATAAATAACAAGTCCAATCAAATGATCTAATTGCCAAGTAATTTATCATTTTCTAATCAATTAGGTGTAGTCACCTATGTAGGAATTCAATTGATTAATATCACTCGACTTCCAGCTCCATATCGAGATCAATGTTCAGACGATTGGCTCGATGATTGGGTCAAAGACTGGGCGATGTCCATTGACCATGGACCTTATACTTCACAGTTTTGTCTAAAATTGTGCCTTCAAACGTACACATTGACCAAATGCGATTGCTGGACAGTTTCCGCTCCACCGCCCAACAATTCAACTCGCAAACAATGTAACTTACGACGGAATCCAGGTCAATTAATAACAATCAAACTAAATCACCTCAATTGATTTAACTTTAATTTTCCAATTCTTTTACTCTTCCAGGTCAAGCTCAATGTGTTGAGCGAGTTCGAGAAAATTATTACGCTGGCGAATTGATCTGCAACTGTCCACCTCGATGCAAGTAAGTTTCTCGACCGATTGATGATCGAAATAATCAAATTAATAAATTCTTATTCTATTCAATCAATTTAATTTTGTTCTACTTCGAAGTGAAAAAGTTTACGAAAAGTTCATTTCCACTGGAATCGAAGCTGCTCAATGTTCAGCTTTATCATCGGGTGTCGAAGATTCATCGGTAGATCACAAGTAAACAGAAAAATGTTCTAATCGTTGAGATTAAATTCGAAGACAATTAACATCTAATAGTTAATCAATTTTGTTTCGCAGGGAAAACATCGCCAAGGTGATCATTTATTACCAAACATTGAGCTTCACTGAAATAACTCAAGACGTTAAATACACGGTAAGTCTCAATTTCGAAGTTAATTAACTTAATTAACTTTAATTTCTTTCAAGTGGTCAAGTATCATTGGTGCGATCGGTGGTATTCTTGGCGTTTACCTGGGATTTAGTTTGATTACAATTTACGAATTTTTTGAAATTCTAATTGTTTCTTGTATTCGGCAAATGATTCCTAACAAAACTTTCACTTCTAAAATTAAGACTCGAGTAAATTGACGATTTAATCTTTTGTCAACAATTAAACTGATAGTAGAAGAAGAAAAGTGATTAAAGAAATAATGATCATTGACCAATGTCCGAAATTTAGTTTCCAAATTAACTAAATAATCAAAGAAATTGACAAAATCTCATCTTCAAGTTAAAATGTGACAACAACCATCAAGTTTTCAATGGTTATGATTGTAATCATCTAATAAATTGGAAATTTTTTCACAATTGTAAACAATTTACTTGATTTCTTTTAATCAATTGCTCATTTTAAGGTCAAATCAATTGTACCTGACACCGAAAATGATTACAATTTCAATTGTATGTCGACAATTTGTTTTTTTTTCTTGATGATGTTTACCCTTTTTCTGGTTTGGGTTTTGTATGAGGGAACGGATTAGATGAATAATCAAGATTAGAATGAGAGAGAGATTAATTCTTAATTTATCTGTCAAGTTAATTTAGTTCGTAAACATGATGATCATCGGTTGATCAACAAACTTAATCACGATAACCTCTTTTTTCACTTGCAATAGTATTAGACTGATTGATAGAAACAAAAGAGAGTAAAAGATAAACGTAATTAAATTGTTTCTAATTATTGATGAGACGATAATCAAAGATGATCACTAAAGAGAAGCAAAAGAAAGGGAGACAACAATTAACACCAAGATAATTATTAAAGATAATTACTAATCGAGTTAAATTGTGAACAACAAAACAAAAACAAAACCAAAAGAAAACTGAAAATTGAAAGAGAAAAATTTTCTATATGTAAACATTAACGTCGTTGTTGTTGTTGTTGTTTACAAACTCACCCAAAGATTGGGAAGCAATTTAATTGTTCCCTGGTCAGTTGTCTAATCCATTGGCCTGTTAATTTAGTGACCACCGTTGATTAACTAATTAACTGATTTGATTGCCTGAAGAGGGCATAAGTTGATTTAATAACAATTCAGTTGAATGTGTGAGCTGTTGGTTGGAAAACAACAAAATACCAAACCGGTTAAACAGAAACCAAAGTCACATCAACAAGTCAACTGGTAACTTTTTGTTTTCTCCTTCACTTTGATTACAATTATTGTGGATAATTCAACAATTGATTTAATTGTGATTAACACCATTAATCTTCTAATCAACATACGGATATTAAAACTGTTAAATTTGGATTAACAATCAAAACCAAAAGTGATCTTCATTGGGATAATATTTTTCTTTCCATAGTTGTTTGTTGTTGTTGTTGTTTTCTGTTGTCACCTTAGTGTCTTAATATTCAATTTGGTTTCATCTTACAACTTGAGGTAAGTTTTGTCAACCTTTTTTATTTTTTGATTGTGTTTACTATTTTGATTGTTTTAATTAACTTGTTGTGTGAAAATTAATCAATCCTATCTAGTTGATTAATCTACTGACCCAGTGTTTTCTTGGCTATTTGTCTCTCCTCTGTGTCTATTCACCTTGACTTGTATTCATAACAATGGATCGTTTGAAATTTCTTGACAACAATTGTGTTCTAATTGACTTACTTGTCTTGATTTTGTCATTTACTTTCACAATTATTGTTAACTAATCAAATAATTTACTGTATTCAATGTTATTCGGTAATTAAGATTAATTGTTGAAGCAAAGAAATGTTTCAAATCATCTCTTTCCTGTGTCACAATTTTGTTTCAATCCAAAACAAACAAATGAGTTACAATTTTGGGTTTTCTTGTATTTTCAATGAAATTAATTCATTTGGAAACAAAATTATTCATTCATATTAATTGTAACTGACAAACTGTTGATTAGTGATTCTAATACGGGATGAAATGATAATCATCTCATGTGATTGTTCAGAATTTTAAATGAGCGGAATTGACAAAAATTTCCAATCTATTGGTTGATGTTTATGTTTTTTTTTGTCGCTTTCAAACCATTTGGATTAACTTTCCAATCATTTAACAATTAATACATTGGTGATGATTAATTCTTTCACCAACTAATCATCATCATCATCACAATTGTCTTTCTAATTGTTTTACACTCTTAAAGTGTGCCCATTGAATCAAGGTAAGTGTCCATCTAATTACCTTGTACTGGTTTCTTTCATCAACTTGCCCTTTCCTCCCTTAAGAAAATGTTGTTTACTTGTGCTAAATGGTTTCCATGTTAAGCTATTCGGAGAGAGATGAATATTATCTTCTCTTTCTTTCTTTCTTTCTCAGAACTTTTTTTGTTGCTTTTCTTGTGAAAGAAAACTCAGTAATCATGAGGATTGATGATGATGAAAAAAAGAGATGTTGTTTTCAAGTGTAAAAGAGAACATACAAAAGTCCTAAATGATGAAGAGAAAAAGATGAAACTCTAAAAATTGAAAAGAAAGAGATGAAAGGAATGATGATGACGATGAAGATGAAGATGAAGATGATGACCATTGAAGAGAAATCATCTCAAATCTCTCTCTCTCTCTTTCTTTCTTTCTTTCTTTTCCTCTTTCTTTTCATCTTCAATGACGGAACTAGATTAACCTGAAACTGCAGTTTGCCTGAAGGTAAATTGGGTAAGATGAGAATAGAGAGCAAAGTAACCGAAAGATGAAGATGATGATTAAAGGGGAAACCAGAGGATGTTGCGTATTAATTTTTATCATCATCATCATCAAAATAATTAGTAAATTGTGATTACCTTTAGATAGAGAGATTTTAGTGATGAGGATGAAGAAATCGATTCATTTTCATGTTCATCTTTCCATCTTTCTGATTATTTTTATCATGTCCTAACACTGAGCGTTAATTGTTTGGCCTGAAGAGTTTATCAATTGTAACCAGTCTCCAACAATTAAGCCAAAATCAGTCAGCTTAGTTTTTTTTTACTTGCGTTGATTGTTTACCTTTTTCTTAAAGGTTAATTCAGATTCTTCATTTCAACCTGGTTTCAATGGATTCAATTTCAAGTCTAATCTTGCAACAATTAATATCAACAATCAACCATGATACTCACATATATTTTTATAAATGATTAATTTAAATAATTGTTAACATAATCAAGATGTTGAGGAGATTATTTTTAAAAAGTAACTGTTTTTTTTTCTTGCTTTAATATTATAATAGTAAATATTTTATTCTAATTATATTTTTTAAGGTTAACCTAATGATGATGATGGTCACGATAAGATGAAAGTTGAATTTGTTATGGTCATCGTTTAGATTAATCCATTTTCTGATGATTTTGATGGTTTGTAATAAGATGATTAACTTAAATTAGACTATTAATCGTGGGAACTACGAAAACATCACAATATATGTATAAAGAGAGAGAGAGAGAGAGAGAGAGAGAGAGAGAGAGATGGACATTAGAGTGAATGGTCAGCTCATGATTACAATGAATCTGTTGACAGGTAAAGGATAAGGAGAGTTAATCAATTTCACCCATTTTTTATTGTTCTTTTTGTAATACCTTAGATAATTAAGATAGTTAAGTAATTAACTTACTCAGTTGCTCTTCTTAGGACAAAAATGGCCGATTTGGTGTCACCTTCGATCGTGTGACATTGAGCCAACAATAGGAAAGGTTCAACTGTATTAGCATTTTGAAGTGAATGTTGATACGCATCTTTGGCGAGTGAAATATTACCTGAATGGAGATAACAATTGCCCAAGATTAACCATAACTGCCAATCGTTTTGTGCCATTTGCAGGCCAGTTTCACGAATCACTTCGGACACCTCCGTGTGTCTACCAAGAAGAAGTAAACATCTAATAACCGCTTTAATATAGTAAACATTTGACAAAGATTTAATATGATTAAAGAAGGATAAAGCTTCCTTTACATTTCCTTTATCTCGTAGGGAGATTAACCCTTTCAGGTACCAAGAGTATTCTGATGAACAATCAATCCGATTAATTTGTTCACAACAATAATTATATTCACCACGAACATAATGTAAATGTAATAACCAATTGTAACTTTCTTTGGATCGTAATTCATTACTTGGTGGTTTAACTGTGGTCATTATTGAACTGGACATTCCACTTGATTTAGCTGAAGGTGGAATCATCTTGCTATTATTATTATTATTATGAATACACTCACTTTCACTTACAATCAATTGAAGATTATCTTGATCACTTTTACTATTTTCATCAATACCATTTAGTTGATTGTTAACATCGTAATCACTTGTGTCCATATTAATGTCCACTCTTTTGATTTAATCTTATTTTCACTTCCCCAATTCCCAATTTATCATCATCACATTTGAATATAATACTAATTTTCTCATTCATACAATTGTAAACACAATTGTCTCTCTCTGTTGTTTATTATTATTATATTATTGTTGTCATTAGATTTCATGAATTACTTTTTGTTGACAATGTTAACTTTGTTTTGAATCTCATGGTCACCATGGGAAACTGAACCAGAACTATTATCCATCCACCCTCTGAAAATGATCAACAAGCAATGATGATGATGAGAGATCATTTTTTAACTCTATCATGATGATTATCTTCGTCTTAATTATGATTATAAGATAATCATCTCTTCACATGTGAATCTATTTTATGTGAACACAATCAACCATTATCATTAACAAGCTTACCCTTGGATTGTTACACTTAATCAAGATTCACACTCACACACACACAATCATGATTATTATGAATACACAATTAGCTTCTCAATAGTAATAACAAAAATCTTAATCATTGTCACCTTAATCATTAATTTCTGCTTATAATTTGAATCACAATCAGGAAATAAGGTAACTTATTGGTGAAAAAAACATCCAACAATCTTATCAATCATACATTTATATTAATTGCTGTAATAATCATCACAATTTAATCATAATTTGTTTAAAAAAAAGGAGATTAACTATTCTGACCCACTTATTATCATCTTTTTTTCTCGTTAACTATTACAATCAAATGCTCCTTTGTTTACAATTAACTGGTAATAGTGATTCATTAATAGCTGATAATTTAACGCTTCTCAATTTATTACAATTAATATTTACTATTACAGGTCAATCAGACTTAATTGTGATTGTGAGTAAGAATAAAAAAAACGATTGATACTAAATCAAATAATACTACATAACAATCAATTGTAAATTGTAATAATATAGCTAATTTTGTCTGTTGTGATAAAAAGTGTTCAAGTTAATCATGAATCAATTGAATCATTAATTTAAATTAATATCATGCATGTAAGATTTTTCATCATAATCATCATCAACTCATTATGATTAATTTTGATTGTTATTACTTTTACTTTGTCTTGATTTGTGTGTGTATGTGTGTTTAGTTTGATAATATTACTACAATTAACTTGAACAATCAATGATCAACACAATAAGGTTGTGTATTAATACGTATTTTTTTCACATCAACTTAAATTGTAATTGAAAAATGTTTGATTGTATTTTCATATTTTCATCAGCAATTTACTGAATTGTTTCAATTACTTTATAATTTTCATCAACAATTTATTTATCATGATGATTATCATTATAAACATGATAACTTTATTTTCATCTCTCATTGAATTGAATTAATATCATGCTGGGAATTGAATTTGATTGTTATGATTAGTGATTGATGTTTAAATTTTGTTTCACAATTAACTAATCATAATATATATCTTGATAACAATCAAGAAAAGTAACTTGATTACCATAATTATAATTAACTTTTTTCTGAGCTTTTTTTTCTTGCTAAATCATGAATTTGATTAATAATTAGTCAAGTTAATTAAAAAAAACGTTATGAATAATAATGATAATTGATCAGATTAGAAAATTTAATTATTCGGATAATTTTAATTGTTTGATCAGTTGATTAACTTTTCAATTCTAAGTTACCAACAATTAAATGGTCATTTGATTGTAAGTCTCTTGAAACTTTCTAACAATTAATTGTTTTCAATTAAATTTGGTTCCATCTGAACAACTATTTAGGTTTAATTTGGTTATTATAAATAAGATCAATTTCAATTAACTGTTAATTGTTTGAATTATAATTAGCTGGCTAACTAATTTAAAGAAATAATTAGATAACAATTAGCTTGTGAATCTTTTTCTTTGATCGTTGTGATTAAAACTTTTGATTCATTAACAATTAAATTAACCTTTAAACAGTCAATAATTTATTTTGATTGTTTGATTAAAACTGAGACCAATTTAATTAAATTGAATTGAATAGGAAAATCAAAATCAAATGCTCAACATTGATTATCAGTTTTCTTAATACAATCAGCTAATTGTCAGCTTTAACAAAATGCTTTTGATTACAATTAACTGTCAATTGTTGATTAAATCCAAATCTATCAAATTTTGAAATGAATTTCAACAGATTAATCTTAATTGTGAATTGATTGTTGCAATCAAGGTTAATCAATGTTACCAATATTTGATAATTTTATTTTCTAATGACTCTAATCTAATTTAATCACATTAACTTTAATCACTTGAGTAAGTTAATTGAATTTAAATTGTAAATTATTACATTGTTTTGTCAACCAATTAATACACTATAAACTAGTGTGACAATTTACTTGATTGTTAATAATCAACTAATCATAATTTTCATTTCATTAGTGGTTACAATTGTTTACTCAAGCAAAAATGGTTATTCAACAATTAACATCAATCATAAACTTAATCACAATTAACATACAGAGCGATGATTATTGTAAATTGTATTTAAGTTGGCAAAAAATTTCTGTTACAATTCATCCGATTGTCACAATTAACTTAATTGTCTGCTCAAAATTTAATCACTTTCCATTCACTTGCCAATATATTATCATTATGATCAATCATGTTTACAATTAAGGAGTCTATTTTTTGGATACAATTAGTTGATTTAATTGGTAAATTATAGATTTTATTTATCCATAACAATTAAACTAATCATCAATTGTCCATTAAATTGTTACCCATAATGATTAACAGTTATATAATTGTCAAGTCATTGATCAGTTAACACCTAATTTAATTATAATAACACCTTAATCATTGTCAACATAACTTTAAATTGTTAATTATGGTGATGATGACAGTTCATGTAATCATAACAATTAAATGAAAACCTTGAATTGTTGAAGGTGAACAGGAATGATTAATAAATTTCATCAACATTTAAATCACAATTGTAAAAATTACATTCAATCAAACAATCAAAACAGTAACCATTTCAACAATTAACCTTCACAATCAAAATTAAACTTGAATTAAAGTGAAAAAACATGAATAGAATTAAAATTTTTCTTTCCCTTTCTCATTTTCCAATAGAAATTGTTTGATTTAATCAAAGTGAACACAATTACAATTCTTACACAATTTAACTTAATCAATATCCTTTCTCTCATGGTCAGCAATGGTCAGTGCTGATATGGAGAAAGTAAGTGTCACCGGGTCAGCATTGGTTTATGCTCCGGTTAATCAATTGGCCACTTTAATTGTTCACAATGTTACAAACGAGACTGACCTAATTGTAACAATTAAAGGTCCTAATGGTTCAGTTGTGCCCAAAATATCAAAAAATGATGTTGGAGCTCAAATTGATTTCTTGCCAAACTTTACAGGTAATTATTACGATTACGAAAATACGATAACAATCAATTGTGATTCTAAATGTATATTTATCTAAATTGTTACAACAATTAACTCTAAATTTTCAGGGGAACATCATATTGATATTAAATACAAAGGAAATCCAATCAATGGATCGCCATTTGCTACAAAAATTTACGATATTAAACAAATTAAGGTGAAAGAGATGCCAAAAGAGATTCTGATTGGAAAACCAGTAACATTTATCGGTAATTAGTTAATTTTATACTGATTGCATCCATTGAGATGGTCAAACTAATCCAATTGTTATCTTGTTATTGTTTTGATTGATTAGTTGAAGCTAAAAATGCTGGACCAGGAAATCTCGAGATAATAATAAATAACGGGAATGTGCCGTCGACACCTCAAGCATTGGGCTCAAGTCAATATGCCATAACTTTTTTACCCAAAGAGGTTGAAAATCATCAAATTGATATAAGATTTAATGGTGAACTTGTCCAAGGTTAGTAACTGAATTATCTTAATTGTGTTGATTGTGTCGTCTAATTTTTCTGTCTGTTTTTGATTATCCAGGAGCACCATTCATTTGCTCAGTGTTAGATCTGTCCAAAATTGTCGTTCAAAAGGATGGACTTGATAAAGTTCCGGTCAATTCATTGGTTTCATTTTTCATTGAATCTAACGGGACTCGATTGACTGACCAACAGGTATCAATAACAGGTAAATGTTGATAATAGTTTTTGTTGTTTCATTGACATTAACTAATTACTATTTTTCATGTTTTTCCTTCACAGGTCCAGCCAGTAAAGTAATTAAATTTGATTTAATTGAGGAAGGATCAACTGGTTATAAAGTTTCATTCATCCCAACTGAACTTGGTGACCATATGATTGATATTAAATTGGGTGGAGAATCGGTTCTATCATGTCCATTCCTGGTTCGTGTTTATGATGCTAAAAGGGTCAAAGTTACCGAACCATCAGCTGGTGAAATTGGGAAATTATTATCATTCTCAAGTAATTAATATCTTAATCTTGATTAGTTGATTTTTACATCGAAAATTTTAATTCTTTTTTTCTCCTCAATTTTTGGTTAACTTTAGTCGACGCTAGTCAAGCTGGTGCTGGTAATTTGGAGATAATTGTTACAGTTAATGGTCGATATGTTCACAATTACGTGATTAAAGAGGGAAATGCCAAATTTCGTGTCAATTTCAAACCCATGGAACCCGATGTTCACATGGTTAATGTCAAATTCAATGGTGAATCAGTGCCAGGTACAAATTTAACCACGAAAACAATTGAAAACAAATCATGATAATAATATTTACTTTTTTTGTCGAATCATTTTTCCCATGGTCAATTTCAAATGTCCACCAGGGAGTCCTTTCATGGTCAGAGTTATTGACAGTTCACAATCAGTTATACTTGGTGATGCTCTGAGAATGGCTTCATTGACCAAAGGAATTGACTTTACCATTGAAAATAAAAATGATCGTATTCAAGATTGTATTGTTCATGTAACATGTAAGTTGATTACTTTTTTTCGGCTCCATTAACTAACTGTTGGATGTCCATTTCTAAACAATCGGTCAGTTAGTTGGGGGTCACTTGCATCTTCATCTTCATCTTCATCATCTTTCATTTTTCTTCTTGTCTTTTGATTGATTATCTCTCTCTCTCTCTCTATTTTAAGGTGATAATGGTAAAAAAATGGCCGCTGATGTTAAGAAGCTCAAAGGATCCTTTAGGGTCAACTTTGTACCAATTGAGATCGGTAAGAGAGTAACTTTTATCATCTTCATCATCTTAATCTTAATAAGACTTAAATCATCATCATCATATTATTAATTACGATTGCAATTTAGTAAATCACATCCCCATGCATCTGAGAAATTGAAACTATTGAAACTTTTTTTTTCTTTCAATCAAATTTTCTTCCGTTCAATTTCAATCTAATCATATTTAGATTAATGTTTGATTCTAAATTATTTACAAGCATTAATTTAGTGTTAAAGCAACAATTTAATCAGAAAAAGTCAATGTAACTCAATTAACAGTACATTGACCGGAAAGTAACCCAACATACCTTAAAACTGGTTTTCCGGTTTCCATGTTTATCTCCCTGAAACCTTTCATCATCCTCATCATCATCAGCATCATTTTAATCACTTGATAGTTCTGTAATTGCTTGTTAGTTAATTCACTTTGATTTACAAGATCAATAATTTAAATACATTATTTGATTGGTAGATACATTTTTTGATTCAATCGGATTAAATTGTTTTGTGATTTAATCTTTCATCAAGGACACACTGATTTAGATTATATCAAATTGGGTCAAGTTTATCGTGATCATCAATTAGACATGGAAATTGATTGTTATTAACCTTCCTACTCAATTTGTAGATTCATTTTTCAACAATAACAACATGAATTCATTGAGATTAATGATTAGTAAAGTTTTACTTTCACAATTTAACCCATATGATTACAATTCACTAATCATTATTTACCTACAACTGACAATTTATTTTTTAAAATTGACAATTTATTAATTGTCAATGAAAAGCAACTCAAATAAGGATTGATTTCATTGATTGAACTGTTGGAAAATTATTGTTTGTTGTTTTTTTCTCAATTTTCTCAACAATTTATCAATTGCTGACAATTACTTCCGCTTGATAAATTGTTGTTAGTACAATGTTGTTATTGTTAATTCCTAATCGTAACAATTGATTTAATTGTTGACCTTTTTTCTCACATACATATAAATACTAATTCATTTTAACTCAAATTGTAACAATTTAATATATCATATTAATAAATCATTGAATCATATTTAGTGATTGTTATTATATTATTATTGTATTAGGTGGTAAACAATTAACCAATGAGGAAAAATAAACAACGTTAATTGTTACTGATTATGTTTACATTGTAAATGTAAATAACCTGTTATTAGTTAACAATTAACTATTAATTTTCTGTGGACAATTAAAAAGTTGATCATGAATTCAATGTAATCATTGATTGAACAACAGACAATTTTTTTTACACAATTTAAAATGACTGATTAAATTTAATTGTTGTTAATATTTGAACATATATATCATCACGATAATTATTATACTTCAATTTAGACTATTAAAAAGTAAGTTAATAGCTAATTGTTTAGCTCTATTTAACATCAATGATACAATTAGATGATGATGATGGTGAATGAAAAAAAAACTGATCGATACCTTAAACTTGATAAAATTAGTTGATTTAATTGTTGAAAATCGTTAACCATTTGATTCAATTCTTTGTTTAATCATTTCTTGATTTAGCATAACTGTCTTGATTATTATAATTATATATATACGAGTTAATTGTTAGCAGTAATAAGGTCTCGGTGTGGTTAAGTTAATTTGATTGAATAGAAATCAATGATAATCCTGAAGAAACAATTTCTCCTTCATGATAATTTATATTGATTCCTTGTTAATAGATCATCTTTTTCATGGTTCTTTGATTATGATTTGATGATGACAACAATTGAACAGTAATCATGATGATGATTGTGATTGTGAATCCGTTTTTCATTTTGATTGATCAAATTGAACAACAATTTACACCAAACAATCAGTTTGATTGTTTCTCTCAAACTAATAACAAGTCGCATCTTAATACAATAATAATATTGATCTTTACAATTAACTTTTAGTGTCTTTTGATTAAATTGTTTATGTGTGTTTTTTTACGTCTTTAATTAACTTTCACAGGTCCACATGCAATTACAATTATTCTTGATGGTGTTGTAATCAATGGATGTCCATTTAATTGTAACGTTTACGATGTGTCCAAAGTAAAAGTTTCCGGGTTGAATACATTTGATGTTGGAAAACCAGTTACATTTCAAAGTATGAATGAAAATGTTTTAATTGTTCAATTAATTAGTTTGATACTATTTTCATCTTGATTACAGTTGATGCCGTTGAAGCGGGTGAAGGTACTCTGGAAATTCTGGTTACTAACCGGAAAACGGGAATTCGACCTGAAGTTGATATGAAAAGTCGAGGTCTTTATGATGTTACCTTTATACCACAAGAAAAAATATCTCATTATATTAGAATAATTTTCAACGAGGAAGACGTCCCAGGTAATTAAATTGTTTCCACTTATTAGTTGATTTGAGTTAATTTAGTTTACTAATTGTCTTTCGTTTCTCCTTTTTATACTATCAATAGGAAGCCCTTTTAAAATAGAGATGAAAGATTTGATTCCCAAAAATGGACTCGTCGGTTCAAGTAACATCGCGATCATTGATACTATCGATCCAAGTATGGAGGTTAAGGTTGTTGGTAAGTCTTTTAATTGTTCTCGTTATTGTCATTTTAAAATTTTCCACAATTTAATGTATCTTTTTGGTAATTTTCCTTTTCATGATATTAGGTCCACAGAAAACTCCGATCATATCTAAAGTAACTCGCGATTCGTCAACTTTTAAGGTTGAATTTGTGCCTAAAGAGGTTGGACTTCATCGGATCGAACAATTTATCAAAGGAAATTTAGTCGCTGAGAAAACGAGTTTCATTGAGATTTGTGATCCAAGTCGAGTGAAGCTAATTGATGTACAAGATGGAGTAGTTGGTCGAGAACAGATATTCAAAAGTGCGTTGAAATCAATTAGATTTTAACTTGAGAATCAATTGTAACCTTTGATTTTATTTTCGATTTTTTTAGTTGATTGTACTTGGGCGGGTCGTGGTAATTTATCGGTGAACATAAAAACGGCCTCCGATGCCGAGGTGACCCATTGTATCAAAGAGATTTCGACTGGAGTTTTCCTTGTTACTTACACACCCAAAGTGGACTCAGCTCATTATATTGATGTTCGTTACAATGACCATCAAGCACCAGGATGTCCACAAATGGTTGAGATTCGTGATCCAACCAAATCAATTATCGTCCATGGACCAGCACTTAAGTCTTGTGTACCCGAAGAACCAGCGACCTTCCTAATTGAAACCGGTGGATTTGCGGCGGCCAAAAATTTTGACGTACTTGTTACAGATCCAAATGGATCTCCGTTAAATGTTAAATGTTACCAACAAAAAGATGGCTCTTTATTGGCAGAGTTTACTCCTCAGAGAACTGGTAAATTTTCATCAAAGTTCAACACTTGATTGTAACAATTTACTAATTTTCCATGTATTTCTAACTATCAAGGTCCCCATAAAATTGATGTCCTCTATCAAGACGCTAGTATAACTGGATCACCATTTACCAGTGAAGTTTTTGATGCCTCTAAGGTCACTTTACAACGAATCAAATCAACTAATTTCATCGTCAATGAGAAAATATTTTTCACTCGTAAGTTTATCAGCTTAAGATCATAATTTTATATCGTTTTGTGGCTTTAATTTGTTTTTTTTCCTGTCATCTCATTGGGTTAATTAGTTAATCGTAAGGATGCCGGTTATGCTGAGCTCGACTTCACCGTTACAAGTCCACTTGGACGGCATTTACCTATTGAAGTAAAGGGAACTCCCGATGGTGAAGGTGAAATAATTGAATTTATCCCAACGGTTCCTGGAAAATATAAGATCGCCATTACTTTCGGTGGAATTGAAATCCCAGGAAGTCCGGTAACTTTTATCGCCCAAGAAGGAAATTTGCCGATCATTGAAGGAAATGGACTTAAATTAGGTTTCGTTGATCAACTCGTCGAATTTACTATTGATGCAAGAGAATTGAAAGGGATCCCTGAAGTTCGAATCGATGGTCCTGATTCAGAACCGACTGTTGACATGGAAGAAACTAACGGAATGTTCAGAGTCTCTTTTGTTCCAACTGAGGTCGGAATTTTCGATGTTCGAGTTTTGTGGAATCGAAAAGAGCTCCCAGGTAAGATAATCATCAATCTACCCTGGAAAATTTTCCAATTTATCAATAATCTATTTCTTTCCAAAGGTTCACCTTTCCACCCGAAGATATTGAACCTCGATCAGGTTCGTCCGATTGGAGGCTGGGAATCGATTTTCAATTCATCCGATCAAATAATGCTACAATTAAATGAAAAGAAACGCATCTCATTTGATGTAACTGGAGCTGGTCCAGGTAATTAACTGATTAATCAAAATATAAATTAGCTCTTATTGTTAACTGTTACTTTTTCATTCTCAGGTAAATTATCTGGTTTTGTTAAATTTCCCGATGATAAAGTCGAACCCGCTATGATTGAACAAACTGCTCCACACAAGTTTAGATTATCATTAACCCCGAAACTAGAAGGTAATTTAAGTCCTAAAATTTGTCTGATTGATTTGATTAGATTGTATTAGATATTAATATGTAATCAAAACTTTTTGTATTTCCATTTTTAGGTGAATATCAGATTCGTTTGAATTTTGGTGATCATCGATTACCCAAATCACCGTTAATTGCGGTGACCAATTGTATTCGCAATGGTGATGAGTGTGCAACCGTTGTCCTCCGAGGTCAAGGTTTAGCCGGTGCCAGGGTGGGTGAAGAGACACAATTTATCCTGGACGGAACTGATGCCGGTTCGGGGACACCGGAAATCACATTGAATGGTGTCAAAGCCGATATACCAATTAAAGTAACCCAAATAAATGATAGGATATTTAAAGCTACTTACACACCAACAATTCAAGGTAATTAAAAAGAAATACCTGAAATATTAAGAAGGTTAATCAAGTTGAGACAATTTAATTGAAATTTTATTTGATTCTTTTTTTCTGCCTTTCTCTCAGGAACTTATTTGCTCAATGTTTTATGGGCTGGTAAACAGGTCAAAGGTTGTCCATTAAAGGTTTCGATTCTACCTCGTTGTGACGCTTCAAGGGTATTATGTTCAGGAGAAGGACTTAAAGGAGGTGCCATTGATCAAGAAATTAAGGTTTTCATTGATACAAGACGAGCTGGACCTGGTCAGTGATTAGCGATTTGGTCTGATTGGTTTTTCTTTGTAATTGAGTTTTCATGAATTTTTTTTTTCTTCCTTGTTTCTTGTCCTTTTATTCAGGTGATCTTTCGGCTCATTGTATTGGTCCAAATAAAGTGGCCTTTTGTGAATTACTTGACCAAATGGACGGAACCTTTAATTTGTTTGTTAAACCTCAAGAACCTGGTAAACATTCACTGACCATTAAATATGGAGGGGAAAATATCAGAGGAAGTCCATTCACTTTGAAAATCGCTGGTTCTCCGGATGCTTCAAAGGTTCGCGTCCATGGACCGGGTATTGAACACGGAGTTTTACCACTGTACATGAGTAGATTTATCTGTGATACTCGAGGTGCAGGTTATGGTGACCTTACCGTTCAAATACGAGGACCAAGAGGTGAGTTTTTTTCGAGGAAAATTTCTTTCAAATAATCGATAATTCATAATTTTAACTCTTTTCTCTACTTTCTTAACCTTAGGTGCTTTTCGAGCGGACATGCAACGTGTCAATCAAAATGACCGAATAATTTTATGCAAATATGATCCAACGGAGCCTGGTGATTACAATATCGAAGTTAAATATTCAGGGAAACATGTTCCTGGTTCACCATTTGCCGTTATGATATTTGACACTCAAGATGAACTGAATCGTTACAATTCCCGTCAATATGGTGAAATCGGTGGCGGTGGTAATGGTCCAAATGAAAGGGGAGCGGAAGATGTTGGTTTGGTCGTTGGTGGGGGTGGAAAACAAAACAATGGGTTAATCTCCAAGACTAATAAACACAATAATCACAATAATAATCACTCTCATCACCACCCACACCATCATCCCCACCACATACGATCAGCTCATCCAGTGATTCCTGCCCACCTCCCACCACCAACTATTGTACATTCACCTCATTTACCAGGTCATCCTCATCCTCTGCCTCCACCTCCTCCTCCCCACCCGCCGGTTGATTATCATGGTTACAGTATTTATGGACCAACTTCTTGGAGAGGCTCAGCCAACGAGTTATAATCAAATTGCTACAATTTATCATCAATTCAATTTGACAAAGAGCAAAAATTACCAGCATCAATTAATCATCTACAATTAATTTAACTTCGCCATCATCATTTCTCATCATCATCTACATAATTTGTCCTCTTCCACTTTTGCCAATTTAATTTTGTACTTCGCTAACTCTTAATTATTTTAAATTGCTTTCCATTTATCCGGTTTTCCCAACAATTAATCAACAACAATTTGTTTGAAATACTTTTTTAATATATATTATCATTTATATTAAGATTATTATTATTATTATTTAATATTATTGTCATTCCATAATCATTATTATATGTGGGGTTAATTAATTGTCATTAGCCACTTAATTTTTATAAATTACTTGTTAATCAATGAAACAATGAAATCCTGTTTGTTATCCAATTAATGTTAATCACCTAAATTAAATAAAAATTGAGCCAAATCACCAAAAATTTTCATTAAATTATCTTTTTGAAACATTTCAATTATCTGTTGGAATAGTTGATTAAATAATTTGATTACTCTAGACAATTTATCATTAAATGACAGCGATTGATCACCATTATCATTATCCAGGGTAGAAATTGATTTCTTAAATTGATTTTGATCAATATTTAGATCAAAGGGCAAACAATTAACGGTTAATAATGAGACCAGAATGAAAGTCATACCAATGAAAACAGAAACAATTAAACACGAATTCATTGATTTCATCTTGGAAACAATTAATTAAATAGTAATGATTAACGAATTGGATAATCACAAAGGTTATATCAATTAGCGTCAATCACGTAAATGATTAGATGATTAGTAAGAATAATAAAAGGCTAATTGTTAATTTAGTGTTGAAAGGGATTATAAACTTTTGATTTTCTAATTAATTTTTTTCTTCCCCGTTTCTGATTAATCTTTAAATTGTCGTGTAATTTAGTGATCAATGGGAATTGATTTCGACCCTATTCTAGAGAAATGGGCGGAAAACTATTTACTTTCCTATGGAATTATGTTGATCATCTTGTCAACAATTAAGATAATTTTCCATTTGGTCACAATCGCTCTAAATGCCTTTTTCTGTGACACTTTACGGACGAAAACATCGATTCCTGATTCGGTTTCCGCGTTCAAGGCTTTCATCGATTCCTCGGTGATCTTTACGACGGCCATTTTTGCGATCATGGGAGCAACTGTAGAGACCACTTCGTACATCACCCTGACCTTTTACCTCTTGATGACTCCACTTCAAGCGATCATGCAAATTTGGATCTGTATGAAATGGATGTTACTTGGTGAGAATTTTTCAAATTAAACCAACAATTGAAAATCTAATCACAATCTACTTGATCTAATTGCAGATGAAAGACATTCAGTTTATCCTTTGATTGAGACATCTCTCGAATTACCAATTGCAATCATTCAATTGCTTGGAATCAGTGTTGCCATTCCCTTGGCCTCTCGTGAATATTACATAATTAAACATATTTATGAATTATAAAGTTAATTGTTTCGACCGATCAATATACGATATTGTCTCGTTTTACATATTCAATCCTCAACAATCAAAATTTATTATTGTGACTAAATCATCGGGATCGTCACATACTTTGAGACAAATGGAACATGAAAAAATAGTTGATTACATGTTTCAATTATAATTGTCTCCAAATTAACAAAGGTTTTTTTGGTGTCTTTGTATATTTTATACAATTTTATAAATTATAACAATATAATTGTTTGTTTTTCTTTGTTCACTAATTTAGTTAACGTTGAGAGGTTGCAAAGCACAATTTACAGATCATAACAGCTAAATGGGGTTAATTTGTTTGTACAAATTGGTAATTGATATGAAAGGTTAATCGCTTGTGATTAATCATAATAACCATCTAAGGGAAACAAAGTCTCTGATGGTTGGTGGTATTGGTGGATAACCGTCAAGGAAATTGTCAATACTTTGGCTTCCACAGGCTTTGAGTAAAACAATTCTGGCCAAAAATTTGAGTTTCATGGGTTTTTGTTGATTTTTCATCCATTCTAGGAATTCATGGAAAGCGGTCATTTCATGTTTATATTGCCGATCAATGTATTCAATATGGCACGAGGTAAATCGCAGTTCAGATTGATTAAGGATGGAAAAATTATTGTCAAATTTGTACCCAACCAGGTAAAGTAGTTTAAGACAATCGGTTGACTTTGAATTGAAACGGAATCTGTCCAATTTAAGATTATTGATTAGTGAAGGATTAAAGTTGATCAATATTCTTGTAATCTCCAGTAAACCTTGACGAATTGATTCCAGGAGATAATTAGAGTCTAGGAAAGCTTTTCGTTGGAGTAATAGGGAAACCACTGAAGGAGAATCAAATTCAATTGCCAGGCCTAAAGGTGTTGTACCCATGGAATCATAACTATCAACATTACCACCATAATCAAGTATCTGTTGTATAACTTGTTGATTACCGTTTTGAACAGCCAAATGAATCGGGTAGATGTTTAATTTACATGGTATTTGGGAACAACCAGCTTCGGTTAACAATTGAACCGAAATTAAATCACCTTGGGCAGCGGCATAATGTAAAGGTGTCATTCCATCTTGATCTTGAGAGTCAACATTATCACCTGCGGCAATTAATTTGGCCAATTTACCATGATCACTTTGTCTTACAAGTCGATGAAGCTTGGGAACTTTAAATGGACAAGGTCCACTATCGGGACCAAAAACATAATCAAAAGTGGGTCCAGGACCAGTTCGCCTGGTACCTTGAGCGTTACCCATGTAATAATATAAATCCTAATAGAAAATAAGAAAACACACCAACTTTAGGATAAGAAACACACAAAATTCTATGCTATTTAAGTTATTTAGGTTATGTCAAAACGAGAGAGAGAGAGAGAGAGAGAGAGAGAAGAAAAAGGTTTGAGAAATGAAAGATAAACTTGAAAGAATTGGAGAGAAAAGAGAATAGAAAACAGCTGAAAGGAGAAATATACCTAATGTTAGTTGACTAATGGTGATCGGTTTAATTGTTCACAGTTAGAAGATGATTAAATGAGAATCTATAAGAGTACAGTTGATACTTAATTAGATGAAGTCAAGATTAACAATGAAGGTTAAAATTTAATTGTGTCTTATTAACTGGCTCGGTGACAATATTTGTGGGAAAATAGGTGACAACCTTCATCATTTTTTGGTTCCTTCGGGAGGCTTGTTAATGTTTATCTAAGAAAGACAAATATTTTCATCTTTTTCAATTTCAACACAATCAATTAACAATCACAATTAACTAATATTGAACAAGGAAAATGATTAAATGACAAACAACAATTTACAAATACAAAAACACTATGATTTTACTAACTAACAAATAGCATCAAGATAATCACATAGAGAGAGAGAGATAAACAATAACTTTCCTTTGGTTTGTTCATTTTATGAACTTGAGGCGGTTTTTTTCATTCGTTTGATTTTTGTTTCTTTTTGCAATTAAAATTGATTTTAATTTCTAATTGTTGACTTTTCTCTTTGTTTGTCTATGGTATTTTCAAGCACTTTCATTAGAATTTTATTCCAATTGTTGAATGGATTTTGTTAATCTCCAGATTGCTGAGTAAATTTTCTTAGAGATTCGATTTGGTTTCATTTGGAATCGATTATATTTTTTAATGTTTCTAATTTTTTGGAAACTAATGAGAAGAATAAAGTTTCACCCTGTTCAGTTGAGAAAAATTCACTTAATATTTGAAGAGTTTCTTTGAAATCTAAGTAACATTGTTTTACACTTTGATCGGGAGGTGAGGGGGAAGATGAGGAGTTCGGTGGTTCCGATGGGTTGGTACTTGGCGGTGGAGTATTTGAAGAGGTATTCGTGGTTGGGGTGGACGGAGAGGGAGAGGAAGGTGGCATTGGAACTGTTGATGATCCAGAGTCCGGTGGAAGTTCTGATGATGGACTTGAGGGTTGAGTCATTTGTTCAGTGGTCATTGTCTTTGTTTCTGTGCCAATCGAAGGTGTTTGTCCTGGTGAACATGTTACAATCGGATCAAGAGTATGTGCTGATTCAGATTTCAATTGATTATTAAAGAATTCATATAATTCTGAGAAAAAAAGAATTTACAACAACGATTAGAATTAGAATCAACAATTAACAACGATTCAAATCATTTACCTGATTCGTTTACTGTAATTAACAAGGTTAGAAAATAAAAATTGATCAAAAACAACAATTTACTAATTTTCGTCATTTTTTTTTATTACATCAATAATTGGAAGACAGTTAAATCACCACAATTAACCATTTTGATTTTGTTTTTCTTTACTTTAATTGCTTCAATTCAATAAAATGCTAAATAATCACTCAGATCTGATTGCAACAAATTAGTTAAACTTTCAACATGATTAACTTGAAAATGAACAGATTGTTAAGATTGAAAATTGATATTTAAGTTAATTGTTAAGAATTGGAATCAAATAACCAAATTTGTTCACTGTCGTTTGATTGAACAAGGATTGATTTTTAATCCAAAATGTTTAATTGTTTTCAATTGGAAATTGACAATCAGATTAACTGATTGAGAGAAATTTTTTTATTACAACTTGACAATAAAATCGAGAAATTTAATTTTCTCTCTAATCAATCTAACAACGAAATTATTTTCTCCACCAGTAGAATTAGCTTCGATGTAATTAACTAAATTAGTTAATTTCTCCTTATAGCTATTGATACACTCTTTGAACATTTCAGCAATACGTTTCTTCACATCATTAGCTGATTGTTTACCAGGCAGAGTCTTAATTTGTTGGACAATTTGATAATCACTATTATCTGAATCATTTGGAGTTGAAGGTTTGTCTTCTGGTTCAATCGCTTTGGTTTCTAAATGATTTGAAAAAAAAACAAACAAATTAAAAAAAACAAAATGAAATTAAAATTACAATTACAATTAGCAACTTCGATCAACAATTAACTTGAATATTTACCTGAATGATTAACAACGATAACGATGATAAGGTAAACAACGGAAAGAAACATTTTCATTACAATTAATAAGAAAGAAACATTAACCAAACTCCAGAAATTATATTAACTAAATGACAGTTTTAACGAGACAATTTAAAGTTTACAATTAACCTTATTGACTAAGAATATCAAATTACAATTTAATTACAATTCCAACAGATTTGTAATCAAATGAAAACTCATAACAGTTAACAGGGAATCAATTCTCTTCAATTTTAATTGTCCTTCCAATTTATCGATCAGAAAAGAGACTATGGTTAATCATAAGGCGTTAATTGTTAGTCCAAGTTAATTTCAAGCAGAACAATTAATTATTTTTTCATCTTGGAATTTCAATTTTAGCGGAAAAATTGAATTTTCTCCTTGGGATTCGGATACTTTTCTATCCGAGTCCGCATGCTCTTGAAATTACCTTCGGTTATTGGATCGAGAAAAAAAAATTTTCTTGATTGTAGTTGACTAATTAATTAATATTTTTAATTCGATTTACAATTAGCTGGATCATGGCTCCTGTTTTAGGTCAGTTTGGTAAGAGTGTATTGAACAATTTCGCTAAGGGATATAGTCATCCAAAGGTGAGTGAAGGTTAATTTTTATTGTGTCTCCCAATCAAAGGAAAATCTCTTGGTTTTGATTTTTCTCTTTCTTTCCTTTCTCCTTCTCTTTCTTTTGGTATTCATCTTCTCTCTTTTTTGTTATGTTTTAAAAGTGAATGATGTAAACAGTTAACCAGTTATATGACCTTTTTTAACCTTTCATTGATTAATTACCTTTTTTATTTTAATTTTATTCTAATTGTTTTACTTTAATTTTCTCTTATCCTTTGTCTACTAGGTTTTCTTATCAAATAGTAGCACAAGCTTTCGTGATATGTCTCGAGGAAGGAAAATTGTAAGTACTCTTCATCTCTCTTCTGGTTTCCTTTCTCATCATCAAATTCATTTACTATAGATCTGTAATATTCATTTGATATTTTTTTTATTTTTTTCCATTCTCATCTTCAGTTATTAACTTCTGGTGGATTTCTGGCCACAGCAGCTGCTGGATTAGCTTATGCTCTTAACGAATCTGTCAAAGCTATCGAGTTAGATTTGCATCCCCCTTTGTACCCATGGCCACACAAGGGTCACCGGTGAGGAATAATTTTGATGACTAATCCTTTCAATGAGATTGAATTTATGTGTTTGATTATTGACCCAAAGACGGTAGTCTAAGGAATAATTCTCATTAATTGAGTTAATATAACTGCCGTGTTGATCTAATTCATATGAGCTTATCGGGTTGTTCCTCTTGAATACAATCTTATTGATCTTATTTTTCTCTCCTTTCTATTATACAGTCATGATCCAGAAATGATAGCCATGGTTCCATTCAAGAAGCCAGAGATGGATAAGGCTTTTGGACTTTACGATGCCGGCGGGTAGGCCAAACTTCAAAATTATCACAATATAATATAAACTAACCTTCATTTTTCTTATAGTTTACGACGAGGTTGGCAAGTTTACAAACAAGTATGTGCTGCTTGTCACAGTTTGCGGTAAGATGAATTTCTAATTATCACTGTTTCATGATTATTGATAATTGAGAACATTGATTTTAACAATTAAATCTATTTACTTTTTAGGTTCGTGGCCTACCGACAATTTGTTAATGTTTTCATGTCGGAAGAAGAGGCTAAGGCAGAAGCTGCAGAGGTAATAAAAATGATCTCCAGATAATCTCTGATTTCATCATTTTCTTTCCTGCTCTTACAATTCATACTTATTGTGATTATCTTTTAATTTAGGCAACAATCACTGATGGACCTGATTCGTCTGGTAAAATGTTTCAAAGGCCGGGTAAATTATCTGATTACATTCCCGGTCCTTATCCCAATGAAGAAGCTGCTAGAGCAGCCAACGGAGGAGCATACCCACCAGATTTATCTAACATAACTATAGGAAGAGAGGGTGACGAGGATTATGTATTCAGTATACTTCGAGGTTACGTTGATCCACCAGCAGGAGTGGAATTAGGAGAGAATCAACATTTTAACCTTTATATGCCTGGAAATGCAATCGCCATGGCTCAAGCTTTGTATAATGGATTAATTGATTACGATGATGGAACACCCGCAACATCCAGTCAAATGGCTAAAGATGTCACTCAATTTTTGGCCTATTGCGCTACTCCCGAACTAGAGGAATGGAAGAAATGGCTTTTCAAGGTAAAATACAATCCATACAATTAATCAACAGAATCATTAATATATTTGTCTTCTCTCTTTCTCTCTAGTGGACAATTATTTCATCTTGTTTGTTTGGAATTTCATGGTACTATAAACGTTATTTGTGGTCGTCGATCGTTTATCGAAGAATAGCTTACCGAGATGTAAATAAGAAAGATCATTAAGATCTTTACGTTATATGGTTACCCCCAATTTGACACCAACAAAGTCTATGGAGTCTTAATTTAAAAAAATCTACACAAAAGAACGATTAGTTGATGAAAAAAAAAACAAACTATAAATTTCATTATCTTCTTTTTTTCGTCTGTTAATTATTGGTGAACAATTTATTAAGGCTGCTGATAAACATACTGAAATTTTAATTCGATCAGATCATTTTCACATCTTCAGCTTGTTAACGGTTAATCGTTAACATTAAATTGTCCAACAAAGGGTTGATTTCTTTGTTCACCATCAATAAACTCTAGGAAAAGAAATGAAAACCCCTTTAAGATTATTGTTTTTAAACAGTTTAGTTGATAAATGCAAAGATTTAACTTGAAATTTGATTAATTTTTTTTTCTTCCGCCGCAAAAAAAACAAATTTAATTGTAATTGATTTTTTTTCTCCATTCGCATTTCCAACGATATAGAGATGAGGTTAGATTTTAATAAATGGAAGTTTAAATTAATGAAAATTTCGGATCATTAAAAGATAATTGTTACAAACGAATGGCTCAAATTATTAGTAACAATTGAACAAAAAAACTAATTCTGATTATTTCTGAGAAATTAAGGAAAAACGATTATCAATACTAATCCCAAGTTTGATTAGATAATTTACTTGATTGAGATTCGGAGGGATGTGCAAGTGATTGACTGAATATTAGATTATCAGAATTATTTCATCAATGAATTAAGTTTTGTCGGTTGATCGTAATGAAAAATTGTTCGAATTTGAGTTAATTAGAACAATTAACAATCTAATGTATTTAATTTGTCTTTTCCCGGTTGGAGGAGGTTCTTACAAGTGCCTTAGAGATTGAAGAAAGGAAAGAAAGAAAACATTTTTCCGAGTGTTGGTTTTACTTTTTGGTTTATTTTGGTTTTCTTTTGTTTGGTAATTACAATAATCATGGAACCTGTTGATCAGAATTTAACATGTGATGAGTTTATGGATCAATCGATTACACCTTTAGACGAACTAAAAGCCACTGGCTCTTCGACTCGAAGTATATTTGAAGTGTTTATACTCTCGGTTCAGAAAAGATTTTGTGTCGCTTTGGAAACAATTGAAAAGAAATCAAATGAATCAATTGTCGATAGCGAACAGAACGGATATTCTGGTCGGTGTTTTGTCGCTGATCGATGGCAAAGGAAAGAAGGAGGCGGTGGAATTTCCTGTGTTCTCCAAGACGGCAAAGTGTTTGAAAAGGCGGGCGTGAATGTCTCTGTGGTGACTGGTCAGTTGAGCAAAGAAGCGGTTGTCCAGATGAAGAAACAACATAAAGACATTGATCTTGAAGAAGGTCGAGAGTTGCCCTTTTTCGCAGCGGGTATAAGTTCAGTCATTCACCCAAGGAATCCTCATGTGCCCACAATCCACTTCAACTATCGTTACTTTGAAATTCAAGGTCAAAAAGGGTCAACCGAATGGTGGTTCGGAGGTGGAACTGATTTAACTCCTTATGTTTACGATGAAAACAGTTTCAAGCACTTCCATTCAACCCTCGCCGATGCTTGTGATCGTCACGATAAAAGTTATTACCCCAAGTTTAAGGCGGAATGTGATGATTACTTTTACATTAAACACCGAGGTGAACGTCGAGGTGTCGGTGGAATATTTTTCGATGACCTTAATAAACCTTCATTAGCTGATTGTTTTGGTTTCATTAAGAGTTGTGCTCAAGCTGTGATTCCCTGTTATCTACCATTGGTTGAGGCTAATTACTTGAAATCTTATTCACCTGATCAACGACGGTGGCAGTTATTGAGACGCGGTCGTTATGTTGAATTTAATTTGGTTTATGATCGAGGAACTAAATTTGGTTTTGCCACACCGGGAGCAAGAATTGAAAGTATCCTAATCTCACTTCCACTTCATGCTTCATGGGAGTATATGCATTCACCTGTTGAGGGAAGTGATCAGGATAAATTGATGAAAATTTTGAAACAACCAAAAGATTGGGTTTGTTAAATGTTTATCCAAATTAACTAGTTTTGATTTGTTCGTTTCTTATATAATAATATTAAAGATTAATAATGAAATAATATTATTATTTACAATGGTAGAAGAAGAGTGAGAGAGAGAGAGAGAGAGAGAGGAGAGATTGAAAGAGAAACGGATGAAAAGGAGTAAAAGACATTCTGTATTTTAATTGTTTTCAGTGTTTTAACCTGTCATAAATTTAATATTTCAGGTGAAAATATTGAGCGAAAAGTTGAAAACGTTGAAAACGATAGTATTGTTGGTTATTAGTGTGAGGATGAATTAATGATGATGAATTTGATGATAGGTAGTGATTGTAAAGATGATTATAATGATTATGATGATGATGATGATGATCAAGAGATGGTGAGATTTAAGATGCATTCCTTTTTTTTCTTGTTGCTGAGATTTTGTTTGCAATATATTTATAGATAAAGTCCTCAGTGTTTCTTTCATGTTCATATGGTCATTTCCGATGTGATTATTTGACCAGCAAGATTGTTGCTCTGCTTATTAAAAGTTTCCAAAAAAAACAGTAAAGAAAGAAAACACTTTCGGCTATGCATAATATACCTCGAAAATTTTAAATTGAAAAGCATTTTGTTTTCGAGTTTTCTCCTTTGGTGATATTCTGGTAGATTAATCAACTACCATCCAATTTTATTAAAAGTTGATTTATGAATTAATTAGATTTGTATCTCTTTTGTAATCTTTGAAATATATTATTTGACATATGCTTTATAAAGCATTACACTTCGAATCATTTCACGTTCTTGTTCCATTAAAAACTGAAGGTCACGTATATTTACTCGTTTAAATCGACGAATCTATCGAATTGGAATAAATAGGAAAAAAAATCAGAATAAGTTATGATGGTTTGAAGAGATAATCTATAAAAGATCTTAGATTCAATCTGTTGAAATTTACCTGTGCCTTAGCTGGCGTACTGGAAAAAAATGACAGGCCTTGTGAATTATTAGATGAATTGTTGATAAATGAATTATTTAGACTATTATCTGATGCGTTTGTAGTTTTAAGTTTTTTACGAGGACCTATGGCTAATAAAGCGGTTTCATTGGCCTCTCTTTGACGAGCTTCTTCCAATTCAGCTCGCTGCATTTCCTTTGCTTTTTGCTTCAGTTTAAGTTGTTCAGGATCTTCCAATTTAGAACGACTCTGTAGATCAAAGAATTAAAGTTAGATGAAATTGTTTCTTTCTTTATTTATCAACTCTATTCCCACTTACCTTCGCGGCTCTCATTAACATCTCCCTCTCCTGCTCTTCATGCCTTTTCTTTTCTAATCTATCCAATTCCTCGAGAAATTTTGTTTGCGCTCTAACATCTTGAGTTACTTCAAATCTTGGATCACTCTGTGGAAAAATAAATTAAAATTAAAATCGTTTATATTATGGTCAAGTAGTTCGGTCTATTTAGATTTTACAAACCTTAAAATTTTCCATCCTATGTTCAGCTATGATTCCTAATTTTTCAACTAACGTTTTTAACCGCTCTTGCGCTGCATGAGAGACTAGGGATACTACGTCTGAAAGAACGTCATCAAGACCATTTCTCTTAGCTAAATAATAGAATATTAAAATTAAACAATCAATTTTAGTGATGCATAAAAAAAATTGCATAAAAAAGCTAAAAAGGCGTCAAAGAAAATTTTTAAGCCTTTAGAACAGGTCACATACCTATTTCATTAATACGATTTTGAAGTGGATTAGTAAAAAGGAAATTTTCGTCTTTACAAGATCTAATTTGAGCTCCTACGAATTCAGCATTGGTGGCCAATATTCTCTGACTTTCTTCAACTAAATTTACACCTCCCATTGCGGCTACATCATTAATATCATCATCGTCGCGAAGCGTAGTTACAAAAGCCTTCTTTTCTATTTTTTCTTTGGAATATGCTATATTGCGGGCTTTCGCTGCTGATGGTCTAATTTTAGCATTATTTTGTGAAATAAGAGGCATTTTGCTAAATTGAGCTGAAGTAACAGGTGTTATCGTGGTCGCCGTAGATGTTGATGAATAACTACTAGTAGTTGGACGAATATTTGTAATTTGTACGGTTCCTTGAGTTAAATTAGACAAACTTGCTAACTGAGGTGCTGTAAGTACACGGATGGTATTTTGTCTAGGTTGTGAAGTGAGCTAGAAAGTGCGAAAGAAAGTAAAATTAGTAAAATGCGTTAGACATATGAACTCTTTTTCTCTTTCAATATCCTTACCTGAAAGGTGTTTTGGGAAAGTGATTGCGGTTGTAAAGGTAATTGGACTGACCCAGGGGGAGGAGGTCGGACACCATCGATCGCCGTCTCGTGTACCATTAATGAATGTCGAAGATAAGGCAAACTTTTCTGTAAATCGAATATAATAAAACGAAGGATTATGAAGATTTTGAAACTAAACTAATTTAATGTGTTAACTCACCTTAAGAAATGGTATAAGACACGGTTGAGGAGAAGAATTAAGCTCACTTTGTAATTGATTGGTAAATTCATCAGGTTCGATTACTCCATCCTAGATATGAATTGAAATCAATAAATGAGAACAATGGTCACAAAAATATAATTCGTCACATTAATGAGATACAAAAGGTGAAATTCTGTTGGTCCATACAATAAACTTACAATTAGGCTTTGGATCAAATTTTTAACATTATTTGCCGTTTGTTCTGGCTGATCACTGGCTAGTCTTATCAAAGTGGAAAGAAAATTTTTGCACTTAATCTTAGCAGTATTTGGTGACATTTGAGATGGTTGTGAAGATGCAGCTTGGGCATTTGCCGGGGTGGTTTGAATGGTTAATGGTTGGCTTAATTGTACTTGACCACTTCTGGATGTAATCACTGAAGAATTGGGTATAGCTGTCATTTGAGGTGCTCTTATGGTTGTCCCCACATTAGTTGAGTGAGGTACCATAGTCTGTAATCTAAGGGTCTGTGGTTGATTTGATTGAGTTAAATTGTGATTCATATTCAGAAATTGTAATGTACCATCCCTAATAATGAATGTATTTCTAGCCACTGGAAAGTTCTGCTAAAAAAGAAAGAAAGAAAAAACAAATCAGTCAACAGGGAGAAAAAAATTCAATTGGTATTGAAGAAAAAAAGGTCAAGAAAAAGGGAAGTAGAAACTGAGATGATATTCCCGCTATGAATAATTTCGTTCTTACAAAGAATCAAAATTTCACTAGGATAACTTAAAGTTTCAATTTTTATCAATTTATGGGATATTATAAATATTCTCTATACGTTAGTGTAAATGATAGGATAAAATTGTAAGAAAAATTGATTAAGAAAACAGAATAAAAAGAAAACTAGAGAATGAAGAGAAAAGTGAAAAGTAACAGGAAGAGTGAACAATGTATTACCTGATTGAGAGTCATGGTCGGTCTAGTGAGGATCTGACCTCCCAACCTTAATGGTTGATTTAAATTGATTACCCGAGGTTGTGATCCTCTTTGGTGACTAAGAGCTGATACAGAGGCGGGTGTCACAGTAACGGTATTAGATGCTGGTCGACTAGGTGTTAAAACAACTTGTGAAAAATTAGCCTGGTTACTTGGATTAGACACAACAGACAATATCTGTGGCTGTTGATTTGATCCACTCTGACTTGAGACTGGTCTTGTTACAGTGAGAACAGTTCCACTTGATGAGATAGTCTGATTATGAATATTAGTCGACATTTTCACGACCACAATCTAATCACCTTCAATTAAATCAAATTAAATAATAAACAAAAATTAAAACAAGATTACAAGTACAATTATAATTAAACATAATTCAACAACATCATTGAATCAAAATGAAACCGAAACTGAAATAAAATGAAAGGCCCATGTTCAGATTTGTGGCTCCATCTGTCGGTTTTAAGAGGGACTAAGAAAAAGCGCGTTTTTTGTTCTCTGTCTTCTTTTCTTTTTATGTTTTTTCATTCCGATTATAATTTAATAAGAAACTAAATAGCAATTCCTCTATGAATTGACCACAATTAACTAATTAAATTAAACATTTGATTGGAGCATATTCCAAGTACAAACAATACAGAATTTTTCTTTAATTTATCAAAACATTTTTGTAAAGTTTTGATTGGGTTGATGTTCAATGGAAATTAATTGTTGGAGATTTAATTCAATTTGTCTTCCCATTTTAAAGCTTTTTAATTAATTAAATCAAATTGAAAGGTTTGAGGGAGATAATTTTGTTTATTTGGTCAGTATTATTATATTAATACTGATTGTTAGTCTATTTTGATTTATTTTCGTTTAGCAGCAATTTGGGTCAACAATGGTATCAATGGATCCAATTTGGTTTCACTTGATTTAGATTTTTTAATCTTTCTCAATTTCCGAGGGGATTCAATCGTTGGAATTGATTGATAATCAACTGCAGCATCAAATCAACTTGATCACCATCATGGATGGATGTTTGACTAGATTGTAGAGCGAGCTAGAAAATGAATAAGTAAAATTAATAAAACATAAACTCTTTTTCTCTTTCAATATCTTTACCTGAAAGGTGTTTTGGGAAAGTGATTGCGGTTGTAAAGGTAATTGGACTGACCCAGGGGGAGGAGGTCGGACACCATCGATCGCCGTCTCGTGTACCATTAATGAATGTCGAAGATAAGGCAAACTTTTCTGTAAATCGAATATAAAAGAACGAAAGATTATAAATAGAGATTCTAACACTAAACTAAACTAACTTAATGTGTTAACTCACCTTAAGAAATGATAAAAGACACGGTTGAGGAGAAGAATTAAGCTCACTTTGTAATTCCACAATAAATTCATCAGGTTCGATTACTCCATCCTAGATATGAATTGAAATCAATAAATGAGAACAATGGTCCCAAAAATATAATTCGTCACATTAATGAGATACAAAACTTGAAATTCTGTTGGTCCATATTTTTGTTTACCATAGAATAAACTTACAATTAGGCTTTGGATCAAATTTTTAACCTTATTTGTCTTTTGTATTGGATGATCCTTGCTTAGTCGCAACTGGAGCTCCATTTGAGCCAGATTTAGATGAGCCCGCTCCAGGTGAGAGTGGTGATTTAGCTACTAAAGCTTGAGCTGCTGCTGTGGCTACAGCGGCAACTGCAGCAGCAGCGGCAGCGGAAGATGAGGAAGCACCTAAGGGAAGGGAGTTTGGTGTTGATGAATTTAAATTTCGTTGGTGTTGTAAATGGTGAAGTCCTAAAGCTAGTGGATGTGAGGGTGATATTGATGAGGGGGAGGGTGATGGAGTCCGAGCTGAGGAAAGTGAAGGTGATGATCGAGGTGAATCTGGCCTTCGACTGCTTCCACCTCTCTCCGAACCATTTCTGGGAGTTAAATCTAAAGCACCGCTGGTTGATGATGCAGAGGGAGGATTAGGCATTAATGCCTCTTCCATTGGGCGAGGTGTTTACCCACGACCCATTTGAAACTGTTGTTGTATTTGGAGGGGTCACATTGTGACGAGAAGGTGAAGATCGGTGAGATGATGAGCGTAAATTATGATGATGAGAGTGCTGATTATAATTTGAAAGTGCTAAAGGTGAAGGTGCAAGAGATGATGATGGTGATACTGAACGAATGGATGATGAAGATGACGGAGATGATCGTGGTGATCGAGGCGAGGACGAAGACAATGTTGGTAAACGTAATCCTAACGCATTAACTGGATTCATACCGAAAGCAGCAGCGGCCACCGCAGCCGCTGGAACACCAGATGATGACGATGAACCATTTCGTGGGGTCAAGTCAAGAGCACCACAACGGCGGAAGATGAGTTTGCCAATGATAGAATCATATCTTTCATTGGTAAATAATGATTACCCGTTACTCCGGAAACAGCAGCCGCCGCTGCTGCTGCAGCGGGAGACATTAAAGGTGAACGATGATGATGAGAATGATGATGAAAAGAAGGAGGTAACACCGGAGAACCACCATCAACCCCACCACCACCTCCCCCTGGACCTTCACCACCGGAAACTCGGGAAGATCCACTTCGATTAACTTCAGAGGCAAGTAAATGAACGGGATGTAAACGAATGTGCTGTTGCAGTACCAATGCATTAGTGAACTGTTTGTGACACACTGGACATTGATGAAGCACTCGAAGCGGAGGTTTAACCCGATGAACTCCCATGTGGGTCTTAAGGTTACCCTTGGTGGTGAAAGCGCGATCACAAATTTCACACTTGAAGGGTCGCTCACCAGTGTGGGTCCGATAGTGCATTTGAAGCGCCGATTTACAGGAAAGTACTCGGTGACAGATTACACATTCATTTGAATCACTTAATTTATGTTCAATGTTATCAACTAATTGTTGTAATTTATGAGTTTCAGATGCTTTTTGTATCTCCATTAAACTTTTCCATGAGTTATCAGCACTTCCAGGTTTGGGTAATAAATCTTGATAAAAGTTTGGATCCGGTGCAGCGACTCCTAGTGTATCTGTTGGTGCTAAACTGCCACTTGGTGTTGTCGAGAGCGGCGGAGGTGTTGACGGAGAGGCCGACCCAGCGGTGGTAATTGTTGAAGTGTTGTTATTATTATTGTTGGGTGTAGTGGTTGTTGTTGTTGACAGCGAAAGACCTGAAGGTGTTGTAATTGTTGAATGATTTGATGTTGATGAATTTAAATCGGGTGTTGATGTTTTGGGTGGTTGATTGGAGGAGGAATGGTGATGATGATCATCATTATTATCATCATCATCTTCTTCATTATCATTATCTTCATCATCATCGGTAACTATTGGCTGTGGTGGAGGTGGTGTTGAGGTATTATTATTGGAGGTTGAGCCAACTGATGCTCGAGATGATAAAATTGTGTCATTGTTGTTGGTAGTGATGTTGGCTAGGGTGGTTGTCGTTGTGTTGTTGAGGTGAAGTCCAGCAACGGTTAGATTTGCCGTTGTCGGGGTAAAGGGTCCGAATGGTGTAAGACCAAGGGTGGAGAACATGCCCCCAGGGAAGGAGGATGCAAAACTTGGAGGTAGAAAAGGGTTTGAAGGTGGGGTCACTGTCGAACCGGTTGATAAGGTTGTCGGTAGTTTAGAGGTTGTTGGTGTTGATGCGGTTGCAGAAGGATTTAGTAAACCACTGAATGATAATCGATGAAGTGGTTGTAAGGGATGATGATTATTATTGTTGTTGTTGCTATGATTATTGTGATGATGAGGATCAGATGATTCATCATCAGATGAGAATGGATCTAAGTTCATTTTACTCAGATGATTACCACCATTGGTTGATGAGCACATTGATTCATCTTCCTCTCCAAATTCATCACCCACTTTACTATTATTGCCATAAGATTGACCATTGTTAGCACCATGATGAGAGGTTCCATCATTGGTTTTCTCATCTTCTCCCTCAGAATCACCATTGGAGAGTCTAAGGTATTTATCGGTGTGTCTTTCAGCGTGAATTTTAAGATTACCCTTGGTGGAGAAACGGTTACCACAAACTTTACATTTGAAAGGTTTTTCTCCGGTATGTGAACGAATGTGTATCTGTAGGGCTGAATCGGAGCCGAAAGCTTTACCACAGAATCGACAACGATGCCGATAATTGGAATCACTTTCTTTGCCATCTTTACGAAATTTGAGAAAATCGGCTCCCTCCAGGTCACTTAGACCGTTCATTAGAAATGAACTTCTCTGCATAGTATTTTGAAGAGCCTGTTCGGTGGTTCGTTGTAGTAGCTCCAAAGTGTTTGGTCCACTTGGTGAGGATGGAGGTGGAATGTCAATTGCCACTTCTGGATGTAATCACTGAAGAATTGGGTATAGCTGTCATTTGAGGTGCTCTTATGGTTGTCCCCACATTAGTTGAGTGAGGTACCATAGTCTGTAATCTAAGGGTCTGTGGTTGATTTGATTGAGTTAAATTGTGATTCATATTCAGAAATTGTAATGTACCATCTCTAATAATGAATGTATTTCTAGCCACTGGAAAGTTCTAAAAGAAAGAAAAAACAAATGAAGAAAAAACAAATCAGTCAACATGGAGAAAAAAATTCAATTGTATTGAAGAAAAAAAGGTCAAGAAAAAGGGAAGTAGAAACTGAGATGATATTCCCGCTATGAATAATTTCGTTCTTACAAAGAATCAAAATTTCACTAGGATAACTTGGCGTTTCACTTTTTATCAATTGATGGAATATTATAAATATTCTCTATACGTTAGTGTAAATGATAGGATAAAATTGTAAGAAAAATTGATTAAGAAAACAGAATAAAAAGAAAACTAGAGAATGAAGAGAAAAGTGAAAAGTAACAGGAAGAGTGAACAATGTATTACCTGATTGAGAGTCATGGTCGGTCTAGTGAGGATCTGACCTCCCAACCTTAATGGTTGATTTAAATTGATTACCCGAGGTTGTGATCCTCTTTGGTGACTAAGAGCTGATACAGAGGCGGGTGTCACAGTAACGGTATTAGATGCTGGTCGACTAGGTGTTAAAACAACTTGTGAAAAATTAGCCTGGTTACTTGGATTAGACACAACAGACAATATCTGTGGCTGTTGATTTGATCCACTCTGACTTGAGACTGGTCTTGTTACAGTGAGAACAGTTCCACTTGATGAGATAGTCTGATTATGAATATTAGTCGACATTTTCACGACCACAATCTAATCACCTTCAATTAAATCAAATTAAATAATAAACAAAAATTAAAACAAGATTACAAGTACAATTATAATTAAACATAATTCAACAACATCATTGAATCAAAATGAAACCGAAACTGAAATAAAATGAAAGGCCCATGTTCAGATTTGTGGCTCCATCTGTCGGTTTTAAGAGGGACTAAGAAAAAGCGCGTTTTTTGTTCTCTGTCTTCTTTTCTTTTTATGTTTTTTCATTCCGATTATAATTTAATAAGAAACTAAATAGCGATTCCCACATGAATTGACCACAATTAACTAATTAAATTAAACATTTGATTGGAGCATATTCCAAGTACAAACAATACAGAATTTTTCTTTAATTTAGCAAAATTTTGATTGGGTTGATGATCAATGGAAATTAATTGTTGGAAGTTTAATTATATTTTTCTTCCCATTTTAAAGGTTCACAATTGTTTAAATCAAATTGAAAGGTTTGAGGGAGACAATTTTGTTTATTTGGTCAGTATCATTATATTAATACTAATTGTTAGTCAATTTTTGTTTGATCATCTGATGATAATCAATTGTTACAGTGGGTTATGTCTTAATTGACCATTGTAATTGTTGATTGTGTAATTAACGCCATCCTTGGGTTTGGAAATTTAAATTGGGGGTTTGTTTTTGATCATCTTTACGATTTTTGTTGATTTGTTTTCGTTTAGCAGCAATTTGGGTCAACAATGGTATCAATGGATCCAATTTGGTTTCACTTGATTTAGATTTTTCATCTTTCTCAATTTCGAGTTGATTCAATCGTTGGAACTGATTGATAATCAATTTTATCATCAAATTCATTGATTAACGAATCATCTTGGTCATCATCATGATAAATATTATTTTCTTCATTGATTATCTCATTTTCTACTTTACTGAAAAAAAATTAAGAAAAAAAACCAAAATGAATCATATAGATGAGATAAAATATAATCAAATTAGTTAATTACCTGAGCTCATCTGTGATTGATTCACATAATTTACCATTAGAATTGAAAACACAATTAGATTGGGGGAATATTCCTCTTGATTCAACCATCACAATTAGAAATAGTTGATTAACCATTAAGACGACTAAACATATTGTTTCATTTCTCATGATTAAAACAATCAAGGTTTCTGTTTATTTCAAACCACAAAAACAAACAATCTAATCGATTGAACAATCAAATTTAAACGAACGAAATTAAAAGGAAAAGTGAAAATTAACAATCAGATTTACATACAAATTAAAACTTACTAAATGGTCCAAGCAATTAGATTGAATCAAGAAATTATGATCAACCTTAAATGGCGCATAAGTTTTAATGACCAGTGGTCAGTTTAATCTGCAATAAGTGTAACTATTAATATCTGATTATATTCAATTTAATTGACAGTATTTTCCTTGTCTTAACTTAATCACAATCACGCAAATAACATTAACCTAATCAATAATTTCCTTTTCACAATTAACACCTACAATTGTTTCCAAAATATTCTGACAATCAAATGATTAAATTATCAGCGAATTCGTTATCACCAATTAATCAATCAGATCATTTACTTAGTCCAACTAATTGCAGGGAATGTCACATATTCAATATTTTCTTGATTATCTTCATGAAAGATCAATAAAATTCAATCAATTACAATGACAAATTTCTCGACATGCACGTGACTAAATCCATTTAAATTGAAATGTTAAATATCTTTGAGATCTTCGTTTAGCTTTTCGTAAATCAATCACAATCATGATAATTAACAATGGAAACATTTGTTAATTAATTAGAGAAAAAACTTTGGTCTTTAAATAGAAAAAAGAACAAGAGATGGCGCTGAAGTCGGCGAGCAAAATGTTCTCTTTTTAGAATTTTTGAAAATTCGATTTTCCATCAATCTAGTTGTTCGTTATTGTCTTTCAATTTTTTTAAATCAATTGATTAAATTGATAAATCATCTTTATTTTTACTTTTTTTAATTGTTTAGTTGGTTTTATTTTCTCAATTATTAAGTGTTTACTGTGACAATGGATCCGAATGAAAATAATTTCGGATCAAAAATGAATGAAAGTGAAGTGATTGATACTGGCGCTGATGTTGCTCACTCAGAGTCTATTGAAAAGATGGAAAATTTTGATTATGGTGCTTCAAATGTTGATAGATTTTTGCAGCAGATTATTCAAATTGAAAATGAACGCATTTTGGTTCTGAGAGAAGATTTTGTTACCTCTCAACAATTAACGGCTGAAAATGAATTGAAAAATGTAAAACTCAACTATATAGCGGAACTGGCAGCTTTTGGTGATAAAATCAACTCGGATGGTCAAGTGTTGAAAAGAAAAAAAGAATTAGAAAGTGAACTATTGGAGTCCATCAATAAAATCATATCTGGATGTAAAGCTCACCTAGAAGTTTGTAAAGACATCAAACCTTTGATGAGTACTGTCAGTGCGACCTTGTCTGGGAATGAAAAAGCTGGAATGGATGAAGATCGAGAAAGTGCAACGGTTTTCGCTGCTTTAGCCAACCAGAGTATTGATGGCTATGGATATTCCAATAAGGTGAAAAAAGTTGATGCGAGCAACAAGAGAAGTGCTTCTGATATTTTAAACGATTGTTTGAAAGTTTTCAAGTTTCTAAAGGAAATGGGTCCATTTGATCCACACGGTGATGAAATAATTTCAGTGCGAAAATCACTTGTAGAGTTAAATGGAAAGTTCGACGAGACAAGAGTAAAAAGTGATATAAAAGATCGTGAAATTGAAGCAGTGAACAAAGAATTGGCGGTTCAAGATGAAAAGATGAAAGAAAAAAAACAACAAATAGCTGAAGCAAAGTTGAAAGCCAAAGAAGCTGACGAAGTCACCCAGGAGAAATTGGCTGCCATGATTTGTTCAAATACAGAAAAACAGAGACAATATGTTGCCATGGGAAACAGAATTGAATCCATGAAGGAGAAAATAAAAGAGATACCAGAGCTCGAACAAAAACTTTCTACTATTCAAGAGAAAGTCGCCAAGAAAAGTGCAGCTCTAATTTCCATGAGATCTCAAACTGAAGAAAATAAAACAAAAATAAGGGAGAAGACCGAAAATATTGAAAGTTTAAAAAAGAAAACAGAGACCATGGACAAGGAATATGGTGAAAAAATTCAAACTTTACAAAGTAAAGCCAACAATAAGGAAATTGAACTTAGAAGTGCCCAAGCCAGAGCCCGAGTATCAATGCAAGATGGTGACAAAGTCAGAGAAGAATTCGAACAAAATCAGAAACGAATAAAGTCAATCGAAGATGAATTCAGAGCAGCCAAAGAAGCTGCTCGCCGACGTAAAGCTGAGAAAAAGAAGAAACTAAAAGAGAAACGAATGGTCAAGACACAACTTTCAGGAGAACTACTGATGTTCAAACTATCGAGAGGAATAAAAGTCTAATCATTTCTCTTCCATTTTCTTTTAAATTTCATTGATCAAATTTTTGTATATTCTATTCCAAATTATTGTTTGGTTATTGAGAAATTAATCAAAAACAAATAACCTGAAAATCTATCAAATAGATACTCAAATTATGTAACGAAATCATCTTGTTGGTTAAAACTTTGACACTGATTGGTACAAACAGGAAACAAAAGTACAAACCGATTTCCAGATAGAAAAACATCAAAATTAACGATGATTGTTAGTCAGTTGATTAACAAAAGATACTGATAAAAGCAATTAAACCAAGAAAGATAAACAAAACACATAAAGACAATTTGACAAGACCAATTGCCGTTCATCAGGAAAATCATCACGACTCATACAATTAGATGGAAACAATTAAACAAAAAGAGGAAAAAGGATTAATGTAAATTGCTCCAAAACATTACACCTTTTCTACTAATCAATACAATCATTTAATTGTTAACAATTTGAATGTAATTCTTTCAATTGTCACTTGACAGTCTCTCTTTTGTTAACATTGATTGTTTTGGATAAAACATCGTTGCTATTAACCATTTGATTTCCAATTAAAATTGACACAGTTTTCAAAAGATCAACCAGATTGCTCACTCATTGGATTATTTTTCACTTAAAAAAATTCAATTAACTTAGAAATGGAAACAATTAAAAAAATGAGAAAATGTTTCTTCTAAAACTCTGCCCCCTACATTCAGAAAAGAGAAACAAAAGTTACACTTGATCACAATCACAAGAATTGTTGTGATTTGGTGATAACTTTGATTGTCTTTATTTAATTGTCGGTTAATTGTCATTGATTTTTATTGCTTCTATTGATTAGAGTAAGTTCTTTGGTGTCGCGAGATGGAACCACCAGTAGATTTGTAAGAGAGAAAAGAAAAGCTATAAAATTGAAAGTAAATCTGAAACAATTTAAATTAGTGATTAAATGGATTCATCAACGGAACAATTTACTTCGGTCGCTTCTAAATATCCCAAAAAATATCCTGAGGTTTTCGCCTATGGTACCTCTGGAATACGATGTCTGTAAGTATAAATCACTTCATCTGCTACTAATTTAGCTTTTTAATTGTTAATGTTGTTTTCTTAATCTTTTGTTTCCGTTCTTGTGATCAGTGGGCATAAACTTGATTCCACTGCCTTTAGATTGGGAATTGTTGCTGGATTAAGGTCTCAAATTAACAAAGGTAAAGCTGTTGGTTTGATGATCACTGCTTCTCATAATCCATCTGATGATAACGGAATCAAATGTATTGACTCTCATGGATCAATGTTGGACGAGGAATGGGAACCAATTTGTACCAAATTAGCTAATCTACCGGATGAGGAGTTGAAACAATCTGTTGATGATTTGATTAAAGAGCATCAAGCGAATGGACCAAGTTTAGTGTTTATTGGTATTGATACACGAGGAACATCAGCTGGATTAGCGAAAGCAGCCACCGATGGTGCTAAAATCGTCGGTGCTGAGGTTCGTCACTTTGGCCTGGTAACTACTCCGCAATTACATTATATGGTTTATACTTATAACCTAAATGAAGGTGACCCAACTGAACAAGGTTATTACAATAAAGTGTCAAGTGCATTCAAAGAGTTGGTGAGTTTAATTGCTAATCCTTAGATCGGGAGATTAAATTGATTTAAGTTGATCCATTAATCTTTTGTATCTTCTTTATGTTGACAGTGTTCTGCCTTTAAGGAAGTTCCCTCTAATTATGTGCCGATTTTGAATCTCGATTGTGCCAATGGTGTTGGCGCTTGTTCCATGAAAAAGTTGGTGCCTTTGTTAGAGCCTTTTTTACAGGTGAAACTTCACAATACCTGCGAAAAGGGAATGGTCAATTTCGAGTGTGGCTCTTCTTATGTTGAGACAACATTCCGACAACCTTATGGTTGTGCCGTCAAACCCGATGAACATTGGGCATCTTTCGATGGCGATGCCGATAGAATCATTTTCTATTATCGAAACTCCGACTCGAAATTGCGAATATTAAATGGCGATAAAATTGCAGCTCTGTTCTGCATTTACATTAAAGAATTGGTCACCGCTTGTGAACTTTCCAATAAACTGACCATTCAAGTTATCCAAACAGCCTATTCGAATGGAAGAACAGCCGAATTCTTGAGAGATACAGTCGGTGTTCGAGTTGTTTGTACACCAACTGGAGTCAAACACCTTATGAGAAGAACATCAGAATGTGACATTTCTATTTGGTTCGAATCTAATGGACATGGGTCAATTCGTTATAGCGACAGAGCTTACGAAATAGTTAAGGAAAAAGCTTCAACTGATTCAACAGGTTCAGCGAATCTTTTGATTAAAATCTTCAACCTTATGAACCAAGTAAGTAACATTAGAAAGCAATTTAACTGCAATACTAATGATTACAAATTCTGAAGTAATGATTGTGAATTTATTAACATCAATTAATTCATTTAACTCTTTCTCATTCATTTACATTTCCAGGCTACAGGTGATGCAATTTCTGATTTTCTTTTGGTCGAAGCGATTCTCAGAGCTAAAGATTGGGATCCTAAAAACTGGGACGCTGTTTACACTACTTATCCCTCGAGATTGATGAAACTAAAAGTTCCCGATCGTAACTTCATCAAGACAAACGATATCGCAACGATCATCTATGAGCCCGAATCATTGCAACAAGATATTAGTAAATTGATTGAGACTTTCGGTCCAGGGAGTCGAACGATTGTCCGAGCTTCTGGAACTGAAGATTGTGTCAGAATTTATACCGAATCAACTACTCAGGATAATGCCGATCAATTGGCTGAACAAATTGTCTTGTTGGTTACTAAATATTCTGGACTGAAACAACAACGATCAGAAAAACTCGATTAAAATTTGAAAATTGAAGGGAAAATTTTAAATCATCGGGGTTCAAGTAATCATCTATTTATTAACAAAATATTTACATCTCTTGATTGGATAAATTTATACTTTTCATATTTGTTTGATTAAAAATATCGATTCGGACACACTTTTTACTTCAGATTTTTGTTGGATTATTGTTCATCCTAAAGGCTTGACATTCAATCTTGACTTCGATTCCATCAGTTTAAGATTTTATGTGTTGTGGTGATACGTTTTTGCGTTTCCTTTGATTTGTTGGTCACGAGCATCAATAACTGTCCGAATACAAGGAAGCAAGAGTTTTGTAAGTCAAGATGATTAGAGGAAGGAGGAAGAAAAGGAGGACATTGATGATACAATTAATTAGTTGTTTTACAGGAAAAAAAATAAATCTGATATCGTTTTAATCCAGGAGTGTTCCCTAATTGATACTTGTTTTACGCTTCATGTTGATGACGATGATGGTGTGATGATGACTTCACTCAAATAAATCATTCACTTAGATGAAGGGTGAGTTGGAGTACACACCTGAAGGGGAACTATGATGAGAGAGAGAGAGAGAGAGAGAGAGAGAGAGAGAGAGAGAGAGAGAGAGAGAAGGAAGATTAAGATGACAAGGAGGAAGAGATGGAGAAGGTTATTGAATGGACATAGAGGTTGTCGTTGTGTAATTGTATTTGAGTGTTGTGGTGATGATTAAGATGAGGTATATGTTAATTGTTATTTGATGGAAAAGAGAGATACAATATTTTTACTCTTATTTTGACAAAAAAATGAGCGTTTTCATCCTAATGAAAGAAATTATAATCGATAAAGTTAATCTTCTAAAATAATTGATTATTTTCAATGAAAACTTTTGTTCGATTTGAATTGAAGAATTGGTTGAAAATTGAGGTTATAATAGTTTTTCAATTTCGATTTTTTTGTTTGTAAAATTTCAATTGAAACTGAAAGATTGCGATTGAACTTTTGGTTTACTTTTGTCAAAATAAGAGTGAAATTTAAATTGTAGTTTGTAAATTGATTGTTAATTGTTGATTAATTGCTGCTATGGGTTCAGGATGGAGAGATGGAGATCATGGTAATAGGTAATTCATCGTGGATTCGTTGCATTAAGAGAGAAACAAAATTGATGATCGTAAAATTAATAGTGTGAATCTTTTACATCCCATTCCCCGAATCTTCATTGTCATTGAAGTCTTCTGTTGAGAGAGGGAGAGAATGAAGAAATAAAGAATTAGAAAAAGAAAACATCAGCTGATTCTAGTATAAACAAAAAATTAAAATTAACTATGCTGAGCATGAGCTGTTTCCATGTGAGGCTCATTTTTCCTCTTTTTGATCTTACCAAGTGCGTAAATTATTGTATTAATCAATAAGCTTTAGTTGATTGGATGGAAGAAGAAAATTGCAATGAAGAGGAAAAACAAACTAACCTTGATCGGTTTCTTCGAGATCATCATCGTCATCGTCCATGTCTCCATAATCATCATCATAGAAATCAGCTAAATCGGCCTCCATCTCGGGTGGTTTAGACTTATGTTTAATACAATATTCCTCGATTGTTGTTGGCACCACGACATTATCTTTTTCTGCTTCATTATGAGTAGTCGTCACTTGTTTTCTAATTATATTTTCATATTCTTTATCTTTGCCTTTTGAATCTTTCCATCGTCTATACATGACGGAAGCATCGACATTAGCGGGCGACGAGGTGTTTGGCTCATTCAGCAGAGAGATTACACTTAACAAAATAGTTCGAACATTTTGAGTTGGATTCCATCTTTCACATGGAAGTTCACCCGAATGTGGATCATCAACGGGAGGATGTAAAATAGATATACAAAGGTCACCATTTTCGTAAACATTTGGATGCCAAACTTTAGTAAGGAACTTAAGTGATGGTGGATTGTAAGGATAATCAATTGGAAACTTCATATTGGCCTTGAAATATCCTCCCTCATAGAGAGTATGTGGTGGACCAAATATTGCCACTTCCCATATGAATAAATTATCATCATCAGCTAATTTAACTCTAAAACCTTCAACTGGTTCTTCTTGTAGAGATTTAAACTCCATAGAAAGGGCTCTTAAAGCAGATGCAGTTGGACCCGAAGGTTGTCCCATCTCGAGATGTGATTACTTCTTGTTGTTAAGGTAATGTGAAAATGTAAAAAACCTAAAAGAGAACAAGAAGCAGAATAGAAAAGAAAGAGAAATAGACACTAAATAAAAAAGAAAAAGAAAAACACGATTCAAGGAAAATAAAAGTGTGTTACGTTGTCAAGTGTTAGAATTAGAACAAAATTTCAAGCAAATCAACACGAAAACGAAAACAATTACACAGAGAAGCAAAGATTAGAATAGAAACAAAATAAGCCAAAAAAAGAGAGAGAAAGAGAAACGAAAAAACCAATGAGATTTAGAAAAAGAAACGGATCATCAAAGAGACTCAATGGAAATGAGGAAGAAAAGAAAGACCAGATTAATAAAATTTTTAATTTCTTTCAGACCTTTACGGTCGTCATATGACTGAACAGCCTCGTAGTGCTGCTCTCTAGTGGTCATATGTTCATCGACCACGGTACAATTTAGCTTTTTCTTGCAACAATTTATAAAATTTCTTTGCTTTGGTTACTTCTCCCCTGTGCCATTCGCTTATCCTTTTTTTGAAAATTTCCTCTATGTCCGGTATTTCCTTTTTCATCCATTCGCATTCGAATACATAGTGGTCGACTGTCTGGTAGGCTTTCCCACAACATTTCGGTCTAAACTTGTAACCCGTTATCTTCGTCATTAGCCAAATTTTGGTGTCGGTGAGTTTGTCTCCCAGTTCAAAGTTGAATATGTTGAATTTGGATTTGCCTTTGATGTACAATTGTTTCATTTTCTCCTTCGCTTTTCTCTTTACTATCAGTTCCTGTTCTAATCGATTGTTCGTTTGTCCTTGGTGTGTAATCTCCCGTGTGTTGTCTTCTTGCCAGTTCCAAGGCGTAGTGTAATTGGTGAAGGTCCATTCTCCTTGGCGTTTCAATAATTGTCGTATTCCTTTGGCGAATTTCGAGCTGCCTTTCAGGTATCGTGTTGATGTTTCATCCAATTCTATCGTCGTTCTTCCTGATCCATATTCGTCTATTAGCCATCCTAATCCGATTAGTGTTATTTGGTATCTGTTTTCTATTCTGGGAATATTTAATCTCACATAATTAGTGTTTCTCTCTGTTTCTACTTTTATTAGCAGCCCGCCCTTCCCATTCTGGTAGAATGTCATATACTTAACCTTTCTCCCCTGAAGATCCTTCCGTCTCCATATTATTTCCTCCATGTTCGTCTCTTCTTTCGCTATCCATTTTATTCCGTCTTCATTTACTCCTTTTTTCTTCCATTGCCATTCATATTCGAATTCAATCGCTCGTTGGGCTGCATTTCCATAACCTTCTATTATGTGTAGCCATCGATTGGTTTGGAAACTTCTGTTCAGGAAGCGATTCAGTAGTGATCCGATTATTTGGATGATTTCTATCAGCCTGTTGTCATCTCTCGTCGCCCATAGTACATGTTTGTATATCTTGCTCATGAACATTGTCTGCACCAATAGTTTCTTTACGTTCTTTGGTAACATCTTCACATCAGGCCAGTTTTTGGATAGTTTTGGATAGATCTCCTCCTCAAAAGTTCTTACCATTCTGCTTTTTATCTCAACTGTTGTTGTTCGATTTCTTGGCATCTCAAAGCCTATTATCTCCAGCCATTGCCTCTCCTTTGGTTGGTACATTTGGGTTTTGTTTTCATTGATTTCTAGATTGATTTTCTTTAGTTCTCTCTTAACTATCTCCATTTTTTCGTTCACTTCTCTCGGGTCTGTTAACATGATCATATCGTCTGCAAACGCTATTATGAATACTCCAGCCGTTCTTATTCTTCTTATCGCGTAGTCCAGCGCAAATATGAAAAGTATCGGTGACGTTGATGTGCCTTGTGCTGCATTCGACTCGTCCTTCATGTAGTATTTTCTCCCGTCGGCATAGTAGGTCAGCCATCTGTTCGAATATGCCGATCGTATCAGTGTCGATATTCCTACTACATGACGTAGCCGAACCCAGATTGGGGCTAGGTCCACACAATCAAAGGCTTTCCGTACGTCCAATTTTATTATTACTGATTTCTCGAAATCTTCATGTCTCGTTATTTCATAGAAATAATCTTCGCGTCTTTTTTCTCTACAGAACCCAAATTGTGTCTGCTTCATCAATAGTTCATCCGTTACCGCCATTAGTCTATCTGTTAGTATTCGATCGATTATCTTGTAGAAGTAGTTTGGTGATCGTACCATTCTCACCGAGTTTCCATCTGATTTCATTACGAACCCGCACCCTAATGTGGTAACCATATTCGGGACGTGCGATATTCTGAAGATCCACTCGATCACCTCGATGATCTTTTCGCGATTGATTTCAAAGAAACGTGTCCATGTCGTCGCCGTAAATGTATCTGCTGATAAGCTGGATGTTCTGAATTTCATTTTTCTTATCATTTCTTTCTCATCCTCCTTCAGTTGTCCTCTAATTCCTTCCCATTTGTCTTGGTACTTTGGTTTGTTGGTGCTGAAGTCTTTTATCCATTCCGATCTACTCTCTGCCAGTCTTTTTATGTTCCAATCGATTCGTGTTGGTTTGTTGATTAGGTGTTTATTAATTGTTTTCCAGAGTTTCTTCGTTTCTTTTATCGATTTTATTTTGCGGCTGATCGAAAAACTCTTCATTTTTCGCTTCACTTCGTTTCTCGTGTTTTCTAGTAAATCATTCTCGCTTGTTGTTCTATGGGTTTTTCGTACTAGTTTTCTCCTGAGCTGCACTAATCTTTGGAATCTGTTCTTTTTTTTGTACGAGAAGGTCCATTTCCCGTGAATGTCAGGGAAGTTTATGATTGTTTTACAATTCTTGATCAATGGTGATTGTCTCTCGAGTCCATTGTTTTCTATCTCGTCGTCTCTCATTTCTAATATTTTAAGTTGCCAGGAGCCCATTCGTTTCACCCTCATCTGTTTTCTTTTTGGTCTAATCTTCTCCATTTTTACTCGACTCATTATCTTGTAGTGATCCGAGTGACCATCGTCTATCAGTTTATTCTCAATCGTCTCAATCTTATTGGTCACGAAGATCATGTCCAATACGTTTAATGATCTCTTGAAGGTGGTTGCAAAGTTGTCACATATCGGTCGGAGGTTATAGTCTTTTAACCACTTCTCCATTATGACCCTTCGTCGTTCACTTGCGTGAAACTTGTCTTTATCTCTTTGCCATACTTCCGATGTGGTGTTCCAATCACCTAGAAAGACCATGTTTCGTCCCTTGAAGTTTTCGCACAATTCCCTAATAGTTCCCATTGCTTGGTAGTTCTTCTCCTCGATACTCGCGCTTCTACATGGGTTAACGTATATAGCTGTAATTATTGTGTCGATTTCTTTCACTATCACTGCACATATTGAGTCTGTTTTGTTGAAAATTGGTTTCACTGTCCAGTCCGGTGAGAGTATCAATGCTTGTTGCTTTTTGCAGAACACGTTGTGATTGTTGATGTAACTTAACGCACTTGATGTTTTCGGTTCACTGATTGAAGTTATTTCCTTGTGGCCATTGATTGCGTGTAGTATCGCTTTGCGAGTCGATTCATGTTTTTTCGCTGCATTTATATGTATTAATTTGACTTCCATTTCTACTTTTGTTTCTCGTTTTTAGGTCCGAGATGACTGATATACCAGCTTCTTTCAAGCAAGTCTCAATTCCCCTCCGGGTGCGTCAGCAGGTGATCACTGATTGTCTCAATGGTTCCTTCATTCGTGGGTCAAAGCAGAGCCTGGAGCGGGAGTTTTTTTCTTTGCCTTATCTGGGTATCAAAGATGTTAAATCTTTCTATTGTCGCCATCAACGGGAAAACGATTCTCTTTTTCTCTGTCGTATCGAGTTTTCCCATGAAGGGCAATTGGTTCATGGTCATGGCGTAGACGTTTCCTTTTCTCGTGCTCATGATATGGCTTGTTATAACTTGCTTCGTGTTATAATCTGTAACTGCCCTAAACTTTTCTTGGTAACCCGCGACCTCAGTTTGGAGCTAGCGTTCGACAATCTTTTCATTCCTTTTTTCTTTTCTTTTCAGCCTAACCGAGTTGTTCCTTTACCCAACTGGAGGGGTCATTGTTTTCTTAATGCTGCACTGGTGCCTCTGTTGCATTCCCGCCTTTTTCTGAAGAGTCTCTTTCAGTGTTTCTTCATGGCAGCTGGTGAAGTTAATCGAGGTACCATTAAGCCGCCTCTGGATCGTAACGTGTTGTCAAAAGTCGGTGAGACTCGTTATCTTTGGACCTGTTGTCTATATGAGTATTATCGGCATGTCAGGAGAGCCTCTTTTATTGAGGATTTTGCCATAAAGAATCTGCCTCCAGGTCTGGAGAAGAAACTTTGGCCCAATCGATCCATTAAGCTACCTCCAAAAACGAAGCCCACCAACGATATTGACCTTGATGAGCATCAGACTCGTCTCCTTCGTCATTTCTCTGAGTTTATTTCTTCTCAATACTCGACCCCCGGTGGTAGTGAGTATGTTGTGTACGTGGATCTGGTGAAGAAGTTGGTGCAGGACCATCGCTCTTTCCATGATCTGTTCATGATAACTATTAGTGGGGTGTTCCTCTGTCGGCATTGCCGATCTGATCCTCAACCTTTTACTTATAGTTTCCCCGTTTTTAATATCATTTCCAGTTGTTGCGATAAGGGGCAAAGCTTCCAATTAAGTGATTCTATCAATACTTCTTCCTCTTGGGTTTCTGAGTTGACTCTTACCTGTTCCCGAAAGGTTAATGGGTCTATTTGCGGGAGTCGCTTTCGTGCCCTCGATGATATAAAGATTCTGCAGCTACCTGATATTCTCGCTTTCCACCTGAACCCTGTTTTATTTGATGATGAGGATCTATTAATTGAGATGGAGGAAGAGTTTTCTATTCGTGTCGGTGATCGCGAGAAAAAATATTTCCGTTCTGGTTTTACCAGCGTTTTTCCTCTTTTTAAGAGGAACGGTAAGACTGTCAGTGAACGGTTTCATATACCTGAGGATGGTGATGTAAAAATTGGTTGGCATACCGTCATTAATCTGAGGACCGATGCCGGTCTTTATTATGAGATAAATAATGGTGAAATACATGAATCAATGGAGGAGTTAATGTTGTGTTACACCCCTGGTTCATTGGTACTTTTCCAGTCTACTGAGGATTTCCCGAGTGTTGTTCGAGCTACGGCCTAATCTGCTTTCGCTTTTTAGCCATGAGCCGGGTGCCAGCCTTGGTACAATGTTGAGCATTCGTGACAAAGTCCAAACCTCGCTTTCCCCATTAGTTGTATCTCTTGCGTCTCAAGTTTTATCGTTGGTTCATTTTTCTTCAAATTTTCATAATCATCCCTTTTTTTAATAAACACGTTGATCACGGCTCTTCCTTGTTGTTTCTTGACTTCTACGTAACTTATTATTCTGCATAATGCATTTTTTATTTCGTCTTCAAGGTTCGTATCGTAATCAGTTGTACCGCTCATTACGTACCATCCCATGATGGCCATTCGTATCTCCGGTGGAGTTTCAGAGAACATTTTTTCAATGATGTCTGTTGTCATTGGTCTTTGTATGACATTAGCTTGTTTTCTTGATCCCTTCAGCACTTTCTTAATTCTCTGTGAGAAGAAGTCACTTGGCTGCCATCGGATCTTGGTCGGGTGGTAGATTACAATCTCCTCGTCTATAAGGTCTTCTTCAAAGTCTGTTGTCTCTTGTGAGCTTTTTACCTTTAGTAACTCAAGGACGCGGCGTTGAACTGTTGCGGCTTCCGATTCTGGATCTTGTTGTGTAAGATGAGCGGCGAACAAGTTCGCCCCTGTGAGTAGCTGTTGATCCAATCGCCATTTTGCCTCGATGTCGTCTTGGTCTAATTGTACGAAGTCAGTGAGAAGTTCTTGTACTGTATCTGTATCTGGACACTGTTTTAAGAAACTTTCGTTGATTAATTTTTGGTGTTTTAATTTTTCGAATAATTCTTTGGATGAAAGGTCCATTTTTCACTATTGTTTCTGACTTTCACTTGTTTGTAAGTTGAGCTTTCTATCTTGGAGGTCAATGTATAAATGTTTTCTTCTCTTTTTTCTAAATTCTCGCTTTTTCTCCTTACCCTTGTGTTTCTCAAGGTGTTATTGGTTTAATAGTTATTCGCCTCTTCTCTTGTTGTTAATTGTATCAGTCGTTATTGTCAGTTAAGTTTCTTCTGTTGATGATTAGTGTTTGTTTTCTGATCTATTCTGATTTATTTCAATTAAGAAGATTAAGTTATTTCTTATCATAGTGTTTGTTTTTCAATTTATTTTTATTTATTCAAAGTTTCAGTTAAGGGGATTACAATCAGTTTCTATTGTTCTAAGTAGTGAGAATTAAGATAATTCTCTTTACAATGTTTATTCGTTCAATTTTCTGGGGTTGAAGTCAGCTTTCTCTTTCTTGCTGACAGGACTTTCTTCTTCTATTCTCACGGATTTGGAAGGGTTTAAGTTGGTTCGGGATTAGCTTATTTGAGAAGTTAATCTTCTTTCCTTAAGTCTATCTTCGGCGAACCCAGTTTGGGGCTAGCTTTTACATCATTAAGTATTCATACTGGTAGTCAATTAATGATATTGCCATTTGTAATTCACTTCGATAAAGTGGGCATTTCTGTGAATAAGCTGAGTGATCGCGTTTCTCGCATGATGCACATTTTATCTCTCCAGTGTTGCAGTTCTGGGCTGTGTGTTTCTCAGCACATTTGATGCATCTGGCTTGATTGTTGCATTTGTTTCTGATATGACCGAAACGTTGGCAGAGTCGGCAATTGATTACATCAAAGTTGTCACGGACTGTAAGGAATGTATAACCGACCGATATTCGGCCTCTCATGTTTTGTTCGATTGCCGATCTGATGGCCGGGCTTATTTCTAATACTGTCCCATATTTTCCATTTGTCATTGGGAAATATGTTTTTAATTTGTATTGTTTGTTGTCTCTGAAACCATTCAGTCTCATTATTCTCTCCATGTATTCGTTCCAGGATTCTTCTGTCGGCGGTTTCATAAAAAGTATCTTGATGGCCGGTCGTCGCCACTCAGGTATCTCAGTTGTCAATGTTGTTGATTTTATCTTTTCTTGTAATTCATTTCTGTCCGTTTCAGAATATGTTATTATTAATGAGTATTTTCTCCAGCTTATTATCTTAAGTGAGTAGGTTCGATTGAGTTTTGAAACTATGTCGGTTAGTTTCTTGACGGATCTCTCTTGTTCCGGTCCATTTACAATCAATCTGAAGAAACGCTGTGTTGTTTTCCAATACCACCAGTTGGTTGGTGTTTCTTGGTTATTATTCTTTTTCGAGTCGATGTTCATCGATCTTTTAATTTTTTTCTTCTTCGGTTGTATTGCTTCTAGAGCTTCATCTTCCGATGATTCGGACGGATCTTCCGAGTCAAGTTGCACGGCAACCGCAGGTTCGGCGCTAGCCTTTACACCACTCAGAGATTTTTCCATCATCTTAATATTGGTTCTTAAGAAGCCCAGTTGTTTATCGGATATCACTTTCCCTTTGTCATCCATGGGTGCCAACATTGCTGTTTTCAACATGGATATATCTTCTTTCAATGTTACGTCGTTCATGTTATGGAGGTTATTCATTATCTGTGGTTTGTCCAATCTTTTTTCATTCTCATTCCCAAAAACTTGTCTCATTCGTGTTATCGCCTCTTCATAGCGTTTAATTTCTCCCTCAACTGTCGATGGGTACGCTGGTATGATCTACATGTTTTAAATGTGTACAGTTATTAGAATACATTTGATACTAAATTCATTTGTTATTAACTACATTTGGGATTGAGTACATTTGTTTAGATCTTCTTCTGTTAATTTTACCTTTTTTTCTTTTCCCATTGTCAGTCGTTCCGTTGTCTCACTTCCTGGTGGTTCTTGTCTTGGGTTGTTCCAAATCAGTGTCACACTTCCAAAAACGGCCCTTGTTACAATTTATTTGTCGTCGTTGTTAATTTCGTGTTAATTGCACTGTGGTTGTAGGTCAGTATATTATTAGTTGAACTGTGTTTTTGATTGATGATTGAGAGAAAAACAATTTTATAATAATTTCATTCACTGTGGTATATGGAGGAAAAAAAAAAAAAAAATTTCACCTTATCACTTCAAAGAAAGAAAAACGAGTGAGCAAAAGAAAGAAGAGAAAAAGCGACAGAGAAAAAGAAAGAGAAACATTTAGAATGCGAAAATGTTGTTTTCTTTTCCTCTCATCTTTGTTAATCTCTTTCAGTGATTGTTAAGCTTTTGTGCGAGTTTTTCATTTAATGACAACAATTAACAGTTTATTTAATTTCTTTTTTGCTGTTGAGAGGAAACAAAATTTTCTAGTTAATTTATCAATTTACAAATTTAATCAATTAATTTAATTCTTTAAAAACAGTTTTTATTTCACTTTTGTTCACAACCTTTTTTTATTGTTTCTTTTTCAAGTTTAATGTGTTTACTTAATATCATGTTCTTACCTGTAAGGTAAAATTCACCAAGAAGGTTAATTGTTTTTCTTTCGCTTAAATGCTTTAATTTAATCATCTTTCAGCCGAGGAACTTTATTTATATATTTATGTTTTTTTTTGTTCTTGTTTGCTCTTTCTCTCTCTCTTTTCTTTTCCATCTTGAAGAGTGACTAGAACGATTTTCCAATTTGATTATTTCTCTTCCTCTATTTTTTTGGTTCATATAGGAATTCATCATTGGATGTGTTATCATCTTTGTGAGATTTTGGATTGACGATCAGTATTTTCATCATCTTCTGTTTGGAATTGGAATATTGTTGATACAACTTGGTGGTTTGATCGTAGGAATCGGATGTGATTCCTTTTATGCTTGTAGATGAAGGTGATATTTGTCCCATGTCGATGCTCTTGGATTTTTTTACATGAACAGTTTATAATATTTACAACAAAGTACAACACCAATCTGCTTAGATTTGGAGATCACAGAATTGGAAAAACATGAGAAGGAAAAGTTTTTAAGCTTTGGAAGCTTATAAATCGGACATTGGACAAAAATACGAATTGAATAAGAAATTCAATCGATCAACAAGTGATCCGGTTTTCAACATGATACAATTTTGACCAACGATTTTTAAGGTTGACCAAGTTGAAAGATTTTTTGCATCAGCTGGTGATGTTCTTGGACCCTTATTATTGATATAAATTGGATTCTGATCTTTTTTGAATGCAAAGAATTTCTTCCATGAATTAGATTATATAAGTTATAAATTAATGTTAGTATAATATTGAGTGAGTATTGAAAAAATGAATCAATTTCATTGGTTTGTTTTCTTTGGCTACTTTTGTTTTGCTATTGTATGACGATCACCATTTTGTCATAACGGAAAAAAGACCAAAAAGTAAAGTGTAACCTCCAATCGTAATGCTGGACGCTAGTATTGGGCTAATATTTAAACCGAAATGTTTACTAGTTTGGTTTGATCAATTTAATCAATGCCAATCACTTTGATTAACGAATTCTCGATCACTGGTTTCCCAATCTCTGTTGGATTGAGGCCAAGCCTGTGAAGTTGTTTGTTGAAAATGTTGCGACTGTGGTTGTACATTATGAGGAGTCGACAGATTTGTTTTCGATGCTGTTCGAGCGATTGGTGCTGAGGGTACACCGTGAGGAGCTAAACCTGAACCCCCTTCAATGTAAACTTGGTGCTCATTTTCATCTTCAAGCCAACGAAATCCGGAATGAGTTCGCTGTGAGTTGACGAACACAAAAAAAGCCAAAACAAGGCCACAAAGTAAACCATAAACGGCAAATGTTGGTCGGGTCCCAAATTTATTGATAAAAATACCACCAAGTATGGCTCCAGCCCCTCGGCCGAAACCATGATGAAGTCCTTGTAAAACTCCCTGAGTTGACGACTTGAGGTGTGGCGGTGTTGCTTGGGTGATGTAAGAGCAACAAGCTGCCCAAACACCAGCGTGAGTTACTCCTTGTATCAACTCAAAGGGTAATATAAACCAAGGATTGTCCAGCCAAGCGATGTACAAAAAACGACCAAAATTACATGCTAAGCCGAAACAAAGTACCTAAAGAGTGTATGGAAAATTAAACATATCAATTAGATATGAGATGACTACTTTTACGTATGAATTAAAGTTAAACTTGATCATGATTAGATTGATTGATTTTTCTCACCTTGGTGTGTCCATACTTTTTAATGTACTCTAATGAGTAAAAATATGCAAATATTTCAGATATGTGATTAATCACCGAGGCGATACCGAAAAGCGTTGGTGTCCCACCGAGATCTTGAAGATGCCAAAAGAGAAATGCAAAAACCATACCAATTCCCGCACCCATGAACCAAGTGACAAACAAGAAAGCACCGTAACGGAGGTTGGCGAACGTTTTAATCACCTCGACCCATTCGGGCATTTCTCGAGTTCGTTGAGCAAAAACAGCGGATTTCCATTTGTCAATAAATTCAAATTTACGATCTTGTTGCATTCCCGGAGGCGGATTTATTGGCGGGGCTGTGTTGAATATCGACTTTGGACCTGAGTTATAAGGTTTCATGGGAACCGAATCAACACCTTGCGAACTATCATCAAGTGATCTTGAAGGTTGATCAGGAAAACGGAATTGATAAGCGGTACCAGCAGCAGCGACCATTAGAACAGCAAAAATTGAGAAACAAACTTTATAATTTCGTTCACTTTCATGGGCTCCACAAGGATGATCATTGAATTCCGTTGAATTATCTAAGGCCATTCCAACGAAAAACATCGATATGGCCCAACCAACGGAGCCAAATAAACGTTGACGTCCATAAAGATCAATACGATCACCAAGATAATCAAGTGTAACCGAATCAGCGAGAGTAATTGCTGGAGCGCTGAAAAACTCACCAATTAACACAAGAAGCATAAGAAGGAGGAAAACGGACTCAATATCTTCCCATTTATAAACAACGGTGCTATATGGAGGTGATACATAGGAAGCGTGAATATCTTTGTTAAAATTCAATGTATAATCAATCGGAATCGGTGATTTACCAATGACATGAGCTGGTGGTGGTCGATGTCGATTGGCGTTTGTCCGTCTCTTTGACTCTCTTTTAACTCTTTTCTTAACACCAAACAATGAATTGTGAATGGTTTCACGAAGAGAGTCAACTAGATGAATCTGTTGCCCTGATTCTCGGCGAGTCCTTTTCTGTGGAGTTATCGACATCTCAAAATCATCATCTGATTCCTCAGAATAAGGAGTAAATAAAATGTGATGAGTTTCGTTGAATGTGACACATGCAGTTGCTGGAGGTCTTATATAAGCCATGGCACAAGTGAAAATGATCCAGGAAAAAATGGAAGCCATGAGAAGTAGTTTACCTTTATTGAAACGATCGGCCATCGATCCCCAGAAAGGCGCTGAAAAAATTTCAATAAAAGGTCGAACTCCGGTCAATATACCCGCTTGAACGGAATTCATTCCCATTTGTTTGAAATAAACTCCAGTTAATGGAAACAAAGATCCAAAAGCAGCGTAAAAGAAAAAATAAAAACCTTTCGAGACTAATAAATCTCGATTGGTTAATATCTCTTGAACTAAATCAACGGTATCAGAATTACGCTTATAATCAGGTACACCCGTTGATCCATTGTCGTCTAAAGTAATGGTTTCAGTGTAATTTAGATCGATTGGTCGAGTAGGATAGAGACCGGACTCTTCCTGATCACCTCCCAGGTCACCAACACCCGAAGTGGAAAATGGATTATAATTAGACGACGAGGAAGCTGTTGATCGCTGTTGATCTGATGAACTTTGAGGATATCGAGGTAACTCCATCCTGATTTCGATGGCACAACTTGACCTTTTCCTCTCTCTCTCGAAAATTATACGAGCAAAAGAAAAAGAGGAAAATTAAAACTATTTAATATTTAATTCGAAAGGTATTCAGGTCTAAACGAAAGGTTCTTTAATTACTGATGAAGGTCTGAGTTGAATAATTAATTGACCAAAAAGAAAAGGAAAGAAAAAAGAGAAATAAAGAAAGAGAAAAGGAAAAGGAAGGATAAAAGATGCGGAGGTAAATATGCAGAGAATTAACTGATGAAAAGGAAAACTAGACTAACCTTACGATAAATTGTTATCATTTATCAACCTGAGAACCTTTGGTGTAATAGTTAACCTTTTCTCTTTCTTTTTCTCTTTCGTCTTTAACCTTTTTTCTCTCTGTCTTTTTCTCTTTTCCTTTCATTTTCGTCTTCACCTTCCTCTCTCTCTCTCTCTCTCTTATCCTCATCATCCCTTACCTATGGTTTTATCATTATTCATCTTCTCCTTCTTTCTCTTGCCTCTTTATCTCTCCTGTTCATGTGTGTTTAAGAAAGTGTGAAAAAAGATCCATTTTAGGATCCATTTACCATGACATTCACCATTCATTCATTTCTATCAATCGATAATCTTTCAAATGTTCATTAGTTCATTTCCAAGACAAGAGATGGCGCTTAGTTCACTTTAATTAATTTCCAATCAATTTTTGATTTTTCTTTGAAAACTTTAATCAATCAAAATATTAAAACAATTTTTTTCTTCTCTCTCTATTTCATTTTGATTTCTTCTTCTCTTTTTCTTTCATCTTTTTTTCCTTTTTCAAAAGGCAATGTTACGGGAGGAATTTTCTTGTCCTGTTGATTGTGTATGTTTACCTTATTACTATTAACTAATTATGCTACGTTTTAAATTGTTACTGTTTTACCTTTCGCTGTTTTTATACTTTAACCCATTGGATGCCTTTGACATTAGTTATTCACCTTCACCATCTTCATCTTTATCTTCATCTTCATCTTCATCGTCCATATTTCATTCAACTTCTACTTCAACTGCCAAGTTCAACGGTGGAATTGTTAACTCACAATTAACTTTAAAACTTTCTACCAGTCCATATATAATTAGTGAGAATATTTTAATTGAATCAAATGGTGACCTTATAATTGAACCTTTTTGAGTTGAACATGGATTTTAATGATTCTATTGGTGATAAAACTAGACCACGTTTTGGGAATCGCTTTCTGACCGCTAAGAACGAGGGATACAATTAACTGCTCATTTTCCTTTTCATTTTCGATTAATTTTTTTCTCTGTTTACTTTTTTTTCAGGGATCAGGTTGATTGGACTGAAGAGCAATTAGCTGAGGTGGGTGTAAAAATAAAGTGCAATTCAGCTCATCGAGTTGATGATGATTCGAGAAGCAAATATCTTCTCAAAGCCGATAGGTATTGGGATAAGTTTTACCAAACACATGAGGATAAATTTTTCAAAGATCGACATTGGTTATTTACTCAATTTCCAGAATTATTGTCATTCATATGATGTGAATGTTATTTTTGAAATCATTGTGGTGTAGGTAACACTATTTTCCCTATTCTAGCTCTCAGAGAGTAAGTTGGTCTCTGGTTATTCAACATTACGAAGGTATCTCTAGGCCAATTAACTATTGGTCGATTGCGATTAATTCTGGCAAATCTTTTTCATTGGTTTCAATTTAATTCTTAACTTTGTCTTCTCAATGTTTTTTTTTGTCAGAAAACCAGAAACTATGATTTACTGTTGTGACTTTTCACCAGTGGCTATTGATTTATTAAAGGTGAGCACTAACTAAGCATAAGATCAACTTAATCACTTTCTAACCCTTCGAGGAATCAAGTTTAGATGTGATTGTTTCCATTTCACATTATCAGCTATCCCTCCAAAAAAGTATTTACATTAATGTAATTATCATGTTTCTATTTTCTCATTTTATCGTAAACTCTAATTACAGTATACCTGAAACAATCAAGAAATTATCTCGATACCTGAAACCTGGAGGATTGTTTTTTTCTCGTGATTATGGTAAATACGATTTAGCGTAAGTAAGATTTAAAAAAGGTTCTTGTATGGATGACAATTTTTATGTTCGAGGCGACGGAACAATGGCCTATTTTTTCACACCAGAAGAAGTCGGCAAACTTTTCGTCGATTCTGATTTAGAAAAGGTATCGTTAATCACCGATAAACGGTTGCGAGTTAATCGCGGTAAGCAATTAAAAATGTATCGAGTATGGATTCCCGCTAAATATCGTAAACCTGATTAACTTTGATTGAAAATTTTCCAATTTTTACATTAAATTGAATCAACAATCAACTTGCAAATGGTGATTCCTATTCACTATCAACACTTGATCAAATTTTCCCAAAATTAAATCATACAAAAATTGGCCGTCAATAATTAATCAGGATTGCAAAAAATTGTCAGTCAGAAACTCAATCCAACTTGATTATTTATCAACAATTTCTTAATCATAGATATTTGGCCATTCACCCATGAAAATATCGGGTGACCGAAAATGAGTGAGCATCTCAAGAATGGTAGTTCTAGAATAAAATTTCAAACGTCATTGAAAGCGCCATCGATCAAATATAAATGATGAATTTTTTCAGAACTTTCGAAGTTCAAGTGCAACTGTGGTTCTTATTTAAAGGCCAAAATCGCGATTTTCTCTATGAGAAATTTATAATGGGAAAGTTAAAGAGCAATTTTCGTTGATTTCGGCCATGTTGGATCTCAATAACCTTACTTCAGATAATGATGAGCTTAGGTATATAAGATAATAGGTCAAAAAGAATAACTTTTGACCAAAAATTTTGAGTCCAAAGTTGGTTAACTTTGTTCGCTTTGTCAGGCCACTCGATTTCTCGAGAACCGTGCGTCCTAGAAAAAAAAGTCGAACATTTTTGGACTCAGCGTCAAATTTACTTTCTTAAAATGTATAGAAACGTGGGTCCAAAACTTAAGGTTCGTGAGATGCTCACTCATTTTCGGTCACCCGATAGTTCATTGAACAATAAAAAACCTCAACACAACTACAATCAATTAATTGGTCAAAGATGCAAATGTAATTACGACCAATTATTAATTTGACTTCAATTATCATTATCAAATTATCTTTGTAAACAATTATAATTTTAGAAATCGTTACATTGTCATTCAAATCTACTGTCAAAGTAATTAAAGTAACAATTAAATGAGGATCACACAAACAATCAAACTCAATTAAACCCAATTTTTCACCTTTATTATTTTTCACTATTGATTGTGATAATTAAGTACCTTCGTTAATTAATTAAATCCATTGTTAGGTCCACTTGTGATTACCATTGTTTCTCGAGTTATTTAACTATTGATTATAATCGTCTCAACGTTAATTTAACTATCATCAAAAAGTCCAATTAAATTGTCAACTGCGATCATGGTAATTGACAAAAACAACTCAATTTAATCAACAAATTAACTTAACATTGACATTAGATTATGAATAAATCATGACAGGTAAACTTGCACAGATTAATGTATTAATATAACTTTGATTAGCTGATTATCACCATTTTCATTTCCTCAACAATTAATTAGTTTGTAATTAAGATGATTATTCTTATCCGTTGGCTGTTGGGGCTAATTTAATTATCAATCACAATTAATATCTTTCTATCAAAAAGTCATTGATCATTTTTTGTTTTATCAATTAATGATGAGTGGAAATGCATTTATCAAACAAGATTAAGATATTACATGTATTTGATCATTGATCTCAATTGCAACAATTAAAGTATAACAATCAGGACCTGTTGTAATATTATTGAGACGCTTTTGACCTTTAATTAAAGTCAATGTTACCTTATAGAAAGTGCGACAATTTGTTTAATCATTAAATGACTAAATTGTAAATACACTGATTAAAATCCTCAATGCTTACAGTTGAAAGTGATGTTGTTGTTAATTGTTGGTTATTGTTTCAGTTATGTTAAACCATTTACATAATTAGTTGATTACTTTGTTAGAGTTGATTGTTTAAGTTTCATCTTCATAAGTATTGGCAATCATAATTTAAGTGTTACATTTTTTTACATCAGATAAAATCAGATTAAGTTAATTGTTCAATGTTCAATTTCAAGGTTAATCTCAATTGATTATCATTTTGACTGATTTATTGAACTGTTTTTAAAAATGATTCAATTAAGCTTAATATTAATTAAGATGTTAGGAGATGTGAAGTTATCGATCATGGTTATTGTTATGATATTAATGGTAATTGTTATTGATTCAAATTATCAGATGATTTTGATTTGTAATAAATTGTTAGTTTTTCTGGGAGATGAAACAAAATAATATAATAAATCAAATACAATTAATCGACTGATTCAATGATCAGAGTGAGAATGAGACTTCAATTGGGTTAATTGTGATCAAGGAAAAGAGAAGCAAATTGTTGATCGTAAACTTTGATTGTAATCAATCAAAACAGATGTAAAATCCAATTGTTATTACTGAATTCCAGTAAATCACACCAATGTTTATCTTTTAATTACTATTAGAATCAATAGTAATAAGTTAGGCGATGGAAAATCTATTAAATTGTAAGAATTTAATAGTTAATTTGATCAGACTAATTTTCTTTTTGATTGTGATTATATAAACTTTGGGTTAACTTTTTCATTAATTCCACTTCAACTCTTCCCATTGGGTTTTAATGTAATTTCTTTGAGTGTCTTTGATATTTTTCCAATAACTTTTTTCTTTGTTATTTTTATCATCTCCTCCTTTTGATTATCTCTCATATGTAAACGTCTCCCTCATCATCGTCATCATCATCTTCATCCTCCTCTTTTTCCATATCAACTCCTAGTACTTTGATTATCACTGAAATTAATCAACCACGGCAACACCGCCAATCATCATCCCGCTGATAGATAATCCTCATGAAACAATTAAAGTGATTCAAGTTTGTGCCAAAATTAACAACAGTTAAGTTAATTGTTTTGAAATAACAGGGAATTGAGTTCAAACTCTACTTATATTTCTTGAGATAATTTCAGTTCTGTGTTGAATTTCACTGTGATCAACATTAATTAGTTGATTGTTCCCCGGGCAAGCTCTTGATTTGCGTGTCCAATCATCTTCAGCACAATTAATTCACTAAATTAAACACTCGATTCTTTTAATTGTTGGTAAAAAAACACCATGAGGAACCTTTTCATTTTGTGCCTAATTTTTTGCGTCCTTGGAGTGAATTTAACCAAAGGTTAGTGTCCAGTCTAATTAGAGTCATTAAATTCAAGAAAAATCGTTGATTCCTTTGACCATCTCAATCGATGATGTTCCTAGACCATCACATCGACAGTATTGTGGTAATTGTTTATTACGGTGTTTCCGAGTTCATTTTTCTTGAATTTAATTCTGATCGTCAATTAGTACAACATTAATTGTTCTTTCTCTTCCACTCCCTTGATCGTCAACAGGAAAACCAACTGAAGATACAAATAATTCCAAGGATTCTTCAACCAAGTAAGTCTACTAGAGAGATTCAATTATCACTAAGAGATAAAATAAACAAAAATCAATTAGATTGAATCAATTTATCTCCGATCAAATATTATCTTTATAAGGTGATTAAAGTTTTGATTCAGAGGAAACCAAAATCACACCATAATTAGACAATATAATTCTATAAGTGGTTAATCAGATTTAAATTTTTTACACTACATTTGTATTTGGTTGAATGGAGATTTTCTTATAGGCATATTTTGTATCATAATTTAACCTTAAAACAATTGGCTTCAATTCAAACGTTTCAAGTCTTAAACGTCTATTAAATTTTCCAATGTCAACCATTAATTACAGAAGAAAAATCTTAAGCAATTTAATTGTTAACAAGAGACAATTTATTCTCAATTTATAGACTATAAATAATAAAAGAGACGATTAAACAAAATTGAATGTAAACAATTTCCTACTCACCATTAAAAAGTAACAAGTGTCTAATTGTGAACATGTTGAGGATTAGACTCATGTAGACATTAATCTAAATCATGTTAAATATAAATTGTTTATCTAAACGTTTGCCAACATCGAAAAGATAATTATTTGATAAAAATCCAACGAGAACACTTAACAATACAAAGATTATTGTAAATTGTAAATAAAATGTAATCAAATCTCAGAGAAAAAAAAGAAACATTTTAGAAAAGAAAAGAAAATGAAATAACCGAAATGCTTTTCGGTTAATCTTTTTCCCGCTTTACCTTTTGGTGTCATTGAGATTTAATGAGGTGAACATTTTATCATTTTCGTTTTGTTGTTTACCTTTTATTGGTTTTAATTGTTTGAATTGTAATTGTTATTTGTATCTCTGTTTCTCGATTTGGTATCAGATTCTTAACTGTTTAATTCTAATTATTAACATGTTACGTTATTTTATATCAATTCACTTGTTCTCTTCGCTGGTTTGTCTTTTTGGATCCATGTGATGTATTGATTTTCTATTTATTTCTTGATTGTCAAGATCTAATTCATTACTAATCTATTACTTTTGTTTTGTTCTATTAGAGTTGACATTAAATATTCATGAGACCTATTCTATTTTTACTTGTGCAGTTCAAAAAGCGTAACGGGTGACGAGAACGAGGCTGTTAAACCTGTTGTTAGTTCTTCAAGTGATAAAACGACTGACAATTCGCAAGATAATAATTCAAAAGCTGATGACACTAAATCTGTCGGACAAACTGATGATAAAGATGCTCAAAATAAAGCTTTGGCAGCTACTGTTGCACCAACCATCCCACCAACAACAACACAGGCCCTCACAACTATGGAACCAACAACATTGGCATCAACTATATTACCAACATTAAGCACAATTGATACGACCACTGCCACAGTCACGGAAGCAACAACCACCGACTCCGAAGAAACAACAACCGTATCATCAGAAACAACAACTATTGTATCAGAAACAACTACTGGATTGTCAGGTACAACTACTGTTTTATCGGAAACAACAACGGAAGAAAAAACCACCGAAGAGCCAACAATCAAAAATCCACCACCAACAACAACAGTTTTACCGATAAAAACTGTTGATGTTACAACAGTTTCACCGGCCAATGGAAATTCAAAACAGAGCAAAAAACTGAGCGGTGGAGCAACAGCGGGAATCATTGTCGCCGTATTAGCAGTTTTCGTTGTCATTGGTGCTGTTTACTATTACTATTCATCTAAGAAAATTCCCCGGTCGAGTAAAAATTAACCAACCAATGGAAAAAAATGATCAAAGATCAAAAATGTCCTTCAACCGGTCAATGAAAACACAATCTTCGTCATCTTAATATTTCAAACTCTCTCTTTTTTTAACTATCATCAACTAATTTTCCAATGGTATTTTATTTCTGATTAACCACGAAACAAGAAAAAAAAAACAAATCCAAAGCAATCCTTATCCTCAACCAATTATGATGACCAAATTGTAAATCTAATTTGAAAAGTTTCGCAGTCACTAATTATGAAACTAAAATGGTCTCAATTTTGTAGATCACAAAACAGATTGGTAATCAACTAAAACATTTTTTATCAAATCTATTCATGTAAAAGTCCATTTATAATAAAAGAAAATTACAAAAAAAAAATTTTAATTCAATCGTTAAATCAATAAACTGATTCCATTAAAATTGATCAATGGAAACATTTAATTCTCACATTTGATTTTGCCGCTTTTCTTTGCCCACTGTCGCCATCTCTACTTAGAATAAATAACTAATTAGTTTATTTCCAAGACAAGAGATGGCGCTTAGTTCACTTTAATTAGTTTCCAATCAATTTTTCATTTTTGTCTAAAAACTTTTAATCAATCAAAATATTACAATGGTTAATATTTTCACCCAATTCTTATCCAGTTATTCAACCAGCTACAGATTAATAAGATTCACTTAAATTGCTTGTGTTGATTTGCAATGATAATTAACCAGCAGTTCAATTAAAACACTTACGATGACACATTTTGATGTAATAATGATTGTGAGTCAATTAACATTAATTACTCATTTAACTCTCTCTCTCTCTCTCTCTCTTATTTTAGGCCACTGATGATGTAATTTATGGTTTTCTCATGATTGAAGCAATTAGCTGAAGAATATAAATAATGAAATTTTGAAAAAATTAGCTGAACAAATTATTATACCAACAACGAAATCAACAGGAAAAAAAACTCATCATGATATTTGATTAAAAGATTGTGAAAAAAAATATCATCATCATCATCATTGGATTAGTTTTTTCAACTGTTGATGTTTTCAGTTGATTAATTTTACAATTTCTTTGACAGTTTGGAAAACAATCAATAAAACTGTGATGATAGAAAAGTCGATAAACCATAAACTCTTGAAACAGCATAACAATAACAATGAAATAAGTTAATTGTTATGAATATTAGTTGAATTACAAAAGAAGTGGAAAAAAAATTACCATAGATGAAATAATAAACCAGTTAGCCTTGACTGAGAACAGGAAGCAATTAGAATTAAATTTAACCAACTCAACGAAATGATTAGACTTCCCATAGACCTTGGAAAAGGTTCTTACCATAATTGAGATGGTAAAAAGTTAAACCAGAAAGAATTAAATTTAATCATAGAACTGGTTTTAATTGTGTTTTCCTATTGGTAATCCTTTTCTTTTCTGTTATATCCTATTTCTCCGGTAAATGATTAAAATAACAAACAAGCCAACAATTAACGATCAATTGGGATTAAGTTTCTCGCTGAACAACAAATTGAATCTTATTAAATTGGGTAACATTAACTTTCTAGATCAATTACAATTATCTTACAATTGTTGAAAGATCATCAGTTAATTGTTATGGGGGAGTTTTTAACAGGAAATTGAAAAGATTGATTGATAATCTGGACGAAGATTAATAATAATAAAAAAACAATAAGAATTCATGGTTGATTAATGATCCATCCAATTTTCTGGCTTCGATCACTTGATTCAACTTTTCATCTCTTCAAATCAACAGGTACATTTATCGTCAAAGATAATTATAGCTGGTCCATAGTGATCATGATCTTGATTATAGTTAGAAAATCATCTTATTAAATCACAATTAAGAGAGAGAAACACTCAACAATGTTGATAACAAAGACTGAGAGATAGAAACTTAATTAGATCATTTAAACAATCAAGCCAAAGATATTCAGCTAAACCAAAAAACCTCCAGAGGAACAATCAACAATCAACAAGTCCAATTTGATCAACCACTAAAATTAGCAGATTCAAATTAATCGCAAGAGCAAAACAAAACAGTTAATTGTCGCTGAAATTAATAGAAAAGTGGAAAAATAATCAACCTAATCAATAGAACCGGTAACCAGGAAAAACAAAGGAAACTGAGGAAAACTTAATCATCTCACAAACAGAAAATAAGAGATACAATCAAGTTCCATGGAAATTAACAAGATGACAAGGAAATTAAGAGACTGGAACAATTAAAAGTAAATTAAAAGTAATTAAGGTATGAAAATTTGGATGGAAATTAAATGAAACAATTAGAAAGAAAAATGTAAACAAAGAAAAGCGATCGTGTAAATAGCCAATGCGAAGAAAAAGAAAAGACTATTTAAAGATAAAATAGTGAATCGTTTTGGAAGAGAAACAGTTTTGTTTATATGAAGTGTTTCTTTTCCAAAGTGATTACAATGATTACGAATATGAGAAAACAATTAATCCTCTTTCACAATCTCTTTACCTGTGATATGTTCAAGTGATTCCTGATGATTAAGAAGATAACAAGTTTTACTGTTTACTCGTATTTCTTTTATTCTCTTTCTTTCATTTTCTCTTTCTCTTCTTTCTCTCTCTCATATTTTATTCTCTTCTTCTTCTTTGGGACACACCTTGTTGGTTCAAGTTACAGGGTTTAAGGAATGTTTTTATTTCTGGACCTGTGGGTGGTTCCACTGTGCGTAGTACCTGTTAACCCACCACCAGGTAGAAAAGGTAAATTGTGTTGTTTGCGCTTCTAAAGGGGAACTTTTTTCCACCGTTGAGAGACTTTTAGTCCACCCACCCCGTAAGAGTAAATGTGATGAGAACAGTTTTTTTCTTCTCTCTCTCTCTTCTTTTTCTCTCTCTTTCTCTCTATTTCATTTTGATTTCTTCTTCTCTTTTTCTTTCATCTTTTTTTCCTTTTTCAAAAGGCAATGTTACGGGAGGAATTTTCTTGTCCTGTTGATTGTGTATGTTTACCTTATTACTATTAACTAATTATGCTACGTTTTAAATTGTTACTGTTTTACCTTTCGCTGTTTTTATACTTTAACCCATTGGATGCCTTTGACATTAGTTATTCACCTTCACCATCTTCATCTTTATCTTCATCTTCATCGTCCATATTTCATTCAACTTCTACTTCAACTGCCAAGTTCAACGGTGGAATTGTTAACTCACAATTAACTTTAAAACTTTCTACCAGTCCATATATAATTAGTGAGAATATTTTAATTGAATCAAATGGTGACCTTATAATTGAACCTGGGGTTGAATTAAAGTTTAATGGTCGTAAAAGTGTTACCGTTTATGGTTCAATTCAAGCTAAAGGAACAGAAGATCAAAAGATTATCTTCACAAGGAATGAAAAACATTCAGATTATTCTTACTCATCTTATCAAGCACATAATTCATCATCTGTGATCTCATCTTTAAGTTCAGTTGCCTGGCCTGATGTTAGACTGGTTGATGGTGATTTACCCTCTGAGGGAAGGGTTCAGATTAAATATGCTGGTAATTGGCATAGTGTTTGTACAAATTCAAAAAATTGGACTCTAACTGATATTCAGGTTGTTTGTCGAGAGTTAGGATTCAATGGTGGACATTGGTATTCATGGTTACCAAGACACAATGATTCTCGTCAGTTAATGTTTGAATATCCTGGTTGTCAAGGGTCAGAAAATAGTTTACTTGATTGTCCAAATTGGTTGAAAGGACGTCGAGTGGGAAGTGGAATCTGTGATTATCATTCTGATATCGGTATTAAATGTAATCGACAATTATACAGTTCATCATCATCATCATCTCCACTGATATCAACTTATTGGTCTGGATTAAGGTTCATTCATTCATCGTCACGGTCCATTTTATTTTTCAATGATCGGGTTCATCGGAAAGTTTCACGGTCCAACCTGGAAAATGTGATCATCACTTATGCTGGTGAAGATATTGATGGTGAACCGGTTCCTGCAATCTATTCAGTTGGTGTTCCTCCTCAATTAAATCGGGTTGAAGTGAAATGGTCAGCAGCCACTGGACTTAATATCTCTGATCCAATTGATGGTATCACAATTGAAGATTCTTCATTCTCTGATAATCGAGGTTATGGTATTTTCATTAACAGTTCATTTGGAAGTGTTACTCTTAAAGGGTTGAGAGTTCGCAATAATGGAGCTGATGGAATCCGTTATATTACCCATGAATCTATTGGTGATGGACAATCATTTTCAGAGTCAACCCAATTAGATGGATCTCAAGTTTATCCTTTAATTTTAACTCATGGACAGACCAAAGAATCACGAGCCGAGAATCCATCTTGTCGTGATTTTGAGATTCCTGGTAATTTAAAATCACAAGGGATACAATTAACTGCTCATTTTCCGTACCTGATGAGTGAATCTTATTGGGGTGAAGCAAGAGAAAGTCATTTAAGTCGAGATGGTTATATTGAAGTTGTCGAAGGTTATTCTCGAACAGTTCTTGCCCGATTTCAAGTTCGTAATTCAACACGTCCACCAAGTTTCACCTCGAGAGAGGGTAAATTACGGATCTGTTATCAACCCGCCATTTTGAGACGGTTAACATTCAACATGATTGTTGTCGCTGATATGGGAAGAGCCTATGATTTAAATGTAACCGATTGTGATATTCAGGGTAACAATGGTCGAGGTATTTGGGTTGAAAATCAGCGAGCAGGAACAATTGTAAATCGAACACGAATTTCAGGTCATGATCATGTAGCCGGAATTCATGTTGCCTCTGGAACTGGTGATGTGATTGTTAATCAAACAACTATCGTCGATAATGTTGGTGATGGTGTTAATGTTACAATCGCCGGTGGTTATAAACACATTGATCGATCAACAATCTCCCGTAATACCCACCGAGGATTAGCATTTTGGTTCAATGAATCTTCACATTATTTATCTGTTCCAAATGAAAATCATATCAGTTATTCAGTAATTTCAGACAATCTTGAAGGAGGACTATTAATCGGAAATGTTTGTCTCTCTGAATCCATTTGGAATATTTCAATGAACTCATTTGACTCTAATTTTGATGATGCAATTGTTTACCAGTCTTGTTGGAATCCCGATTATGCAAAGAGAAGTGAAATTTCAATTACCAACAATCGATTCACTCGAGGATCCAGATTAGCAATTAACATCGCTCCCGCTTTCCATTTTAGAGAAAGTCTCATTGCTCATAATTACTTTGAAGGGCATGGAAAGGGTGTAATTTATGTGAACAATTGGAATTATGTGTATGACGATCATCGTTATCGTGAGGTTGAAACTATTCTTGACATTCGTGAGAATCATTTTATCCGTAATCGTGGTCCATTTGTGGTGAATCTTGGTCTTCAAGAATCAAATGAGAGGCAGCGATTAACTTTCGAGAGAAACATTTTAAAAGAAAATGTTATTCGTGAAATGTTTGATAAACTTAATCCTCGATCTCGAGTAGCTGCTGTGGTAACAATATCTTCAAGTAATTGTAAAGTTAATCTCAACAATCTAGTTAATCCCGAGTCAACTTACGAGATTGGATCTCACCTTGAACATCACGCCAAAGTTATCGATGCAACAAGAAACTATTTCGGTCAAATGAGAGGCGAATATCCATCAAGACAAATTTACAAGCGTATTTTTGATCGTAAAAACCGTTACAACATGGCCTTGATTAAATTCCTTCGATATCGAACATCGGAGAATATTTTTGACAATGAAGACTATTTATCTTCAGATAAAGAGAAAGAGATTGACAAGTACAGTCCATTTATCGAGGGTAATATTATTGGTGGTGAAATGGCCGCTGAAATTTTACAACTTGAACCTAAAACATATCGAGTTTCTGAAGATATTTTAGTTAAACCGGGATCACGATTGATTATCAGTGAAAATACAGTTTTATCATTTGACCAATCGATCGGTATGATGATTCAAGGTCACGTTGAGTTTAAGTGTTCACCTTCCAATCGAATCAGATTCACCTCATCGGGTACTTTTGGTTCATCAATACAATCAACACTCACACCAAGTAGCACCTCTAGTGTTTGGAGAGGTCCACCAAGTCCAAGTAAAGCCAATTCAACACTTATCATCTCATCGACTTTTGACAAACCCGCCGCCGATAATGATAAGCTAAAGGTCAACAATTCTCGATCATCTCGAGCTACTTATGATTCGGGTCACTCGTCTGGGCGAGTTAGACTGTCTAAAGGTGATTCTGGACTATTAGAAGTACAAATGGACAATGGAAAGTGGGGAACAGTTTGTTCTTATGGTTTCGATATTATCGATGCTTCGGTTGTTTGTCAACAACTTGGATTAGTTGTCAATTCTCGTGATTGGCTTTTGGAGAAAAATCAATTCACCTCGTCATCTTCATCGTCATCATCATCATCTTCTTCTTTGAATACTTTGGACTCTTCGGTGGTTCTAAGTAATATTCAATGTACACCTTTCGACAATGATATTCTTCGTTGCAAGTCTGAGAATCGAACTCGTGGTGATTTCGATAATTCGTGCCTTTCCGAAGTTGGAATTAAATGTTATCAACCTTCATGGTCTGGAGTTCGATTTGGTATGTCTGCCAGTCAAACGGAAATTCAACATATCGAAATTGAAAAAGCGGGTCTATTTGATTATGCTTCCAATTCCTTCAAACCGGCTTTACAAATTGACTTCAATCGTCATCGATTATTCAACATTAAAATCGTTGAAAGTTCTGATGCCGGAATTGGTATAATGTGGAATGACTTTTCTAACATTCGAGAAAATCTAGAAATATCTAACATTGATATTCAACGAAATGCTTTCCATGGGATAATCTCTCATTCTCAAGGATTAGTTTTATTTGAATCTCGAATTCAAGAAAACGCTGGAAGTGCTTATCATTATGAACCAATGGTCAACAAATGGGAACAAATGGACCTTAAATCTTGGATTGTTCCTCGTGATCCAAGGTCAATTAAAACACTACCCGAAGATGGTACCAGTGTGTCTCTTGATCCGTCAATGCCTGAAGGTATGTATGTTAAGATCACCTCGAAACCGGCAAGTTTGTCCAAATTTACCTTCACTGTGAAAACCCGTGAAACTTATGCAATCGGAATTATGGTGCTAAATCCAATCTTCGAAGGATTTACCGATCGACTAATAATGTACAACAAAAACAATTACCGAGCACCTCGTTACGATTTAAAGGCCAACCTTTCATCATTCCCCTTTTGGATTTACTCGTTTGAGGTCAACTTTGACTATGACGCCGGGCATACACCTAAAGGTGATATAATCCTTTACTTTGTTACCAAAAAGATCACCTTTGAAGGTCACCTATTAGAATTGGATATTCCAGCTCAGCAAGAGGAAAAAAATCGTAAAATAAAAACAACAATCATCAAGAAGAATCAAATTAAAGGTAATCGTCATGGATTCTCAGCAAGTCATTATAATCGTAACATTGGTACAAATGGTGACTTTTTCTATCGACACTCCAACGAAACATTTATCTTTGATTCAAACTTTTTCATGGAAAATACTAAAGAATCAATTATGATTAATGCTCCTCTTTACGATCCTGGTTTAAGTGCACTTGCTGAAATTAATTACACACTAATTAATAATGCTTTTAGAGGAAATGCCCGAGGTATTTATCAAGAGAGTCGAAATTATCGAGGTTCAAACAATTTATTCCATTGGACAATCAATGGATCTCTAATTGAAAACAATGGTAATGGTGGTGTTATCCTTCATCTTCCTTACGTTTGGCAGTACAACGAAAACTTTACTCACACCATCTCGATTCATAATAATTCATTCCGACGAAATAGTAACTTTGAGTTCACAATCGATGGTCACTTTGCCGGTTTCAATATGTCCAAAAACATTTTCAATGAAAACAAATGTAAAGATGGTTTGTTTACAATCACCGGTATGGAGAAAGCAATGTTAATCGAAGACAATGATATCATGTTCAATTCGGGTCGTTATATGGTTGAATTTAATGTCGAAAGTCATGCCGATATGTTTGGTGTGGTTCAAGCTTATTTTAGGCGAAATCGTATTTTGGATAATTCTGATACCCACCGAATCAATGGAATGGTTCGTGATCATCACAATCCTGCCAGTTATTCAATGGCATTGAGAGGTGTTCAGTATATTAATATAACTCGTAATTTGATCAGAAATGATGCGCTTCAATTTGAATTTATTGCTGGTGTTTTAACTGGATCACTTCAGAATCGTATTAATGTTGTTGAAAATTGGTGGGGAACAGCAAATTCTACCAAGATTAAAGAGAGAATCTTTGATTTCGATGATTGGAATAGTTATGCTATAGCTAATTTCAGTCCATTGTTGACCACCGAATCAATCGACGCTGCTCTTGTGAAAATCGATTTCAGACAAGATCTTATGAATTTAGATCAACCTTTTGGTGGGCGAATCCATTCACATTTAATCTTAAGTAAACGTGAAAAACCTTACGTGATCAACGCTGATTTAACTGTACTTCCGGGAGCCAATTTAACGATCTTACCTGGAGTAGTGGTTGAGTTTTATCCTTCAGTTGGAATCTTAGTTTTAGGTGATTTAGTTGCATTTGGAACTCGAGAAGATTGGATTACAATGAGACCTTATAACTCGGGTGGATTGAAAGAAGGTACTGAAATTGATGTAATCCGTGACAAGAGAATGCTACCCATGAATTATATCTCTGATGTTTCTGAGGTACGATTATGTCACACGGAAGCTTGTGATGAATGGTCACTTGGAGGTCGTCACGATGGTTTCCTTGAGGTTTTTAACCGAACAACAATGCAATGGATTCCAGTTTGTGATGAACGTTTTTCTGAGCGAAATGCTCAAGTGGTTTGCTCTTATTTGGGATATTCTCGTCTCAATGTTCATCTTCGTCGTGGACCAAGAATTGACATGAGTCCAACTTACACTTCACGAGTTCGCCATTGGCCTTATCCACTTCAATGTTCCGGTAAAGAATCACGATTAAATCAATGTGAGATGCGACTTAATGGTTATACTAATGAAACTCAAGCCTGTCATCACGATGGAAGGTCATTTGTTTACATTTACTGTGGTCCTTTCGAAAAGGAGCGAGAAGATAAATATTGGGGTGGATTAAGATTCGCAATCCCTGATTTTGAAAAACCAACTGATTCAACTTTCCAGTTACCAACTCGTTCACATCATGAACCTCGTTCCCGCCTTCAGTATGTTGAAATTCTGGGAGCTGGAATACTTCATGGTGAACGAAATGCAGCCATTCAAATTATCCGAAGAGATGTTGGCCTAGAATTTACAACTGTTCGTGGCTCAGCTTACCATGGAATCGAAGCTATTGCTCCAGAGAAACATTTAATCTTCCATAATCTTGATCTCACAAATAATTTAGGTTCAGGATTAAATTATCTACTACTCAATGGAGCCTCAACGGATATGCCTTTCTTACCTTACATTCCCCTGAAAGAATCAACTTTACCTTATAATGTGTTCAGTTTCGTTGACATTTGTGATACCAACAAGAACCTGGTCATTGATCAGCGACTCATTTTATACTTTAAGTATGATTCCCGTGCAGTTGATTGTGTGAAAATCATTCGTTCATCAGTGAAATCAAAAAAAGTGGGCTTCCGCCTTCTTCAGTTCAATTTATTCAATTCAACAACTTACAGTGCTACAACTGATTTCATCCGTGTCTATGATGGAGATATTTTTAATCAAACAACTAAATTAATTGCGGAAATGGGAGTAAGTGAAGAGCATCGACGATTGGCAAGTGAACTTCATTATTACCGATCAACTGAAGATTCACTCTCGATTCGTATTCATGCTTCGGGTGCTTCAGGAATTTATGGATTTGTCGCTGAAATAACAACAAGTCCGATCTCATATTTCATAGGTCGAGGACTTTTCCATAACATAACCAATTCACAAATTTATAACAACAGTTTAGGTGGAATGATTTATAAAAGTGTCGGTGAAACCTCACCATCAGTGTCAATTTTACGAAGTTCATTTGAGTCCAATTGTTTGTCCATTTTTGGTAATTTTACCACTTGCCCTTCAGCCATTTTCTTGCACCTTCAAAATACACCAAACTTTTATTTCCAAAATAATCTAATCAAAAACAACGATGGTGGATTAAGGATTAAAGTTAATGCTCAAAATGCTGCTGCCGCTTTACATGCTTACATAATGAACAATTTGTTCATCGATAATCACAAACGGGAAGCTTTGTACATTCGAGGACCTGATTCGGGTTCATATCAAATTGTTTTGATTCGTCGTAATTACTTTAATCGTAACTACTCACCTCACAAAAATACCATCTACTTGTCTAAGATAATATTTAATTTCACTGAGAACATTATGGTTCGTAATTATGGTCGCCATCAATTGGCCGTTGTGGGCTTTGACATCTCTTATTCCCATCAAACAATTTACCATAATTGGCTTTACAACAACTATGCCAGTCACTGGGAGGAAAAAAGTACCATTTTTGCAACAAATTCAGGTCAAAGATATGATTACAATTATCTAGTTAATCCTGAAAATAATTTTGAAATCGCAACAATGAATCAATCATTACCCGATCTATCAAAGGCTCTTGTTGATGCGAGTTACAATTGGTGGGGTTTTAATGAAACCTCTGCGGTTGCAGGTCGTATTCGTGATGCCAATGATTCTCGTGAACTGTTATCCGTCCGATTTACTCCTTACCTTACAAGTAATACCAGTGTTCTAAGTGGTATATGTTCAGGAGGATGGAAAAAGATTGGTGACACTTGTTTCCTTTATTTCGGTGCTCGTCTCACCCACAGTGAAGCGAAACACTTTTGTGAACTTCAGAATTCAACAATGCCTGTGGTTAAAGCTCATTTCGAGGAATTAACTGAATACCTTTATGATACCGAAGAAACATATAATCGTCGTTTCTACCCCGTTTGGGTTCAATCATTGGGTTTTCTAGAAAAAGGTTGTACCATTTTGATTGATGGTAAAGTTCAATCTTATCGATGTAACGAGCGATTACCTTTTCTTTGTGAACGAGCGCCAACAATTGATATCAATCTATTCTGGTTGGATGGATCTCCTTTCGGGTTAGCAATAATAACGATCTCACTGATCACTGCAATTTTGACCTTCCTCTGTTTACTTTGTTGGACATGTAAATCAAGGGAACGTCATAAAGAGAAATTAGAGCGTCACAATTCAATCCGAGCATCGATTCGATCAAATCGTTCGTTCGCTTCTTCTGGATCATTAAGTGAAATTGCATATAAAAGACAAATCGAAAAGGCCATTATTATGGCCAGAGAAAATCAAGAAGCCGCTGGAACAACGGGAGTCATGAGAACGGGCGCAACCAGTGGTATGGTTGGAGCCATGGGTGCGAGTTCATTCAAGGGTATTTCCAATCCTAACAATACTTTAACCAACGATAGTTATGATTCATTAGCCAAAGATAATTCCCAGTTTGTTGAATCTGACGATTCTGAAGAAGCTGAATACAACCATGTTGGTCAACCATCGCGTCAAGTTTTCAGAGAACTAGAAGATAGATTTTCTAAAGATCCACAATTAGAAAACGCAAATGTCGATTATCTTTTACGACCCACCTTCGACTTTACTATTCAAAATGAAGGTTTCAAAGAGACACCGTCAATGTCTCGAGCTTCAGCTGATCTCTCAAAAGATTATCCTTACACAACCGGTGATTCCTCTCCCGTTAATACAGTATCAACTATGGATACTAAAAGAACTGAAGATGATGAAGATGATGAAGATGATGATAGGAGACATGGATCAGATTCATCATCACCATCACTCTCCTATCCAAGAGATAGATCATCACCTCATCATTATGAAGAGTACAAGGGAGGTAAATCACCCACTCCCTCTACAAGTATAACCAAAGGGATGTACAATCATCATAACAATCATCCTCGTCATCATAATCATCATTCATCATCATCTCAACAACAACAACAACAACCACATCATTCCAATTCTCAACTATTACATCAATCATCACCTTACACATATCATCATCATCATGATTCCACATCATCATTTAATGGGCACGGACGAAGCGGGACAATCCCCTCGCTCTCCGATCGCCCCTACCTAGAGACTTGTCTTGATAACGATAATAATTACGATTATTTTCAATTTTCATCAACAAATCGTTACTCGCCCACTGCCTCTGTAACAACAGCATCAACCAACCGAAGCCGTCCACCGTTGGAGACAGCAATGTAATGATAATTTAATTACCATAGAAATGTTATAATTATTAACCAATTGATTATTACAATTTTAAGATGATCACAATTTATGGTCACATAGACAGAAATTAATACACAATCTCTACTTTAAAACCAATACAATCAAGAAAGTCAACCAACGCCATTTTCAATTATAATTACCTACATACACATACATACACACTCCTACACACTGATCTTGAGGTGTCTTTACAATTAAATGATTTAATTGTTACTCTTGATCTGATCTCTTTCTTGGTCAATTAATTTTGTGCCTTCACCTTAAATCATCAGTCATTTTTTTTTGTCACATCGAGTCATCATCATCACCTTTAATCACCATTCATCAATTTGCATCTCAATTGCTAATTGCTGCCTAATTAATAATTTATTAGGTAACCAATTTTTTCTTGTAAACTAAATTATCTAACTTCATTTACTACAACAATTTGACTTTCACCCATTTGCCTGTGAACAATACAAATACAATGAACGAACAAAACAATTAACCCGAACACTGCAAATAATGATCACAATTTAAAATGATATAATCACTATACGATTAACCAAAACAATCAACGATTTATATCAACCTTAATCCGTCCAATTACTTAATTATAAAGACATTCCCCTCTCAATCAATTGCATCCATAAAATTGTCACAAAGTATATAAATTAACATGAACAAAAACTACCAATTGGATTAATACATGTAATTAATTAATTCTCACAAGACATTCGTCCAACAATACAAATCCGTCCCGTTGGCAAATTGTTTTCTAATTGTAAAACTGTTTCCTTAATTACTATTTGTAAACTCTTTCCTATTTTCATTTGCTCTCTTTAAACTTTTTTTTAATCGAGTTCAATATTAATTATGTAAATTAATTTGTCTTTAAAAACAAAACAAAACATTAAAATGATGAAAAAACAATCTAATCCAAATAACCAACAATGTGTAACAATTAATCGACAATTTATCTTATCCCTTGAAATGATCAACTTGATCACAATTAGAATACAAAAGAAAGACAATATTTATCGAAAGTTAATTGAACTCTAAACCGTAACAATCAAACTAATTTGATCTTGTTTCTCATTTATAACTGAAACAATTGATTTCCATTTTCGGGTCAAGTTGATTGTAAATTAAGACGATGGAAAAGTAAATAAGATGAGCAACAATCAGATTACATTTTTCAATATCAACTTTCAAAGAGCAACAATTAAACAGAACAAGAAAGTTAATCAGAACCGAATAGAAGTTGCAATTCAAATTAGATATTCGGTTGATTGTAAGGAAAGAATTTAAGTTCGCGGCTATGGCCGAGTGGTCAAGGCGATGGACTCGAAATCCATTGGGATTTTCCCGCACAGGTTCGAATCCTGTTGGTCGCGTTTCTTTTCTCAATCGATTGATAAAAAAAATTTTTCCTTCGAAAATTGGAAAAAATTAAAGTTACTTTGTTTTCCATTCAGTTTCATTGTTGATATAATTTTGTTTTCTTTTCTTTCTATTATTTCAATTGATTTGATTCTCGTGTGATTGATAAATTATTTTGAATATCATGTAATTTACATGATACACTTTCGGGAAGCCCCTTAATCATGTTGATGACTTTTGATTGTAATTGCATCATGATTACTATTATTATCTTGTTGAACTTTTCTTGACCAAAAGTAGTTCCGGAACTGAACTGAATCCTCAGGTTGAACATTGGAAACTGTTGATTGTTTGTTGCTGATTAAGAGCCAAACTTTTTGAGTCTTCATTTTTCACTGGCTTGACCAGCGGCTACTTGACCATGATGATTTGTTAATCAGTGCCAGATGGACAGGGTAACAACTATTGATATATTTAAGGTAGCAATTTAAATTGAACATTGAATTGAACTGATATGCTTAAGTTAATGATTAGGTTGATTGTGAGTAAATTGAACTTTAATTCAGTTTGAAAAGATGGGAGGAGAAATCAATTTGTTACTTTTGTTTACTGTTGACTGATTGTTGTTAAGTAAACAATTCAAATGATTAGTAGTTACTTTTAACCTATTGTTAAAGTTTCTGCTATTATTATATCGTTTAACTTGATTGTTGCAAATTGTTTGCATGATAAATACAAATTTTTTGGCTTCCAAGGTCCATGGAGGATAAATGAATGAATCGGTTGATTATAATTGTTTCATCACTTCCTGTTCCTTAGTTAAAACCAACAAAACAAAACCATTAATCTATTAAATCTACTGGTCATCGACATAGTGTTGACCATCATTATCTATTACATTTAATTTCATTTCATCATTGATTTAAATCAAGTCAATCATTAGATTATAATGATGATGATTCAATGAGTTTCATGAAACTCATTTCATTGGGAATTTACATCATCGCCTGAGGACATTTTCAACATCCTTTCTTGCTTTTGTTAATTGTAACTCAAAAGTTAAGTTTATTAATAAAAAAATCTTATTCATCATCATTAAGTGTTGATCATTTCTCTTAACACAAAAATTTAACCACAACAATTCAAATGTTGACCCAATTTTTTTTCATCTTCATCCTTTTTTTACATCAATTCATTGAAATATCTTTACAATATCATGTTGATTGTTATTCTTGGTGTTTTCATGACCTTCATTTACCTGATAATTTGGTTGATTGGTCAACAAAAGCAAACATTATATTCATGAAAAGTATGAATTACAAAAGCACCTTAATAACATGATGAACTTAATTACCTTGGACCTTTGTCCATCTCTATGTCCTTTCATTACAAACCGGAAGATGACGATGACCACCAGAGTATTTAAGTAAACATAATCACTTGAATTGAGTCAAAATCTTCATTCAAATTTCAATCATCTGATTGACCTTTAATTTTTTTTCTCAATGTTATTTATAATCATCAACAACACAAAGGAAAACCATTTAGTTAAATATGACAATTTAATCTTGTTCATGTTATAAAAGGGGTTAACCTAAATTGTTATAATCATTAACTAATTGTTTACTTTACCCTAAAGGATATCAAGGTGTGTGTGTTAATTTAAATCAGCTTCAAGCAATTAGTTAATCTTCCGATTACTTGATTTTCAATTTGTGGTCTTTGTTTTGTTTCTCAATCAATATTAATTAAATTGTTACCTTTTCTCTAATTACTTTTTTCATATCACTTTCTATTCCGATGATTTAGTAATTAATTGTTTTCTTGTGAGAATTTTATTTTCTCAATCAACAATAAATTAATTGTAATCAATATTTTCTTGTTTCTTGATGATTTAACACTCAACAGTATTGATTTGTTATTATTTTACCTTAATTAGGATTCACTATGGTTTCCTAATCATATCAAATCTTAATTGTTTACCTGATTTTAATCATGAAGGAAAAGATTTATTTTAGCTAATCATCTATTCAACAATTTGATTTAATCATTGATTAACTTTTGAATTTTAAAAATCCTTGACAACAGCAACAGGTTAATATCCCATTTCCTTTTCCAATAATATACTTAGTTAATTATTGGATTTAAATTGTAATGGGAAATTTGTTGTTGTCGTTAAATTAAAGTTTCTAAATTAATTTGAGTGTTGTGAATTGTTAACACAAACTTGATTACATTTAAGATGCAATTGTAATCAGGTATTATTATTATTTATCACTCTAAATTGTTTGCTGATTGTCAAATGATGAGACACAATTACAAGGACATCTACCCAACATTGAGTCAAAACTGGTTTGATCATAATTAAGTTAATTGTCTCATCCTCTTTGTTTACCTTTGGGTCCTACTATTGAAAGTAAACATTTAATTAGGTTAACTAATAGTTAGTTAATTATATTCACTTTCTAGTTTATCATTAAAACTAATGGATCCAGTGTTGAGTGTCAGTGTTGAGGGCAAGTTGTTGTTAATTGTTGATAGTGAATCGTTATCAGTCAACCAAATCAATTCTTGATTACAATGTAATTCATTTAATTTACTTGAACATGAAAAAATCTACGAAATTGGCAACGAAGTTTAAAAAATAATTTAAATCTAATTCTAAATTCTAGATAATTGTTATTATAACCATCCATAGGATTGTGCGTTTGTCGTCATAAAAACTTTTGAATATTCAACAGCTACGAAAAGAGCTCCGGTTCCAGGAAAAGTTCTAAGTAAAGTTGGACCTAATCCTTTATATAAAGCTCGAAATCCATCACAAAGGTAAATCCTTTTGATAACTTTGAACATTGATTCATTGGTTGGTTCGATTTGCATTCGAGATTTGGCCACATCAAAGGGAAATATCGAAGTCCATAGACACATTCCACCAATTCCACCAGCGACAATAGTTGTACCAAGACCTAAACAAAGAAATGTTAAATTACATGGTGGATACAATTAACTAAATTACCTAAATTACATACCTGCTTTTTCTGGTTGACCATCGGTAAGAAAAAATCTTGATGCTTCATAACCTCCGAAGAAAAAAAAGTAACCTGGCATTTCTCGAGCTAAAGTGGGAGTGAATCCTCTGAACAGTCCAAGTAAACCCTCGTCTCTTATTATTTGACCAGTTATTCCAATAGCAGAGCTAAGAGATGAAGAAATCAATCACAATTTAATAATTGACAACATCCCTGAGGAAAATTCTTACACTTTTCCTTTATGACCAGTTTCGTGTAATGATTGAAGGCGACATTTGACTAGTTCGGTGGGACAAAGGGTAAAAGAGGAAAAAAACGCCGCGAAAAAACCAGCGACAGCGTTTTCCAGTGGAGTGGGAGAGCCTAAATTTCCAGTGATCGATGTGACACCTTTCTGGCAAAATCCATGGGCAGCAAATAGAACTGAATTCTCGGCGATATTTGCAGCTAAAGCGGGAAGTGTACCAGCATAAAGACCGCGAAAAAAACCTTCATTGGCTAAAGTTTTCTTGAAACATTGAAAACTATCTGAATAAAGGTGAGGAAAAGTTTGCAATTTGACCTTTAAAGTGTCCATTGGTTGACCAACGAAAACATTAGCAGAACCACCGAGAGAACCGGCGATCAGTCCAATGGTCCCTTCGATGAAGTAACGATAACCATTGTTGACACAATCATTTGGAATCTGCGTTTCGTTTGTTGAACTGTCCATCATTTCAAGTTGATAAAAATCGATCCTAAAAAATGAATCGATAAATAAAATAAACTTTACAAAAAAATGAATAAAATTAAATTCCAAATAATAGAGAAAATAATTCATTCGAAACTTTAATCTTCTAAGACAATCAAAGTGTTCATCGTTAATTGTTAGAATCTCTAATCAGATGTTTCATTGATAAATAGTCGAGATAAGTTGTGGTTTAAATGTTTAATTAATCACTAAAAAAGTAAACAAATCAAGTGCATTGATTAAAATACTACAAAAATTAATCATTCGTAGATTTTAATTGAAGAGGATTATAATCAATAGAATCAAGGAAACTACTCGAAGACTTTGAATGTTGTGTTTCCGATTTATAATCAGGTATTGATAGAAGAGCAAAAATCAACTCTTTTTGTCCAATTGACAGACAATTAGGAAACGAAAAGAGTAAAATTAAAAATCAACGAAAAGTTAATTGAACCTTAACAAAATTTAGAACAATTAAACTAATTTGATCTTATTGATTTGATTTTTTTTTCTCTTTACTTTTTCTTAAAACAATTGATTTTCTCAATTTTTCCTTTTTAGGTCAAGTTGATTTGTAAGAGAAGAACTTGAGTAAATATAACAAAAAAGAAGGAATCAAATTAGCACCAATCAAGAATATTTGATGATTAAAGAAAAGTGGGAGAGATGATAAACTAACAAAGTCTAATCAGTTTGCTTTTCTATTTTTGGTTTGTTTTTTTTAATGGGCCGGATCCTGACGGTACTGCAATGCCAGGCCAACCCTCGGTGAGGTCTCAGCAAGCCAAGACTTTCACCCTGTTGCAAAAATATGTTCAATCGCGTACCGGTGGAGTGCACCGGGTACCAGCGATCAAGCTGATAAGAACAGATACTACACTTTGATCTTAGCCTAGGAGGCCGAGAAGCGATAACTTAATTTGAGAATCAACTTACTATTTAAACTAAAATTGGTCCAAGGAAAAAACAGTTTATCCAAAAAGAGAAACAATTTTGTCACCAGCTAAAACCATGGAAATTGATTAATTTACATTAACTACTTGCACGTGTTTCTATTTAATTAATTTTCGTTCAAAAATTATTAAGAAAATCACATTAATTAATAAACAATAGAAATTGATTTAATCATCAATCGGTTTAACTCTAATAAGAATAGACTAGTGACATCTGGAAAAGAATAAAAAAATATTCTAAAGAAAAGTTTGTTTCTCTTCTCACTAGATGGAAACACTTTATGAGGAAGAGAAAAGAACAAGAAAAAATTGAGTTTCTCTTTGAAAAGAAAGTAAAAAGAAAGAGAATTTAGTAACTCCATCTATTGATTATATTGGAAAAATTATTATCCTCTTGTATCGAATAGAATAAAGAACAAGTATCGATATGATACTTATCGAAATTAATCTTCTTTCTTTTTACTCTCTTTTTCCATTTATTCTGATATTTCATCCAATCAAAAGTATCGAAAAATATTCTATCCAAATATCGAGATTCTTTTTTTTTTCTTCTCTTTACCAGTTTGTCCTTTTTGTTGTCTCTCCTTTTTCCTTATTCCAATGGATATTGAAAATATTTTTTTTCTAAATTCTAATTGTTTTCTTTTAATTCTTATTGTTATCTAATATATTATCTATCTTATTACCTCAAAATATTTCTCTATCAATATGTTCCCCTCTAAATACAGTTATCAACATCACTGGATGATTTAAATAATACAAACTAAAAATTAAACTGAAATCTAAACATCTAACAAGGCTGCACTTTTTTTTCCATTTTTTCTTCTACAAGTCAACCTTTCTCTCTCTCTCTCTCTTTCTTTCTTTCTTCCTATCTCTTTCTCTTTCCCTTTTTACCTTTCTCTTTTTCCCTTTATTTTCCTCTTTTTTTTCTTTCTTTCTTAATTTTCACATTATATTACAGAGAAAGAAAAAAAAATAATATTATATGTATACATTCACAAACATATATATATGAATATACAGTTGAAACAATTTTGTCTCTCTAAATTATTTTTCTTTTTTGGAGACGTAAAAAAAATTGACTGTATATAGAGACAGAGAAAAAGACTTGACAAGACAATTGAATAATGGCTCCCGTTGACCCAACGGATTTGCTTAAGGCTTTCAGGCCTTTACTCACCGTTTTAGGTGGAATCAAGTCTCTGTCAGATGTGCCTCGTTTATCCCAGTTGATGAAAAGATACTCGAAAAAATTGGTCAGCCGATGCGTTTACTGTAATATACTTCTTGCGACAACACCGGATATTTTACTATGGTAAGTGCAATGTTTTCATCTTTTTCCCATTTTCCTCCTTTTTCTCTCTCTCTCTTTCTTTCTTGTTCTCTTTCTCTTGTGTCAACTCTCTGTGTGTATCACGTTCTCTTCCTATGTTACTCTGTCCCTCTTTTTTTCTTGTTCTTTTCAACTGTTCTGCTGAACTTATATTTTCTAATTTCTCTCGTTTTTTTTTGTTCTATTTACTTTTCAAGCTTTTTGGAACGTGATGGTTGGGACTTGATCAATGCCTGGTTAAAAGAGTCTATCGATGTGGACAATTATCGATTTATCTGTGAATTGTTGGACCTTCTTGTTAAGTGTCCTATGAATATTGATAGGCTCAAACAGAATGATACACCAAAGCTGGTTAAAAGTTTATCTAAACACTCTGACAAAGAGGTTTCCAATAAGGCTAAATTGGTGGTCAACAAGTGGACAGAGTTAATTAAACCAAATGAAAATGTTAACAATGGAAATCTGGCCAAAAAGAAAAGGAAAAAAGAAAAGTCACAAGATGATGATGATGGTGATACTGGTAAAATCAATAAGGTTAAAGGTACAGGAGGTGATGCTAATAACTCTGGTGATGTAATTACAGCCAAAAATTTAACTAAAACAGCTGAAGATGTGGCAACTAATGAAAGTGTGAGCAATGTTAATCGCCCAAGAACCACTGCTAAGATTAAATATGGTAAATCTCGTAGTGTTGGTATTTTAGAGGAACTCAATGCAAGCTCTGGAAAGTCTAAAGGTCTGAACAAGAAAGGAGATGATAATCCCGATAAATCTGGTCCTGGTAATAAAAGTAATAATTTAAACAATAACAATTCAACGCCAGTTTCCAATATTGGTCAACCCGTTCAGTCCAAAACTGCAAGTAAACAACCATCAAAACCTACTCTAAAAGAAGCAGTAGGATTTATTGAAGATATAGTGAGTCTCTCAACTACTGGTCAAGGAAGAAAAAGAAGAAAATCTGACTCGAAATCAAAATCTTCATCAACCCCAGGTAGTAATACTGCCAAAGACTCTGGTACTGGTGATTCCAATCAGGCTGATGAACCTGGAACAGGCCAAGAACCAATGGACCTCAATGACGATACATCAAATGAGGTAGAAGAGGAAAGGATTACATCAGCATCAGGAGATGATTCAAATAGTAATACTAACTTTAGCAATACAAATACTAACAATAATATTGATGATGATAATGATAAATTACCAATTGTTCCGGAACTTGATAATTTGGTTATACCTGAAATTGAGCCAAGCAAATTATCTGGTGTGATAAAATCAATTCTTAGTTATGGTAGACAATCTGGTAAATCTAAAAAATCAGTTCGATGGAGAGGTGATGATAGACTTAGAGAGATTAAATTCTTTGAGCTTGATGAAACTGAAAGAACCAACGTATCTAAATCAAATTTCGGTGATTTCCGTGCTAATGATATAAGGAATGAGAGACAAATGTTACAACAACTCAGAAGTAATCGTGGTAATCCGGGTACACCGGCTGCTACAATGACACCATCAACAGACAAGTGCATTACTTATCTTCCTTGGAAATTAATTTTAATCGATCTTCCTCCTGGATTACCTTTAATTGAATCAGGAAGTCAATCAGAAGAGAAACGTATACAAGCCGCAATGGCGAACAATGTATTACTCAATGCGGATTTCTTCCCAATTAAAGAAAATCCCAATGAATATTATCCTAAAGAACCTGATGCAATGGAGCCTGGTGGTGAAAGAAATGATGGTCCAACTGTGATTCCCTTGGAAGATGAAAACTTTACCATTACCGATTACTCTTCATTACCTCCACCTCAACCTCGAACTGGTGAAAATTATCCAGCAAATCGTGGATTACCCATCGGCTCTCAAGCCGGTGTTCCTGGATCTTTCCCTCGCCCAGGAATGAATACCAGAGCTCCAGGTGTGCCAGTGGGCGGTAGAACACCTTTCCCTTCGGCTGGATTTGTTCCCCCAGTCGCTGGATATCCACCTTTCGCCGGACCCGGTGGACCTGGGCCTGGACCTTACCTTCCTCCTGGAGCTGGTTCTCGAATGATTCCACCTCGACCTATGCCAGGGGGACCAGCAGGACCACCAATGCCCGGTTTTCAAGGGGGACCAGGAGGATGGCCACCAAGACCTCGACCTCCACCAGTATGTCGTTATTTCCTAAAATCAGGAAGTTGCCGATTCATGGCTCGATGTAATTATCTTCATCAATACCCAAATACAAATAATCTCCATGGACCAGGATCATCTTCATCATCAAATCAATCTCACATGGAGTAATATAAGAAACAAAAGAAAATGGTTCACCTTTTTTCGTTTACTTTTCTCGTCATCTCTTACCATCTACATATTTCATTCACCTTTTGCATAACATTGTAGCTTTGCCATCGCCATTTTTTCATCGTAAAAAATTCATTCGACATTCATCATCATGTTCTTTCTTGAACACTCCCCCCTTGCCCTTCCTCTCTCCTTCTCTCTCTTCCAACAACTTTTGTAATTAATAATTTTGGCAAGTTGAGCTCGAGAATTTTTCTAATGCAAAATTTTGTCACCTCTTTATATGTTGTACCAAGAGCAATAATGTTCATATTGACACTTCTATCATCTTTCTTAATCTTAAAACAAAATGATTACCTCTCCTTAAGCTCCAGTCAAATCCTTAACTGTCTTGTTGTTACTTGAAAACGTTACCTGTTGATTTACAAGTACACTTTTTTTCGTTCTTCGCATCCTTCCCACCAAACCCTCGCTATAAATTTATAACCATTTCATTGTTTTTTCATCATGTCTCTGTGAATAGACTTCACCTTCTCTCTCTCTCTCTCCTTATTTTCCATACAAACGAAAAATTCCTCATCAACAATTAAGATGTAAATATACACCCAACTTATAGCTCCATCTTTAACTATAAACAACGATCGGAGAATTAATGTTTAATAACGAGCAAAGAAGAAAAAAAAAAGAAAAGAAAACCAAATTAACAGTTCAAATGAAAGAAAAAAAAACAATTGAAATGAACTAAACTTGGAAAGTATTGTTAATACTAATTCATTTCATGATTCAAATCAAATCAAATCAGTTACCCAAATTTCAAAATTAATTGTCAATCATAGTTCTTCATTAACAATTAATAATTCTCAGATAACTAAGCTAAACCAATAGACTAATGAACAAATATTTAACTAAATCAGATTTAATTAGTGATTCCATTAATTCAAAGCCTTCACAAAGGATTAATGATGATAAACTTTCAAGTATCTTAATTGTGTTATAAAAATGGTTTTCTGGTGATAATTTGAATTCTCATTTGAATCATGATTTGAAGTCTAAAATAATTTTGATCTAATAAAAAGAAAATGTTTCAACTTAACTGTTCTAGACAATTTAATTTCTCATTGGTCAGAACAATTTAATTAGTCAGAGTGAAGAAAAAGCTTCTCTGTGTAAATTAAATTTCTAAAATTAAGCTTTTTTTTTAATTCACAAAAGGAACTAGCTGACCAATCGATCGGTCAACTATCCGTTCATATCTTTTACAATTAAGCCTTTCGATTAGGTGATTATAAAAAAAATTATTGTTACAATCAATTAATTACAATTTGTTTTGACTAAACAATCCAACGAGATACAATAGGATTGATTAGTTTGGTTTCAATTTTTGCCATTTTCCATAAAAAGATGTAATAATTTGTTTGATTTGATTTGAATAAATGATTGACAATCAGTGAATATAATTAATTGGATCAAGATTATCGGATATTCACTAATATATCACTTGGAACATCCTCCTTCTTGATTGATTGAAATTCAAGAGCAATTTTAACCAACTCCCTTAGAGTTTCATTCTCAATGGTTAATTGTGAGATGATTTTATCACGAGCCATTTGATTGTTTTCATCATTCTCAATGGAATCCATCATTAATTGTGCCATCTCCTTAATTTGTGACGATAAATTTAACACCGTAGACGAATCACAACTTGATTTAACTGTGGGTATCTTTTGATTACTATGGTAATTTAAAAATTTACACACTTGCTGTCGATATTTACTCATAATCAATTCCAAAGCAAATTGATGATCTTCAAGAGCTACTTTTAATTGAGCATTTTCATTCCTTAGACGATTTAATTGTTGACTTTCGGTAACAATAGATGAAACTTGAGTTGTATCATCATTATTGTCTTGCTCTAATTTCTCGATAATATCTTGGTACTATAAATCAAGAGAATAGACAAAAACAATCAGTGTTAATATCATCAATTAATCATCATCATCAAAATTAATCGATCCAATTGATTACCTCTAACATTGTGACCGCCGAGTTGTTGATAAAATTGGCTTTACATAGCAACTCATTGGCTGTTTCTTCATCAACAATTAACCGTTCATAAAGCTCCTTAGCATCTTGGACAATCTTGTCAATTTCCGAGGAATCATTACCATTTGATGACGAATCTAATATAGAAACAAAAAAGATTAAACAATTAGAGTGAATACAATTAAAGAGAAAAATGATAATTTAGATTTACCATTCATATTGTTACTCCTCTTGATCCAAAGAATCTGTTTTGATATTTTCTATACCACAGGTTAATTGGAGAAGTAATTAGACACTTGAGATGTACAAGTAGCTGACAATCTAAATGGACAATAGGTCAATTGGTCACTTTGATAAGGTTACTCATAAGATAAGAAAAAGAGAAGAAGAAAAAAAATCCAAGATGGAGAACCAGTTTGAAGAGAGATCACCAAAAAAAAGGTTAATCCAAGAATTGTATCCGTGGCAATTTCCTTTCAATTCATGATTAGTAAATTGTTTCAATTTGGAATCAATTGAAACTCACAATGATTAACATCACATTAATTATAAATCATTAGAAAGAACAACTAAACAATTGAAATTGTAAAGAAAAGAAAACAAAGTGTCAAGGAAAAAAAAGTAAATGGAGAAAATAAATTCTGTTCCTGTTTGTTTACATCACCATGGAAACGAAAACCAGATTTTCTTTTTTGATGAGATTTGTTTTTCTTTTGCTCATTTTTAATTCGGTTTAATTTTGGTTTTTCTTTTCACTTAATTGTCACAATTTATTGATTTCTTACCTTTTACTAGTCGTTCAACAATCTGGTGAAACATTTAAACACTGACATCTAATGTAAGTCATTTGATTTATGTTTTTTTCATTTTCATCTCCCATGTGATTGTGTTTATTTCTTGGTTTTATTTATCTTTTCTCTCTCTCTCTTTTATTGATTGTTATTTGGTTACAGGATGAATATTGAAGATGAGATTAAGGATAGACTGGACACCAGAATATTCTGTAAATTAACCTCTGGTTTGGGTGGTTGTGTCAACCTTGGTGCTGTTTATGAGATTGATGATGGAAATAAAATCTATATTAAAAGTAACACCGCTTCGGATTCTGGTTTCATGTTTCAGGGAGAGTTTTTCTCATTGGAATCAATTGCGGCCACTCAAGCTATTCGAGTACCTAAACCAAAATTCACCATGGATTTTACTCACAAGGAACAAGGTGCAGTTCTTGTAATGGAGTATATTGAGGATTTGAAAGGATTGAACAAGTATCAGGCTCAATGTGGAGATAAATTGGCAAAGCTTCATTTAGATAATTTTAATCTCGAATTGGAGGAGAAAAGGTTAGAAAATTGGATCGGGAAAGAGGCAGCAAGACCTTATATCAATCAATTTGGCTTTGATATGGCTACGTGTTGTGGTAAAATACCTTTGGACAATGAATGGTCTGATGATTGGCTTTTATTTTTTGCTCGTAATCGTTTAGATACTCAAATCCGAATGATTCAATCAGATCATGGCCACAGGGAGATTGGTGAAATCTGGTCTAAACTTCAACTAATTATACCCAAATTTTTTAAACCCTTGAAAGAAAAGGATATTACAATTAAACCCTCTCTTTTACATGGAGACCTTTGGGGTGGTAATGCCGGTGAAACTGAAGATGAGCCGATCATCTTTGATCCGGCTTCTTTTTATGGTCATCACGAGTTTGATTTGTCAATTTCCTGTATGTTTGGTGGTTTTCGTCAACAATTTTACTCCTCATACTTTAATTTACTCAAAAAAGGCCCAGGATTTGATGAGAGACAAGAATTGTATCAATTGTTTCACTATCTTAACCATTGGAACCATTTTGGTGGTGAATATGTTGATCAAAGTTTACAATTAATGAGAAAATTAGCCAAATACTAAACAAAACAAAACTTAACCTTAACATCTCAACAACAATAACAAACAAAACGAGCCCACAAGTCTTTCAATTGGCAACAAACAAACGGGTAAGTTAATTATCAATATCCAAATGATGCAAATATTGACCAACAATTAAATGTTGTCAATGAAAAGCCAAAGCGATGGACCAAAAACCCAATATAAAAGCAAAGATGACGATAAAAGAAGATGAAAACGAATGGAAGATTTGAAGAATCCTCAAGATGGCGTTGGTAGTCAGAAGATGATGATGAGAGGAGGAAGAGAAACTCATCAAACAGACTCACTGATGATGATAAGGTGACTGACAACTCGAATGCAATTTCCAGCTCAATCGCAAGAAGAGCTAGAATGGGAAAGAAAGAGAAGAAAAAAACCAAGAAAGGAAATCTAAGTGTTTACATCAGTAACAATTACAATTTTTGCTCACCATCATCACCATCATCATCATCTTCATCTCCATCCTCATCACCTTCACCTTCATCATAAACATCAACATCAACAACGTCAACATTTACCTTAATCACAAAGATTGTTATATTATCAACTCCAACTTAAACTCCAACAGCAACATCAAAATATCAAGCAACAACAACAATAATAACAACAGTTAACAATTATTACAACAACAACAACAACACTTTGATATTTAATTGTAACGACAACAAATTGTCAACCTTAACAACATTGTTACTTGTTCACCAAATTTTTGCTTTCAATTTATATGAATATTAATTTTACCTAAAGAATCAAAATTAACAAAAAAAAAGTTCTAATTTATTGATTAACAGTTTTGTTGTTTTTGATTACAACAATTAATTATATTGTTATTAATTACCAGGATGCCAAGAAAGAAACAGGATCGACCTAAACGATCAGAAAGTAAGTTTAATTTTATTTTACCTTCTTAATTGTTACAATTAAACAAGTTTACTTTTCCATTTAATTTAAAGTGAAAATAACGAAACTGATTTAACAATAATAATGATAATAATTAAGAAAAAAGGTAAATGTGATTAAAAATGATTTATTTTGATGATGTTATCAATTTTCATGGTCGAATCAAATTTTCTAGGTTATCACAATCAACTAATCATTTACCATCAACTAACCTTACCTTAAATTGTTTCTTTAATTACTTGACAACAATTAACCGTATTAGGTAAACAATTATCTCATTCTTAACTGATTAAAATGTTAATTTAATGACGATAACTTGATTTACTTAACAACAACAATCAAATGAATTAATCAGATTTTCAATTTGATTTTCTCACAGTTAATCAACTCTCAATATTTAGTTTTAGGACCAATTAACTAAATCAATTGTGTATCAAAACAAAGTAACGGATTAACACAATTACAAGACTAATATTATAATCATTTAGTTGATTACTTTTGAATTAACTTACAATCAAGTTAAAAAAACAAACTAAGCAAAGAAAGTCAACTTGCCCTGAGGCGTTGATTGTTACCTTTTTGTTGTTCATCTTCCTCTGACTATTTATATCATCCAAAGATAATCTTAATCATGATGATCAATAGATTGGGATGAAACTTTCACGAAGTGTATGATTAGTGTGATATTTACATTTAATTGGTAACAATTAACTCGGTCAACTTATTTTGTTTTATTTTGTTTTTTTTGGAGGGAAATCTAAAAACATTTCTACCAAACAAATTAACTGCAACAATCAACTTTTTGTCTTAATAATTAATTACCAACATTGACAGTTAACCTAATGGATTATGATTAGTTGCAATTGAAGATTCGTTAAGTTGAATGCAACAATTTAAACAGTGATTGTCAACAACAGGAGGATAGTTTTCAACAAATGATGATAGTGATTAAAGGTAACAATTTAACCACAATTTAAATTGTTATTGGTGAAAAATCAACAGAAACTTGTGATAAATATCTTGATCCAGTTCAATCAACACCAATATAACAACAACAACAAACAGTTACATACATTTTGAATTTATCATCATCCGAATAATTGAATTAGAAATTGAAAGATGAGGATGAAGATGAAGATGAAGATAACCATGATGATGATGATGATGAAAACATACAAACCAGAAAAAAATCTAGTATTGAAATTATTCTGGTAGGACAAGTTTCAATACACTGAATCCACTGAACATTTGATTCAATGAATTCAATTTAAAGGTAATATGAAAACTCATTGATATTTACTTGACATCTCATCGGAAATATGATGAGCAAGGTATTGATGAAGATTATCATAACTCTTAGAATAAGAATCGACCAAACAATCAAATGAGAGAGAGAAAAAAAAATTAAATTCTTGATGAATTAACATTTAAATCCAATTAAACGTGACAACAACAAACAAAATTACTAATAAATTTACCAAAAGCGATAATTTAAATCATCTTATAATTTGAATTACATTCAAATAATTACTGATAATTATCAATAGTAATTAATCATTGCTCAAACAATTTACTAATCACTTTTTTTCCTCACTATTAATAAAAGTTGATCAGAAATAATCTTAATATCTGACCGTTGTTATATTGGCAACATAATAAAAAATGATTTATATGCATTGAAATGCATTATAAAAAAATATAATCAAAGATGAAGATGAGGATGATGAGGATGATGAAATAAATTACCTTTGAAAAGCCCTGTAGATATAAGGAATGAGACAGTTGAGGTTGAGTCCATTGCAAAGTCCAAGCTCTTTACCCACGCTTACCTTGAGACGAAGACGCTGGTTACTATTATCATCTTTGTCAGAGTTTTGGAAGATGAAAAAATGATGAAGATGCTGAAGGTAAAGTTACAAGAATCGCATTGGCGCGATTACTATTATCATTATCAGAAGAAGATTATTATTACCTTTATCCAGGTAACTTCTTTCTCTCTCTCTCTCACTCTTACTCACTTACTCACTTTTCCCCATCAACATCATTTATCATGTTGATTAATTTTTGTTTTAAAAAATTTTCTTTTACATGATGATGATGTTATTGTTGATGATGACTGAAAGAGAGAGTATGTTTTTCTTGTTGTTGTTTATTACAGGTATGGCCTTAATTATAGAGGATCTGTTTACCTGAGATCAACTCTCATTTACCTGACAATAATTGTAAGAGAAACAACAACAACCCAATTATCAGTATAACTTTTTTTTCATCAATCAGAAACATAATATATACAAACCCTTCTCCATCCTCATCCTCATCCTCATCATCATCTTTGTCAGTCTATCCTCATCTTCTTGTGATTCTTCATCATCAGTGTGTTAAAAACCAGTGAATTGATTCTGTGTAAAATGCTATTAATTTAACATCTCTCTCTCTCTCTCTCTCTCTCTCTCTCTCTCTCTCTCTCTCTCTAACAATTTACTAATCACTACAAAATTTTCTAAAACAATCAATCATTTACCTGTTTCCCTTTTTCTCATCCTCATCATCTTCCATTTCCAGTTTTCATCCTTTGTTTTTTTCTTTTCTCTCTCTCTCATTCTTACCTTTTGATCCATGTTAATGTTGATTGTTGTTGTTATTTGTTGTTCAATTGCTGTAACCTTGTTTTCTTTGATTATGTTGATTTTTGATTCACTTGATAATCAATAATATGATTGAGATTGATTTTAATTATTCAATCTTCATCTTATTGGCTAATCTGATTCATTGATTACTTTCATATAATTATTAGATCAAGATTGATTTACATGAAAGTTGATCGCAATTTATAACCTGCATTTTAATATTATTATGTTTAAGGAAATTGTGAGTTCATTGATTGTTGTTAATGATTAGCATTTAATTTAGTTTCTCTCTCTCTCTCACTCTCTTTCTACTTTTTTTTTATTACCAATTTACTACCTGATCTCAATAGTTTATTAATCATAATTAATACATTATAACTATACAACTGCGTGTGTGGTTATACCAAATCAATTCAATTTGTTTGTGCTACAATCAACTGATTAATTAAATAGATTCAATCAAGTTTTTCTTTCCTTTAATAACTTGATAATCATCATAAAGATGATTAAATGGCTTAATAACTTTTTGCATCTTTGATTATTAATGATTATCATTTAATCACATCACACACACACACACACAACGATCTTGAATGTTGTCAAATCCCAAATATGGTTTCAATCATAATCAAAAATCAAAAAATCATCTCCATTGGTTAATCATTATGATTAAGTCTCAGGTATTAATAGTTTGATGATGATGATGATTGAACGGAAATCATTATTTGATCATGTTGAAAAACCCACATGACATAAAATAATCAAGCCTTAAGGCTAACGACAGCAGTTAATTAATTAGCAATCATTAATTAGCAAATGCAAACAATTAATTTCCCTGAGAGTCTTTATAATTGAGATTAACATTGAAAATTATATGTTAACAAACGGGTTAACTTTACAATCTCATTTGATAATAATAATTGATTTTGTCATGATGATGATTAACATCATCCTGTTGTTGATAATGTTTGTCAGGGATTTTCATTGATTGTTATTGTATTAATAGAGAGTAACAATAATAAATAATCATCATCAGAAGTAATAATGTTAATCATTATCAAGGAAAAGGTATAATAGTTAACCTGAAAAGAATCAAAGTTAAAAGAGAAGACAGAAAAAGCGATTGATTGATATTAGATGAAAAAGGAGACTCTCTCTCTCTCTCTCTCTGTCTTTCTTTTTCTCTTTCTTTTCATCCTTCTGATATTTCTTTCCATCATCCTCATCCTCATCATCTTGCTACAATTTCTGTTATATATATTATGGCTTTTTAGCTTATTGCCTTGAATATTAGTTAAATCCTCTTCCATTCAAAGTCACCTTATAGCCTAATCATGATTTATGACGATCTGTCCATTCACCATTTACCTAACGTTGGGGAAGAAGATGACGAGAAAGAGAAAAAGAAAGAGAAGATGAGAAATGACCATTTTCTCTTTTGTTTGACTTTCTTTTTTCCCTCTCTCACTCGTTCTCTCCCTCTCTTTTTCTCTCTCTCTCTCTTTCTCTCTGTCTCTCTCTATTTTTTCATTTCCACATTGGACATGGATGGTTACATAGAGAGTGAGAGAGGTAAAAGCTATTGGGGGTTGAGGTGGTTAAGATGATGATAATCAGTAAGAAGAAGATGATGAAAAGAAGGGTAACAGTGTGAGAGGTGTGGGGTGGAAAGGAGGAAGAGGAATGATGATAATGATGATGATTATGGGTGTTTCTGCAACCTTGCAAGTGACAAATGCCTTGAAATAATACTGATTCTCATTGGCATTCATCTGAATGGTAAACTCAAATAGACTGATAATATTTAGATATTAACTATTGTTTGTCAATTGTTACAAGCGAGATGTTAATGCGAGTGTATATTTAGCATTGAGATTGGGGAAGGTGGGCAAATATTTCAGTTTCACTCATCATCATCATCATCTTTATCATCTTTTTCATCTCTTAACCTTGCTTTTAATAGGAACTCTCAATGAAGAAAAGAAGAGATGAAGATAAAGATGAGAGGGAGAGAGATGTGACTCGGCGAGAGTTAAATGATCCGAAACCAATGATTGATTGATTATTTTTGACATTCCCAGGACATTGAAGGAGATTCAAGTTTGTTACACTAAGAGCCAGAAGCCACACAACAACATCAACATCAACATCAACACCCAACACCTGAATATCCAGTCAACAACAACCAACAATCAACAAGCGATTACTAATATCTACATGAGAATTGAAATAATGATGAATAGAAGAAAGAACAAAAAATTTTCTCTCTCTCTCTCTCTCTCTACTCACCTTTGAATACCTTTATTTTATTATTTTCTTGATGCAAATAATTTGCTAATCATAATCATTACCAGATCATCATCTTCATCCTCATCATTAACTTCATCATCATCATCATCTCTCTCTCTCTCTCTCTCTCTCTGTGTTTGTAAATCAATGACAACCCATTGCAATATTATTATGATTTCATGTTTATTCATAGGTAATCATAATCAACAGTAAATCATGTTACCTTTCATTTAACTATTATGATTACGATTAAATTTAATTTCTTTGCATGATTAAAATTGCATTTCAATCAATCCGTGACTTTTATAATCATTTTTTTTCAACATTTCTTGTTAACTTTACCTTTAATTTTTGTTTTGTTTTAAAAGATTAATTAATCTTTAATTTGATTTATTGTTTATTTGTTTGTTGTTGCAGTTAAAAGTCATGATTACAATCAGCTAAATAACAACAACAATCAAAAAATAATGATGATACTCACACACTGGTATTAAAATATACATACATACAAATCTAAGTTGGGAAACAATTAAAATCAATAAATTAATTGCAGGAAAAGTTTTGTTTTGATAAATTTTGTAAGAAAACAAAAATTTGCTTAATTTTTTATTAATTATAATGACTGTTAATTTAATTGTTCACTAATCAAAAAAGGTATAATTGCCTTTGCATTTCCTGGTGGTCTTAAATTTGGTTAAAATAATTACAATTAATTGTAATAGTTCGGGTGTAAATCAACTTATATAAAAAGTGAACAATTAACATTTTAAATTGTTGTAAACGTGAAGACAATCAAAAAGTGTCAATTTGATAATATTAGATTGTGTTACCTGATTATCATCTGATCAATCATAATCTTATTTCAAACTGATTTAATTTGCAAACAAACAATCAAAAAGTTAACAGTTTGATGATTATGATGATACACTGATTAAGTTAATCATGTTGTTTATTTTTCTCAATCAAGGTGTAAAAATGTGTGAGTGTTTGTTGATTATTGTTGTCAGATTTTTGAAACATCAACAAAAGGTGAAGAGAAACAAAAATGTATACAAAATGATGTTGATTGCAAACATCAAATCAAATCAAATCAAATCAAATTTCATCAGCAACGATGATGATGATGATGATGATGAACACACAGAAGATGATAGAGAAAAGGTGAGATGATGATGGAAATATGTTGACAGTGATTTTGGCAACAACGATGATGATTGGATATCAATTTTTCTGACCTTTCATATTTACTAATAACTACTAATAACCATTTAATTTAAATGAGATGATGAGGAAGATAAAAAAATAGGAAGATCAAATATGGAAGAAAAATTAAAGTGAGAGAGAGAGAGAGAGAGAGAGAGGAGAAGAGGTAATGACGATGAAGATAATGTAACCAAGAATCAGCAGGAATAATGACAAAACTGTAAACAAGAAGTAAAAGTAACGTTGTATCTGAAGGTTTTATGATGATGATGAGGATGAAAGTTTCCTGCCAAGCTGACAGAAAAGAAAGAGAAGAAAGAAAGAAGAAACTTCAATCAAATCATGTTATCATCATCATCATTTTCATCATCTTCTTTTTTTCTTCCATCTAACTTTTCCTTTTCATCTTTCACTTTCATGTCACACATGACACCATTTTGATCCAATCCATCCTTCTTCATCTTTCTATCTTCTACGATTATCATCATCATCATTTTGATGTGTTCCCTTCAAACACTCACATTTGTCTCTCTTTCTTTTTCTCTTTCTTTTCATCATCATCATCATCATCATCTTTCACTCTTTCTTTTTCTCTTACTTTGTTTGCAATTTTTACGGTTATAATGATTCCTATGGGCTTTTTATATGTTACTGCTTATGTGTCATTTATTGTTTGGCTGTTTCAACGATAAAAATGAGTTTTCACAAAGAAAGAGGAAAAGAAAGAGAAACAAAAATGATGAGGATGATTATGATGATGATGATGATATATATCAACTTGATATGAAAATATATCTGTTGGTGTATAAAAGAAAGTAGAATAATAATAATAATAATCATCATCATCATCATCTCAACAAACATATTTCATCATTATTCTAATAGATTATCATTGGTCTCTCTCTCTCTCTCTCTCTCTCCCACCCAACCACCCACTTCTCGTCATCATCATCCTTTACACTGGATAAAGGTCATTTTGAAGGCAAAGGATACTCTCTCTCTCTCACTCTCACTCTCATCATCTTTTTTCACCAACCTTCACTGTCACATCATCATCTAAATCAAATACAATCTCACCGTCATCATCATCATCATCATCATTTTTTTCATGTAATAGCAATGAACGAGTCCGAAATGATCCGGATCCGTAATATATTGTCTTCCTTTTTCATCCTCATCATTTTCATCTTCTTCCTCCTTTAATAGCATCAGTGATGATGATGATGATTATTATTATGATGATGCTATTTGATGATGATGAGGATGTTGGTGATTTATTGATGCTTAACGCCATCTCAGGGCTTGTCTTAAATTATCTCAATCGATTGCCTCGAAAGAGGCAATGGCTTTTTTTTTCATCTTCATCTTCATTTTCATCCTCATCTTAATCATCCTCCATTCTTAATGAACCCGATTGAGGCTCATTTCATTTTCTTAACTATAGTCACAACCTCCCTTTCTCATCATCATCATTTCTTTTCTCAATTCTCTCATTATGCCTTCTCCCATCATCAAAAGTATCATCATCATCATCATCAACTCTTGACAGTGAGAAAGAATCATTTTCATCTCTTTCTTTTTCTCTTTCTTTTTTTCTATTCTCAAAATTCATTCTTCTTACCATCATCAGTCTTACCTATATTTATTATACTCATCATCATCATCATCAGCATACCCTTAGGAGTATTATCAAATGATTGTTGTTGTTGATCATCATCATCAATCTGATTTAATTGATATCAGCTATTTACCATCATTATTGATCAGAAATTAATTTTAAGTCGAAACTTTTTTTTTGTTTCTTTCAAATTGAAGGTGAGAAACGTTTATAATTAAATTGTTGGCTGATTGTTAATGATTACAAGAATTTAACTTTAACTTAATCAATTGAAATTAAATGCTACAATCATTCTCAATGAATGATTAACTATTTATGTTAACAATTATTAATTAACTATTCAATATCGTGAGTTGTTTATGTATTCATAATTATTGAGAAGATAATAATAACCAGAAATTTAAAAAAGTTTCGAACAAAAAAAAAGTTATTTTCTATTCATGATTGAAAAATTGAAAGAAATCAAGATGATCAAATTAATGATTAATTAACTGGTTAATTGTCATTGATTTCTAAACAACAAGGTTAATCAATCAATTCTAATTGTCAATCAGGGAGGGAGAGAGAGAGAGAGAGAAAAGTTTATTCGAAGTTTGAAAAAATCGATCGTTGGTAAAAGTAACGAAAAAGATTTGAAAGGAAAAAAAGTTCTAAAATCGAAAGTGTAAAATGAACGAAAAAAGTTTTATCAATGTCGATGTTCAAGTGACAACGGTGGGTTAAGATGAAGGGTGGAAAGCGGAGTGGAAGGGATAGAGTGGGAAAAGAAGGCGAAAAGTAAGATGATTTTTCGTTGTCACTTTCACTTTCTCCATCATCTAATCAATCGTTTTCTATTTCATTTCATCATCATCATCTTCCTCTCCTCCTCCTCTTCTAATCCTCCCTCCGCCTCCATCAAGATGAAGATGATGATATCGACCCAATAATAAATTTATATACATTTATAACAGAGAGAGAGAGAGAGAGAGAGAGAGAGAGAGAGATGAATGAGTTCTGCCAAGAAAAATATTCTTTGTTCAGAATTCTGATCAAACTATTCTTTCTCTAATACTTCAATCAATCAAACAAAATATATCTACTATCATTAAGAGTAGTAAGATGACAGAATTGGATGATGATAAAGATGAAGATGAAGATAAGGTCATAAAATTAAATTACTATCTTTGAACACTTCTCATCAACATCATCACTTTTAATTCATTTCCTTGAATCATCATCAACTATGTTAATCTATTAAATGATTACCATTTACTAACATTTGAATATCCTCATCATCATTATGATTCAAAGTAAAAGATGAGGATAATAATGATGACGATCATCATCATCTTCATCTTCATCATTGAAAAAGATAAATAAATTACATTCATTTATTATTATTGTTATTTTTCACCATCATCATGATAACAATAAATAATGATAAGGTTCAATATCTATGGATGAAGATGATAAGATTATTTATGATTTTTTTTCTTCTTTTCTGAATCCACCCATTATCATCATTATCTTCATCTTCTTGATGATCGATTCATCTTCCCCCTTATCTCTCTCTCTCTCTCTCTCTCTCTCTCTCTCATCATAATTGTGATGGATCGATGATTATTGTTGTTAAATCACTTTAATTCTCTGATTATCTTTAATTGTGTAATTAGAACTTTTCTCTGCTGATTAATCAGCTGATATTGAATCTATTTAAAATTATCTTTCTCTCTCTCTCTCTCTCTCAGGTGAGATTCCATTGGATTTAACGATTAAAAAATCTGAAGATGAATCAGAAACTGAATCAACCTCAACAACAACAACAATTATTAAATCAACTGGATCACCAGCACCTCGATCACCATCATCACCAGGAACTGTTAGTGTATCAATTTTTGTCTCACCAAATCCAAAAAGATCAGGATCACCTTTATCATCCTCATCTTCCTCTTCAACAACTCACACCAACACCTCCAAATCTTCAGGGAGTAACAGATCAAATAAAATGTTGAATAATAGTAATAATTTTCATTCATCTTCATCATCAACCTTAAACACTTCACTATCAATTGGAATTACCAAAAATAATAGTGATAATCATCAGCATCATAATAATAGTCGCTCAAAAGATGGAGGTGGAAATGGTGCTAATCGCCAGAATCCATGGCAAACCCAATGGATTAACCGATCATCTGAACAGAATCGAGATGTTTTCACTTGTGTCTGGTGTAAGGATAGTTTCCGGTCATTGGCGGAAATGACCCAACACATGAAAGCATCACCAAGATGTGGGATGGCTGGGATGCAACAAGCAACTTCAACCAGTAGTAATACAATTAATAATAATAATAATGCAAATAATAGTAATAATAATAATAAAGAAACCAATTCGATAACTATTTCTGCTTCCGGTTCAACAACGATAACAACTACTGCAAACTCATCAACAGGTACATATCCGTTATCAGTGCCATCCATTGCTGCACTTGCTGCAGCAGCATCATCATCAGGATCTTTATCATCATCATCAACAACAACAACAACTAATGTTAATAGTAAAGGTAAAAATTCATTAATTTATGATTCAAGGGAATCATCAACTACTCCCCTTTCAATCAAATCATCATCATCATCTCTATCAGTGTCTCCATCACTTCATCATCATCCTTCACCCACTTCCCACCAAGGATCAAATAGTACGAATACCAATCTGCCAAATCAAAATTCAACCAAAGAACCGATGAGTTCAGCAGTTTTAGCCAAGAACAGTGTCAACTTGCCCCGTAAATTGGTTCGTGGTCAAGACGTTTGGTTGGGCCGAGGCGCTGAACAAACAAGACAAATACTCAAATGTAAGTGTGATCACCACAAGTAATTAACTAATCAACTAATCAACTAGAAGCCAGAAACTAGACACTTGTTGACTATTGAAAATCCGAACAGCAAGTCAATCAAACTTTGGTAAAACTTTTCGTTCTAACGATTTTCATTCGATAAGGGGGAAAAAAGTTCTAATCAGCAAAAAAAATCTAACTTGATGATTCTGATTAAGTTGATCATCATTCCGGTTATCATCATATATTATATAATATGCGTGCTATTGATGAATAGATGAGTTTAATGCTATCATGATGATGATGATGATGGTTTCCTATGTTTAAATGATAACATGATCATCAGAATGAAAGAGAAATGATGATAAGGAAGACAAGGATGATGATGATCAGATTCTCACCCACTTATAAGCACATCAATCAAATCTAATGGTAATAATCAACGTTAATAACAATATTATTATTAGAACCAATTCCGTTTCAATTTTCATCAATTTCTGTTTACAACGTAGCGATGTGTTAACAATTAGGTTAATCAGCATAATAATGATGATGATAATAATCATCAAACAAGATAATGATGATTAAATTACATTGAACAATTGATAAAAATGAATACATTTCTGTAATATGGAATTGAATTAAATCTAATTGCTAGTGAATTAGTTGTAACAATCAAACAAACAAAAAGCACGAAAATTTTTGACTAAACAAAAACGTTAACTTTTCCAATGTGTTATCATTAATTAATCAACAATGATAATGATTATGATTAACATTTGAAGTAATAACAAAAAAAAAGACATTAATTAAAGTAACAAAGTGTTACATGTTAATTGTTACCCACCACAGGCAAGGTAAACGTGATTAACTGAATGATTAACAAAATTTAAACACAATTCATGATATTGATCAAAATTGGAAACTAAATTAACTATTACATAGATGAAATAATAATAAAAAGTTTCATTTGCATAACAATCAAAAAACCAAGTAAACTTTTCATATAACAATCAATACCTAATGATAATTATCATCATAATCATCATCATCTTCATCATCATCGAGCAGTAATTAACCTTAAACATGCAAACAGGGTGAAAGATGATTAGGAAGAGATGAAGATGATTAACAATATCAAGTGAGATTTACAATTTACGAATTTCAAATCAATTCGTCAATCAATTTTCTCTCTAATAATAATGATAACCTGGAGAAGAAATTTTTCACAAAGAAAGAAAAGAAAGAGAAGATAAACTAAGGAGAAGACCAGGAAGATGAAGATGATTATGACGATGAAGACAAAGATGAAAAGGCAAAGAAAATCCATCAATCTTCATTCAATTGGCTTCATCATCATCATCATCATCATCTTTGAATACGAAATTGGAATAGGAAAAAAAAGCAAACTATTATTATCATTGTAAACTGTTATATTTATCATCATCTTTATCCTCATCATCCTCATCATTATCATCAACAAAGGTCATGTCAAAGGACTAATTTCACATATTTTTTGTCATCATCATCATCATCAATTGTAAATATTGTTATTGTTAATTTCAATTGTAGTTTGTATGTTTGTGTATTAAGATTAACATTATTAATCTAATCATTTATTTTGATTGAACTCAATGAAAAACCAGGAAAAAAATAATGAAAAACTAAATGTTACCAATGTGACTATTTGAGATCATGATTAGTTTTGATTGTTATTAATGATCATTTCAGAATTTACAACAACAACAGCAATTACAATTACACTTTGCTAAATATATACAGAGAGGGAGAGAGAGAGAGTGAGAGAGAGAGTGAGAGAGAGAGTGAGAGCAAGGTAAAAATTTTTGTTCGAAAATTATTATTTCTCTAACTAATAACAAACCAGTTTCGATGAGATTGTGATATTACCATTGGATACGCTTATCTGGCTCATCGAAGTTCATCTGACTTTTGGCTTCGCTTTGGTGAATTTAACTAATCGTCCGAACCTTTTTTCTGTACAATTTAACAATTAATCATTGTCCCCACTTTATTGTTACATCATCATCATCATCATCATCATCATCATTGTTATCATCTTTACCCATCATCTTATCATCATCATTTGTCCCTTTACGTTTTTTACTTTCCTAATACACTTTCAACTTTATTTTATCATATGCATATCATTTGTTAATTTATCATCTGATTAGCTGATTGTTATCATGAAACATTTTTGACTGATAGTTTTTCGGGTAATTGTTGAATTAAAAAATGATTTCTTTTTGCAGATTCCCAGCAATTTGAATCATTAATTTTGATCAATTTTTTGTTTGCTTTCGCGTCACAAATTGTACAAATTTAGCTTCTCCTTCAATTGGGTTAAATTGTCATGTTAATTTTTCTTAATAGTTACCCAATTCGTTGATTGTTGGTGTTGATTGTCGAGGTTAATTGTGAATCAATCTATCTCTTTACAGCTTTTGCAGATGACACTTAGGGTCCAGTTTTCTTTTTACTCTCTGGTCACTGTCAATGTGAAAGGTGTAACCTTTTTATACCCTCAAGGGGTGAAAAAGAGGAGAGATAATGAAGATGATTAGGAAGAGAGAAGAAGAAAAAAATCCAAAGGGTCAGTTTTCTTTTGTTTTTACCTTTGGAGAGTGGACATAAGTTGGATAACCATGTGGTGTGGAAATGATGATAATGATGATAAGAAAGAAACCCCTTTCTTTTTTATGTTTGTGTGTCCTTTTCTTTTCATCTTCTTTTGTCTACATTTTGTACTAAAAGCGAGAGAGAGAGAGAGAGAGAGGTGGTCAAGTCGTTAAGGGATGATAACGATGACCACAACAATAAAGAGTCAAATAGTCATCATTCAATGTTTTGTATGTTTCATGTTTTTTTCCTTGAAACCATTTAAACAGTTTTGACTTTCAGCTCACTTTGTTGATTTTAAAGATGATGATAATGATGCTGATGATGATGAGGAAGAAGATAAAATATTGATGATACCTCTTTCTTTCCTCTCTTTCTCTCTCTCAAAGGAATGATCGATTTTACTCAAATTTCTGTCACATTTGAAAACCAACCTTTTACTTTCTTGTTCTTTTGTTAGTTTGTTTTTTTCTCTTCTTCTCTATTGCCTTGTTATTCATCTACAGGTAAGAATGAAAGACAGAGACAGAGATTTTGTCATTCGTCTTCTTCCTCATCCTCATCTCGATCCTTCCACCAATAGGTCCATGATTTATATTCCTGCCAAGTCCCAACCCATGAAGAAAACGTTGACCAAGACAAAAAAAAAGTCCTAAAAGAACATTTTAGAAGATGAAAAAAAAAATAAGAAGAACCAACTTATCCAAGGAAAGAAAGAAGAGAAAATCTCTGTTTCATCTTCATCATTCTCATTCTCATCCTCATCTTCATTTTTCTTTACCTGATCTTCACCAAGAATCGAGAGAAAATAAAATGACAAAATCATAAATAACTGACCAACTACAGTTTCATGTCCAGTTCAGTTTCTTTAGATGTTGAGCCTCAATCATCATGATCAAAATCTCTGATTGTTATCTAATTGATTATCTTGATCATATAATCAAAGATCCTGATGAAAACCAATTTAATTGAGATAATTTGTTAATCATGCAAACAAAGTACAAGTAAGAAAATGGAGAGAGAAAAACAAAACAAAAATCAACAATCAATTTTAAATTTTCTGACAAACAATTTACTAAATTGTTTCTTAATCAATTTAATAGTTACAACCACAATCAACAAAACTACAACAACAATAATAATCATGATAAAATGAAGAAGTCAAAAAGATAAATAAAAAACGATAATAATAATATACAGAAAAGCAACTTGATGCTTCCGTGATTGGGAACGTAACCATGACAACCAGAACGATAGTGATCAGCTGATGATATTATTATCATTTGATGAATATGGAAAAACAAACAAACAACAATCACGAACTATTTGTTTACCTGGTATCTTTAATTTAAATTATATACACTTTAAGTTAATCATATTATTGTTGATTTGAATCTACCGATGATAATCAGATTCATGAATGAGATTAAATTGTTGATAGAGAAAAAGATTTTTTCTTTTCTTTTCCATATTATTTTCATGATGATTACATGAAAGTAATTACTGAATGAATGAAGATTGTTGCTTCTTCAGTAAACCAAATTTTCACAGTTAATCACCTTGTACATCCTTCCTTTAATCATCATCATTATCTTCATATTCATGATGATGATGATTTGCAATTGAATAATGAAAATTAGGAATTCATGTTGTATAATATTTTTTTTTTCAGGGAACAAAATTTCATAATTTTTTTCTCTTCTCTTCCTAATCAATTGATTGACATTCACTGAATAATATAAGGATAAGATGATTATCTTAATCATTATCATGGTGTAAATGCTGTTTTCTTGTTTTGTTAATCAAGAGTTAATTTAATTCAACCAACACCAAGAAAAATAAAATAAAGTTTCAATATTTTCTTAATGTTATAATGTTGTTACATCTAATTAATAACCAACGTATTGATTGTTAATCAACAATCAAGGTAACACAAAAATGGTTATTAAAATTAAGATGATGATAAGGATAAGGATGATAAAGAGAAGATGATAATGATTTACGCTTAAAGGCTCTCTCAATATCTCTCTCGAAGTGAGCAGAGAGAGAGAGAGAGAGAGAGAAATAAATCTCCATTTGGAAGAGAAGAAGAAGAGAAAAAACAATTTATCTTCTCTCTCTCTCCTTCTCCTTTTCTCTTAAACCAAGGAAAAAGAAAGAGAAGACAGATGATTATCTTCCTCTCTCTTCCCTTTTACCTGTCAGGTCTAATTATTTGTCTTTCAATCTAATATTTACCTTGGTAAAAGTTGATAATAAATGACGATGGTAATAATAACTTGCTATTAAATTAACACAAGAAAAATTTGATTTCTTATCATAATTATCATCAAATATCGTCCTCATCATCATCTTTATCCTCCTAATCATCATAACAATTG